CACACACACACACACACACACACGCACACACACACACACACACCATCACCTTAATTATAAATATGACTGGTTCATCAATACGCTAATTAGGACTTAAGTAATTAATGAAATATCGAGAAAACAACACAATTAAGGTCGACCAAATTGTCACAGTCCAGGTATCATTATCCCTGGACCCTAATTAGCCTCCGGTACACCTGTCAATGGGGGTCACTAAGTAAGAGAGGTGGAGAGAAATATTGATTAATGGGGAATTGTGTTTGGGGTATTTTTTTTAATACTCTCTCTCTCTCTCAATATATCATTGCTACACTACAGGAAACACATCTTCATTACTATATATATTCCACCAACCTTTTAACCTCACCTCACCTCACCTCACCTCACCTCACTTCATCCCCACTTCATCCTCACCTCATATCACCCTACTCTTCACCTCACCTCATCCTCATCCCTAACTTCACCTCAACTCTCACCTTATCCTCACCTACACTAACCTCACCACACCTCATCTCACTTCATCTCACTTCATCCACACCTCACCTCACTTCACCAGGTGACTCAGGTACAATAAGTGTTATATATTGCCACAGCTGAAATGCTCTCTCTTGTTTTAGCTTAACTGTACTAAATCATAAGTTAGCACCTGGACATAAGGATTCGTGTGTGTGTGTGTGTGTGTGTGTGTGTGTGTGTGTGTGTGTGTGTGTGTGTGTGTGTGTGTGTGTGTGTGTGTGTGTGTGTGTGTGTGTGTGTGCGTGTGTGTGTGTGTGTGTATGTGTGTGTGTGTGTGTGTGTGTGTGTGTGTGTGTGTGTGTGTGTGGGTAAATTGATCCATCGAGTATAAATGCTACTCTTTATTTGCTGTGGTAATGGCCTGGTATTGAGCCACCAGCACAGAGTGGGTCTTGTTATAAAACCGTAAAGGTACAAATCAGTCATTGTGGCCATTACATTTCCTCGGTGTTAGGTTTAGTTGAGGGAGAGGGAGGGGACGAGAGGAGGAAGGAGGGGGAGGGGGGAGGGGGAAGGAGGGGAGGGAGAGGGAGGGGGCGAAGGTGCGTGTCGTGTTGTGTAGTTTTAATGCGATTTTGGTGTCTGTGTCTGTCTGTGTGTTATAATAATAATAATAATTAACGATTTATTGATATAACATGGCTGCCAAAACGCTGAAAATATACAATAAACAGAGATGATAACAGTTACAGGTACAAAAGGGAATAAAAAAATATGAATATATACAAATTAACTAGAGCTCAGGTAGTCGGGGAGCCAGTCTCATAAATTGTCTTGTAACCTGATGCTGGCGCCTTCATACCTAGTTGCTAAGGGCAGTGCTGGCTGGACCTCTCTCTCTCTCTCTCTCTCTCTCTCTCTCTCTCTCTCTCTTCGGGGTTGTCATCGTCTGTACTTGCTTATCTCACCCATCACGAGGTCCTAGCAGGCTCCTTCAGCTCACACGGGGTCACGGAGAGAGTTGGTGTTGGTAGGGAGGAGGCCCTGGCAGTTGCAGCCATGGTCAAAAATTACCTCGGCCGCGTCAGTAGAGGAACACCCAGTTCGTCTTCAGTCCATGGAAACTTTATGCTTCTGTGTGTGTGTGTGTGTGTGTGTGTGTGTGTGTGTGTGTAATTATAAAGACAAGACAAATGCGTCACTTGAGACAGGAGTGTTATGTCAGGAGAACATGTCCAAGCTGTGTCACCTCCCCCCCCACACACACACACACACACACACACTACCCCAAATATTTTCGAGGTACTCTGGCCATTCATCAATACATTATTCTTAAAAAATAAAAATAAAAATCATTTTTTCTTACGATTACAAGTGACATTTATTGATAACTGATAACATTTCAAACGCTGTGATAATTTTAGTTTTTTACATTTTACAAAATCGTGATGAAGTTTGGGTAAAAAGTACTTACTTAAAATACTTGTCGTAGAAGTTTATTATTTGTTATGTAGACTCGATGTCAGTATTGTCAGCTATCGTCCTTTTCACTGTATTAACGCTATATCGTCCGTATTATTACAGTATTATATTGTCCGTATTACAGCGTTATATCGTCCGTATTATTACAGTATTATATCGTCCGTATTACAGCGTTATATCGTCCGTATTATTACAGTATTATATCGTCCGTATTACAGCGTTATATCGTACGTATTATCACATCGTAAATATGTTAAAATTATTCAGGTAAAGTTAAAAGTTAATAGTCAGTGTTTAATTCTCGTAATGTCCTTAAAGTTAACATTTTAATTGGATTTTACAAGTGTAGCACTAAATAGGGTTAGTTGGTCCCATTACCACTTACTACGCTACTAAGGCTTATGTTAAATACGGATATAATATGTAATTGGAATTTAAACAAATTAGCAATCTTGTAATTATTATTATTGTTATTATTATCATTAGTAGTAGTAGTACACACACACACACACGCACACACACACACACACACACACACACACACACACCTGAGATAAATGTTACCTGTCCTCACTTCACCTGTCATCCTGTTAATTACTTGTTGCTATTTTCATATTGACAACCGATTGCAGAGGGAGCAGGTCATTGGTCAGGTAGGTCATTGATTAGGCAGGTCAGAAGTCAGCCAGGTTATTGGTCAATCAGGAAACAGGTAGAGTTATTGGTCAGCCAGGTCAGGGGGTAAGTCAGGGTCAGGTCAGCCAGGGTCAGGTCAGCCAGGGTCAGGTCAGCCAGGTCAGGGGGTAAGTCAGGATGGTGATGAAGTTACAAGGTTCAGTAGGTGGTGGGCGGAGGTCATGTCAGGTTGAGTTTATTATGAGTTGTAAATACATAAGTCTTATTTATCGTATCACCTGTAGAATACACACCCTAGCTTATTTCACCTGAAGATTAGACACCCTAACCTAAAACTAACCTGTCCTAACGTAACCTAACCTATTCTAAACCAATGCTAACCTAACCTAACCTAACCTCACCTGCTTTAATAATTTGGACGAAAATCTGTTCACCAAAATCAAATTCTTTCTCAAAACTCATTTATTTTTGTAATTAATCTTCCATTCCATTTTTTTTTATTTACTTGTGTTTATAAAAAATTTTCTTCCATTACTGTGAGTTAATTAAGTTGACCTTGTTCTGTACCTGTTAGCTTTCAGGTGTGGAGTGGGAGGAGGGGTGTGGAGTGGTGATGTGGAGATGGGAGGGGAGAAGAGGAGGAGGAGGAAAAGTAGAGGTAAATGAGAAAAGGAAATAGAGGGTGAAAGAGGAAGTGGGGTGGAGAGGAGGAAGAGTAATGCAGAAGGAGAGATAGCCGAGAGACAGAGATAAAGAGAGAGATAAGAGAGACGCCATACCTACTGTACTATTACATGTCAGTTAGCAGGCAATCGTCAGGAACATGGTGGTGGGAGTGTTATGGTCACGAGTTGTCAGCGTGTGTCAGTCAGGGATTAACAGCTGACAGGTCACGGCGAGGTCAAACTCTCTCTCCATCACCGTCCCGAAGAAACTAGGTCATTCACTAGAGATTATAGGAATTAGTCATAGAGTTTATTATAATCTTCACTACAAGGAAGGAATATTGTTACGATTCTTTAGTCTATAGTGAACTTGAGGTCAATGTGAACTTGTTATAAAGGTCAATGTGAACTTGTTACAAAGGTCAATGTGAACTTGTTATAAAGGTCACTCGGTCAAAGGCTGCGTGTGTTGTTGGTTTGATATCTACGGGGGTAGGGGGAGAGGAATCCAGGTCAGCGAAGAGTCAAGCTGTGGAAGCGTGTGGTCAGGTCAGGTCACGCTAGGTAAAGATTATGTGTGACTAGACGTTTGTAAATAAAAGACACGAAGGAAATCAGATTAAAATATTCCAAATACTTCTTACAGGATAGTCAAGGCTATAACAAATCCCTAGGAATAAAAATGAATATTAATCAACAAATAAGACTAAAAGAGTTGTTGTTGTCGCGTCTATTCACCTTTTAAGTCTACACTCAACTTAAATATTTACCTCTAACATTAAAAAAAAGACTTGTGAAGACTTTGAAAATTTACTCTTAGTTTTTCCTCTTCGTCTTGGGTAATGACTTGGTGAGGTGAAATAAAGTGTAAATTAACGACATAAATACAAACAAGTGTAAATTACAATATAAACTCAGATATTCATTTAATAACTTTTACAACTATCACCCTGTAAAGTGTAAATTACCGAGATATTTACAAACTTCAAGTGTAAATTACAATATGATGAAGAAGCTTGAATATTTAATTAGTAAGTTTGGGGACCTTTGATGTATAGGAGCGTCAGGTGTTAATACGTTCTGGGTTTGTTTATAAAGTGACATATAATATGTTTTTGTTCTGTGAAGAGCCTGAGGAGTTTCTAATGACTTGAGCTGGGGAGAGGGAGGGGGTGTGAGAGGGAAGGTTGGAGGAGGTGGAAGAAGAGCTGGGAAGGAAGGAAGATGGGTGGAGAAAGGAAGGGAAGTGAGGAAGAGTAGGAGGGTGGGAAGAGAGAGGGGTGGAGGGACAGATGGAGGGTTTGAAGAAAGGAATAAAGGAGGGGAAGGAAGATAGGAAGGAGAGACAGAGAAGGGAGGAAGATAACGAGGATAAGAGAGAGGGAGAGAGCAAAGGTGAGAGGAGAAAGGAAGGAAGGAAGGAGATAGCAAGGAGAGAGGGACGAAGGGAAGTTACACCATTCGTTTATTGATAAGTCATGAGGTGGACTTGACTGGGCTCATTGATTCACAGTGACGAGGGGCACCGAGATGTGTGTGTGTGTGTGTGTGTGTGGCTCGAGGGTGCTACCACACTGTTGACAAGTAACTACCTGTACAGAGGCTCTTTGAATGTATATACCTGACTAGTGTGGACTCTGTTTAACACGACCTACAAGATTACGTTATTATTGTTATTATTATTATTGTTGTTGGTACAAAAAAGACTTAAAAATCCTCGTTCACGGACACTAACCACCCCCCCCCTCCCTCCCCCTACAGTGGCTTGTTCTACGGTGACAGTGTCGAGGTGTCAGGCGGCACTGAGGACGTTGGTTCAGTTCCCATGGTTTAGGCCAACTTGTCTCTGTAAGGAGCCAAGACTCGACCCACAGTGTAACGCCTTCAGGGACCTCGTCTTCGACCACCCCTGCGTCTTCGTCACCAGGAGAGGTAAGGTGTGTGTGTGTGTGTGTGTGTCAGCAAAATGGTAAGATAGAGAGGTTTATTGTCTTAAGTTAGAGGATTAAAGAATACCAAGATAAAGAGAAAATGAGAGACGAGGGAAAGACACACACGCCAAGAGATAAGACACACACACACACACACACAGATCAACTGAGAGAGAGAGAGAGAGGGGGGGTTGAGCTAGATCACTTACTGTAATAGTTCGGTGATGTGAAATCAATAGCATCCATAAACCCGTTTAGTGGTGTATAAAACATGAATGGAATGATGGCAGATTATACGCAGCAGGGCGTATAAACTGTATAGAGTATTATTTATTACACATCCGCCTGGGAACTCTCACCTGTCTCTTGTTAATTACGAGAGACAGGTGCCTAGATGATAATTAAACAGGTGATCAACACGACACACCCCACAGCCTGACTTACAACTTTGACCCCCCCCCCCTCACCTTTGAGCTCTGACCTCCTTAAACATCACATTCGCCAGGGTCAAAGGTCACCACAGAGCTCCACTTATATCATGGGTTTAAGGTACGTCTGGCTGTCTGTTTAAGCCCTCATATATATAAACAAATATATATATATTATTTGTTTTGTGCAGAGATATATTACCTGACGACATAATCCCCCTGATACTCATTTCATTTAATACGGTTGAGCACACCCTGTTGTGGTAATTCTCTCTCTCTCTCTCTCTCTCTCTCTCTCTCTCTCTCTCTCTCTCAGTTGCCACTTGGTTGAGAGGTTATGGAAGAGAGCACTAACATCGAAGTTTCCTAAACACCAAACTACATGTCATTCACTGGCAATTTTCACCATAAAACATTTTCGTAAGCTGGAATAAAGTTGTCAGTAAAAGTTTCTTCAGTGATCGACAGCAGCGACACCAGTCTATTATTGTGAAGTCTGCTTGACTGTCTGCTGGGGACTGGGAAAACACATTTGCCTCCTACCGCAGATTTGGCCATTAATATTATACAAAATAGACTTGGTTATATGTGAAGCAAGTTGGTCTAATCACCTTGTGGTAACCTGGCAGGCGATAAGGATTGACTCGTTGCAGGTGACTCAAGATAACGTATACTACTCCCTGCGCCATCGCCCCCTCAGAGGGCCTCAACACAGCTGGCCAGGGAAAGTACAACACTGGTTGGTAAAGTGAGTGGCCCAATAAGTCAGCTTTATCATGGGTGTTGGATTGAGCGGCTCCATCTTGTCGTCCCGGTGATAGAGTTGTGTTGTCTGGAGACCAACATTGACGCTCTTTTAATAATCCAATTATCTGGGAGCCGACTCGTCCTCAGGTCCAGTTTATCTTGTTTTGTTTTGTGTGGGTTTTTTTTCACGTACGAGAAATGGTTTGATGCTGTACTTGTGTGTGGATGCCTGGATGGTTACCTCATAATCCTCGTCTGGTCATTTTATGTAATATCAGTTAACTCTCAGCGTCGATTACTAAATAAATTCTCATCTGGGGGATATATTTCACCTGAAGCTCCCGGGTATGACTGTGTAGGTTCTTGACATGAGGATTGGCGGTAAACTGAGTGAAGGGCTGGTCATTCAACACTATTTCTCTACCATGCTCACCAGGGATTCCTTCAACACAACAGGTGAAATGTTATGTTTTATAATAATACATGTGGGTGTGTGGAGCTGACATCCTCAGGTGACTACGACCTCAGACAAGTCAGTTACATCCGGGTGGAGGAGAGACGTGGATGGCCTGGGGCGTCCATAAGTTCCCCTGACGAAGGTGGAGCGGCGTAAACAATTACGATTTTGCGGTCGTGTTGAATTACCAAACAGTCAATGTTGTGGGTCCACACCCTGCCTCTGTGGTGTGTTTACTGACCACATCCTGCCTCTGTGGTGTGTTCACTAACCACACCCTGCCTCTGTGGTGTCTTCACTAACCACACCCTGCCACTGTGGTGTCTTCACTAACCACACCCTGCCACTGTGGTGTGTTCACTAACCACACCCTGCCACTGTGGTGTGTTCACTAACCACACCCTGCCACTGTGGTGTCTTCACTAACCACACCCTGCCACTGTGGTGTCTTCACTAACCACACCCTGCCACTGTGGTGTCTTCACTAACCACACCCTGCCACTGTGGTGTGTTCACTAACCACACCCTGCCACTGTGGTGTGTTCACTAACCACACCCTGCCACTGTGGTGTCTTCACTAACCACACCCTGCCACTGTGGTGTCTTCACTAACCACACCCTGCCACTGTGGTGTGTTCACTCACCACACTCTGCTGGCCACACTAATACTGAGTCACTTGGGCTTAATATCAGAGCCTTCTGAGGATAGTTTCCTAATGACGAAGAACCACAAGACCGAGAGAACGACCTGAGCGTGTACAGACTCACGGCACCTCCCCCGCCTTCCACAGGAGCTGGCAGAGTCTTAGCGTCGAGTTGTTGTCTAATGCTACGACTGCACTGAATACTGATGCGCTCTCTCTCTCTCTCTCTCTCTCTCTCTCTCTCTCTCTCTCTCTCACCTTGAAAATGAAAGGTATTCTCGGACTGGCTGTGTGCATGAAGAATAACGCCAGGTCAGTATCCCCTCTGGCCGGCCTGAGAGTGAACTTTGCCTAAATGACTTGATTCATTGAGTCAACAAGCACTATACCCACGCTATCTGTCTGTCTGGTCCAGGGGGGAGGTGTTAAAGGTTAAGATACAGTGTTACAGGCCAGAATACAGTGTTGCAGGTCAAGATTGCTACAGGCTAAAGAGAGAAAGAGACAGACAGACAGACAAACAGACAGACACAGATTTAAAATAAACGTCTCAATATACAATTACCTAACTTGACACTCACTACAGATACACTTGACAGCAGAACAAGATAAAAGAGATACTCAGTTCACAAGTTCATAATGCCGCACTAGTGTGATGTGCCTTGTGTGTTTACCTCATCAGAAGTAGACATGCATCCACTCCGGTTCATTCCTACCTGTGGAGAGGCTGCGGACATCTGCCGAGACAACCCTTGGTGTAAACAGAGGCTTGACATGTTCCGTAGTACCTGCAAGTTCCGTGAGAGACATTGCCTTAATCCAGACAGGTGAGTGATATGTTCCGTGTTACCTGGAATACGGTACTTGTGAGGTAAAGACAGTTATTATGCCAATGAAAGTAACATTGTTAAATTATCTGTCTATACCAATATAATAAGTTTTGTCGGCACCTTTGAGGGCGTTGTAAGGCTAGAGACTTTGTGTGTGTGATAAAGACCCTCTTCTCTACCCCGCCTGGCAGGGAGGACTGTATGAAGTCGTGGCTGCAGCTGAGAGAGACGCCGCTACTGGGATGTATCTGTCCTGACGATCACGACAAGAAGTGTTCCCGCCTCTACTCCCTGGTGAACGAGAACCCGTGTGTGGGTGAGTCGCCTCCTCCTGTTATCACACATCTTACTCTCTCCTCTCTTACTCTCTCCTTCTCTCTTACTCTCCTCACCTCCTTACTCTCTCACTCTCCTCATTCTCTCCCTCTCCTCACTTCCTCACTCTCTTACTCTATCTCCTTCAAGCAACAGAGCTTCATTTACAAATTATTTCCCATATTCATCTCATTATTATTCCAACCTATTAATTATTTACCTGTCCCCCCCCCCATACAGGTGAGAACAACACTGCCATAACAAATCATCAATTACCCTCAAGTTATATCTCTTAATCATTAACTGACTCATGTAGTAACTTTAACCCAATCAGGAATATATATTTTATTACTTAATATAATTCGCAGTAATAATTTATACTATTTTTATATATTTTTTTATTTTTATTTTGTATTTACGTTTTTTTTTCCAGAATTTAGATTTAGATTATGTTAAGTGATCCACAGAACGTCTCAGATATTTGTAAGTAGTGGTTCGTGTTACTTATGAATGGTTCCTGGTGGTTCGTGTTACTTATGAATGATTCCTGGTGGTTCGTGTTACTTATGAATGGTTCCTGATGGTTCGTGTTACTTATGAATGATTCCTGGTGGTTCGTGTTACTTATGAATAGTTCCTGGTAGCTCCTGTAATCACCACTGCAACACATAACAGTTAACAATCACTAGATCTAACTGTAATAACTGGTTTTTTTAAAGAATGTAGACGGTAATGATTTATCTCTTAGTTAACTCGTATATTTTCTGAACTAACTGTGGTGACGTCGCTTCTCCCATTTTTTGAAGACTAACTCGTGAGTCTGACAAGTTCTGTATTTACACAACTAACGAGAAAAGTCGAAAGAATGTGAAAAAGAATCTGAGTTAACTTTCCATTTTGCATAATTGTTCTTACTTTTTTTCTTCTTAATTCAACGTATAAACTGATGAGAAATAAACCAATATGCTAATGACCATGGTAAGAAGTGAGTCTCAGGGCTTATAGATGGGTAGGCTGCCTTTCTCATCCAAGGCAGGAGGAATACTGGCAGTGTTTGTTATTATTGTAGCTTTTTAAAGGGTAGGAGACTGTAGGGACCTCAGGGAGCCTCACGATAAAGACTCAGAGTAAACAGTGTGTGACCTCACCATAACACAATAAGAACTCTGAGTTACCTGATCGTTTTAATTACCTCCATGTGTGTGTGTGTGTGTGTGTGTGTGTGTGTGTGTGTGTGTGTGTGTGTGTGTGTGTGCCACCAGGGAGTACCGTGTGCGTGAGTGTGTGTGTGTACCACTTAAGAGTGATACGTGTAAGTACCACTTGTGAGTGACGTGTTAGTGACGTGTGGGTGTCACCTTACAGGGGAGAGTTATCAGGGGCGCGTGGCACTTATGTCTCGGGTGAGTGCCGCCCTGAGCACTCAGCTCACCCGGCCGGTGCCAGTGCCAACAGGGGCTGCCACGCTCCTCATCATCTCCTCCTCCCACGCTGATCCTCTCTACCCCCTCTCCACCATCCACCACTACCTCCAGCACCTCCCGGCCTCCAGTACGTGCCTCCACAGTTCCGCCCGTCACATGCGTAAATCTGACCTGTATAATACTCACATCTGTTGCCACACCTGTCTCAAGTGCACCTCACATCTGTTGCCACACCTGTCTCAAGTGCACCTCACACCTGTTGCCACACCTGTCTCAAGTGCACCTTACACCTGGCTTCTATATATAACTAACACACAACGCAGTACTAAAATAAAACATTCTCCTAAGTTTGTCGTCTATCTCGAGGCAACAGTTCCACCCAACCAAGTTAGCAGCGTCACCCCCTTCCTGACTCACCGCCTTGTTACAAGAGTGGTCCAGCTTCCCCACACCAACACCACTCTACTCAATATAACAACAACTAACCACAACAAAACAACTAATTTAGATTTTCCATTTTTAACGCTTTGTTGACCTCAGCACAGCGCAGCACATTTTATTTTGAGGAACGCCATTGGAAAGCACTTTGCATGACTAACTTTCTGCACCTCCTCTTGGCACCACTATTGGCACCTTCCCTCATTCCTTCAGCACCAATTGTGTGGCACCTATCCTCACCGTCGGCACTCTATTATGGCACCTAAACCTCTCGCAACTACCCTATCTCTCCAGCACCAGTTGGCACCTATCCTCACCGTCACCGCACCAGTTCTCTCTCTCTCTCTCTCACCAGCACCGCTCAGAGATTATATAGCTTGTGTTTGTGTCTGTAGTAAGGCGTCGTCCACTATGGCAGTCTCAGAGATTCGTATGTTCAATTATTAAGGAAAATACAAAAAGATACAGCTGAAATAACAATAAAATTACATTGAAATTATTGTAAGTATCTGTGTTCTTTTATTCCCAGTTTTAAAAGGAAGAAAATTAACTTAAGAATCTGTGAGATGTAAAGTCTGACAGCCAGCACAGGTGGTCGAGTTGATTTAATTTTTCGTGTAGTTCTTTGCAGCGCGGCGCTTGTGTTGACATTGTTGAGAATTTTAATTACTCGCTATTTCAGAAAGTAATTAGCTCCGTTCTGAATAATAAAAAAATATCTCAAAACTAAAATTGATAATAAGAAATGAAGGTAAATTTGATGTTAAAATTAAACATATTATTGTTACTTTAAAATCATCAATCATCAGAACTTCAAATATTCTTAGTGGGAAAAAAATTAATAACGTGAAACAATAGAGCATGAGCGGGACACTATTGCATTCTAGATTCATAAAGTAAACTCTAATTAAAGCGGTCTACGTCATCATTTACATAAACAAGATGAAACAACTCCCAACACATTTTAGTATGAAAAAAAAACATATAACGTATATTTTGGTTTCGCCTTGGTACAGTATTACCAAAAGTTTGTTTACATAATACAGTATAACGCATAAAGAAATGCTAACGGTGCTTTATAATTGGTATCTGTTGTATAATGTGGAACTGATGACTATATTTAGACTAGACGGCTCATATTATCAGGTTATATAATTTATAATTTTGAGATGATTATTATGTGAATTATCCATTATTATGTGAGGATAGTTTTATGAGTGGTTCAGCTTACAGACAGGTGAGTGTGAGGGCAGCACGGGGTTGACGGCATGGCTGGGCATGTTGGGAGGGAGGGAAGCACAGTGTACAGCTTGAAGCACATTAGCACTTAACCAACCTGGGTGATGTACTGTATTGTAAGCGATGTACCAACACAGCCGCTCCCTTACTAGTGTACAGTACAGAGTGATGTTACTTACACTGCTAAATTAATGTTTCCTCTAATTAAATATATTCTAATATTAATTCATTCACTTATTATTAATTATATTGATAGAATTTGGGAATATTGAACACAAAATATCCAAATTAAAATGAGAAAAAAAATCCAACATCTCTTAATCGAGTTGTTCCATTTCCCTCTCTGATGGCATTGTTGTTGTTCCTCTTCCCCCGCCGGTGACGCTGTAAACAGAGGCAGACCACAACGTGTCTCTGGAGCAGCTGAAGCACGTGGCCAGTACCTGTCACTCCGCCCTCGAGGACTGTGTGGCTGAGTCTGGCTGTCGAAGGTAACTAACACCCGTTGATTGTTATGGTTGTGTGTGTGTGTGTGTCCCAGCGTCAGATACTTTGGAAATAAATTATCTACAAAATATATCTACTATCTATACAGCTTAGTCACTCCTCTTACACACTGATCAACTCCCTCTCTCTGGCAGCCACCTGGAGTTGGTGAGTAGCCAGTGTGACTTCGCCTACTGCCACAAGGACGCCTGCAGGAGCTCCATCCAGGACATCTACAAGTACCTGATGGAGAACAACCAAGACCTCGCCCTTAAGATCGCCCTCTGCGTCTGTAGGTCAGTCTCTCACCATTTCACTCTCATGTAGTGTTCCAGGGAGGAGAAATATGACGCCATCTTTACCTGCAAGTCTAAAAGTTTCCATCACCTTCAGATGTCTCTTAGTTTAGACTCACGGTGAAGTACAATTATCAGGGATGTGTAAAATAAGGAAGATTGTTTAGCCGGCAGAAGGGATGTGCAACTCCTTCAAGATGTGTTCGACGAGACCCAAGCACCTCACCACCATCAGGTCTACGTCATCTGGTGTTTGCTGGGCTTTTATTGTTAGGTTTTCACAATTTCTCTTTGGATGCCGCCGCTGCTGCTGAAACTTTCTCCAATACAAAGTTAAACAATCTTGTCTTGGTCTGTTGCCAGTGTTGTAATATTTTCTTTTATTGTTTCCTAATTGCACACAGAAAGTTGGGGCCTGGCGAGTGGGTACAACGCTCACCTTCTGTTCTGGGGGTCGCTTCCTGGTGTCCTGATGGCTTAGTTGTTATCACAGTTGTTTGTTATGTGTTTTCATTGCCCAGGTTATAAATTCTTCTAGTAGGTTTCACAGTGGTGTTCTCTGTACTTTATCAAACGTCTCTTTACAATTAACGAGAAGCTGTCATGATTCTTTGTTATGTCTCCACTAACCTTCCGTGAGTGGTTATTTATTAAATATGACCAAGTTCCTCTTTCTAAAGCCACAGTAATGGTCGCCCACTTTCCTCGGCAGATACTTGTTGTCTTCTCGGGAGAAATATGGTAAGTTTTCCTGGGAAGTTTTTAATAGAGCGACGCCTCAGTGGTTGACGCAGCTCTTGTTGTGTGAAGTGACATTATTATGTCTCAGCCTCCGACCATCACGGATATCTTCCTCCTCGTACAGCCGTGATGACGTCGTAAATTATTCGCTGCAGATGTTGTTCCCGGTGTGGGAGCAGCGCCGCGGGGGGAGGTTGTCACGACTTGTGGCTTTGTTGTTCTGTACGCCTTTATTACTGGTCTTGCTGAGGCTAATGTTGCTTCTGGAACATTTACTTTAAATTTTTCTTAAACGATTCTTTTGTTTTGTTTCCAGGTTCACGTCTGTTTAACTCACCACAATATTCTTGACAATTTCGCCCACCCTCTTCTGTAGTGTTCGTGTAATCGTCTCGTATTTTTACAACTGAGATCCTTGTATGATTTTCATTTCCATGTTCTGAGTTTTAATGGAGTCATCTGGTGGGTGTGTCCCTAACGCGCCGCGCGGGTGTGTCACTGAGGCGGGAAGTTGTCTGCAACACTCGGGGCCTGATGCCATTACCCCCGGGTTCGACTCAAACTGCTCTGATAACTGTAACTTTCCTCTCTGTGGTCTACCCTATCTTGCTGGGTATTTCACGATACACTGACAGCGCTCGTGTACCCCATCCCGTCACCTGGGAGCGCTGCCTGGGACGAGTTTTGCATTGTGTTATAACCACTAATGAGTTGGTAGTCAAAAATTGCGAACATGATACTGAGTGAAGCACACCACCATCACCACCACTACCACCATAACCACCACTACCACCATAACCACAACCACCACCAATACCACCATCACCACAACCAACACTACCACCATAACCACACTACTGCTGTCACGCGAGGTAGAGTGAGCGTCATTGGTGGTTGTGAGTGAGGCAGCCGCAGCCATCGTCCTCTGCCAGGGAGGCGCCCGGCCCTACAGACTGCCGCTACTTACGAGGGTCTTAAGCTGGTAAATAAACAAACTTTTCTCATTCTCTGGAGAAGGTTTGCTGAAAGAGTTTTCCAGGAAAGTTACGGTCCTTTCTGGCGAGCTTGGGTTGTGTAGTGCAATTTTTTATCACTCTTGTCTAATGTAAACATGGCAGTTTTCTCGGCGTGTATCACATTCCTCTGCCACGTTAAGTAATAAATGTTATTGAATACACTCTCGCCCCTCGCTCCCTGGTGTTGTGTGAGTCTCTCTGTCTACTATCAACACACAGTCTGCTTTGATCGTCATGTTGGAGATAAATTAGTTTCGTCTTTTTACTTAATTGTTTTCCTTACCTCCAGTTAATTGGAATTCCAGCATAATTTTTCTGAAAGTTAATCTGCACGACGTAAGACTAAAGAAGGGGGATAGTGCATAGACTGAAGGAAGACCTATTATTATGATTATTATTATTAGTGTTATTATTATTATTATTATTTTTAGTAGTAGTAGTAGTAGTAGTAATAGTAGTAGTAGTAGTAGTAGTATTGTTAGTGTTATTATTATTATTATTATTATTATTATTATTAGTGTTATTATTATTATAGGAACGACAGTGAGAGGAGTCAGGCACGATGTATGCGCGGGCAGCGACGTCTTCATCCGCCCTGTGCGCTGATGACAGACTCCATGACAGATAACCAGTGTCACAACCTCGGCCGTGACTGTCGTAGTGACCGTGTCTGCAGGTAAGACACAACTACAAGAGACACTAGCAATTTTGAAAGTCTCAACATCATAATACAAGCTGATGTACCACTGTCTGCTGTCTTATCTTTCACCTCCAACCACTGCCAGACTCCACTAACTACCATTAAGTACCACTAACCACCAGTAATTACCACTAACCACCAGGTACAGGCTGGAGCACTACGAACTGTCGTGTGCAGCGGACACTATGACAGGGAGGTGTGCGGGCCAACATCAGGAGTGTACCAAGGCCATGCTTAGCCTGCTGGGTACTGACCTGCACACCAACTGTGTGTGTAAGGGAAACTCCTTCCAGGACATCAACCAGTGCCTCGCCTGGAAGCGTCTCCTCTGGGGCAAGTCCCTTGTGTAGGTCAGTCAAGTGTGGCACTGTTGTGTAGGTCAGTCAAGTGTGGCACTGTTGTGTAGGTCAGTCAAGTGTGGCACTGTTGTGTAGGTCAGTCAAGTGTGGCACTGTTGTGTAGGTCAGTCAAGTGTGGCACTGTTGTGTAGGTCAGTCAACATTTTAGGCTGTGTCATCCCTTTATACATTAGAACAAGTTAATTTATGCATCATGATGGTGTCACTTAATAACAATAGTGCCACAGACACTCGGGTCTTATTTATAGTTATATACAAGTGTCGCTTTAGTCTAGTTATTCATCATAAAGACAATGGGTGTCTTGCCTGAGTGATAATGTTTACAGACTTAGGTGGTTTGGTTCCTGCCTCCTATGATGAGGCAGGCTCTCTCTCTCTCTCTCTCTCTCTCTCTCTCAGACCTAACAAGAGCCTTCCATTTCAACAGTTGAGTCTCAGTTGACGTACCACTTGGCTCAGCTGGGTCTGGATACTGAGGTGTTGGTGTCCTCCTTCACTGACGACCACCACGACCACCACGACCAGCACCAGGGTGAGTGGGGGAGGCAGGGGGACCACCACGACCAGCACCAGGGTGAGTGGGGGAGGCAGGGGGACCACCACGACCAGCACCAGCACCAAGGTGAGTGGGGGAAGCAAGGAAGGGAGAAGGGACTCAAGGGAGAGAAGGGCAGGTAGGGAGGGGGGGCGGGAGGGAGGGAGGGAAGTATTCTTGACGTGACCTTTATGAAGATGACTCGGTACCTCGCCAAACAACACACAACAGGACGTAAACAATGTTGAATTAAAGATAAATACTAAATCACTGTGGTTGAGGATGGAGCAGTGCTGATAACAAGTATAAACAGTTATCTGGGTAATAAGTGGGCGAGGTGAGGTTTAGAAAGATCATCTTAAAAAGGTTTCTGTCCTGGAAATATTATTGGAACTAACTGAACACTCACAAAACGTCTCACGCTGGGCTCCAGGCTACACGCCCACAATAGTATCTTTCTTTCCTCTGTTGCCACGTTTACATTCTGTACATTCACACAAAACATTTTAGTGAAAGTTCCAAGGAAAAGATAAGCCACTATCAAGCGAGTGAGACTAAGAGATTCCTGCACTTCTACCTGTTCTCTCGTGATCCCCAGGAGAGAAGGACCCGGCGCCCCAGTATCCAGTAGGTCGTGGGGACAACTACCACGACGACAACGGATACGACCCAGTAGACGACCAGAAGGATGCAAATGCCAAGCTGATGCAGGTGGACGGCACACGACTACAGGCGAGGAAGGTAGCGAGCACCGCCCAGAGTGACCACACCCTCCCTCAGGCTGCTCCTGCAGCCCCGTCCTCCTCCACCACAACTACCACCACTACTAGCACTACCACGACCATTCTCCCGGATAGTAAGTATTACCACCGTCCTTACCATCATTACCACCACAATCACTACACCACTACTACCATCATTACCACCACCACCACCACCACCCCAGCCACTACTACCACCACCACCACAATTATTATTACATTATAAAAAAAAATCCTTAATTGTTGCGCTTCACCACCAGTTGTGAGTTGTGTTACAGAGGGTTTATAACTTAAATTAAACCTAACCTAACCTCACCCCCCCCCCATCCTTCAGGTAGCATTAGGGTATTTTAATCAACAGGAGAAATAACCAAAGAAGAGCGGAGGAGGTAAAGTAATCTTGAGGTGATCCCAAACTAAGAGGTGTAATAAGAGAGGTATGTGTGTTGTGTTGCAGGATATTGCGTGGTTCAACAGACGGACGACTCTCCAACACACATCCTGAAGGAGGGCGACAGTATGAGGGTAAGTCGTCGAGCTTCTTACAACATGGCAACTGTGTACAGTGTTAATGTTGGTTCATATATACGTCACAGCTGATGAAATTATACTTTGTTGCCAAAAAATTATTAGATATGAGTGAAATACATAAAAAATAACAATCCCCAAATCTCCATACTGGTAAAAAAAGAAAATTTCGCAAAATATTAAATAAAAAAAAACATTGCAACCATAAACAAGCCTTATAAAAGAGCCAGGGATATATTTCTTACACACTGGGTCCCTGAGATGAAGGTTACGCGACCCTGAGCTAAACGATTCTATAGCAAGAGGTTTGTTTAGGTAAAATTCTTCCTTATAATTATATAGGTTTTGTTTAGGTTATATTAGTAATCCCTATTAATTGTATTTTTCAGTTATACAAAGAAGGTGACCAAGACTGTTCTGAACTCTGTTACTGTGAACGCCACAATCATACCAAATGTAAGGTAAGTGTGGCAGGTGTGTGTGTGTGGGAGACAGGTGTATGTGTGGAGGGATAGGTGTGTACAGATGTGTGTAGGAAAGACAGGTAGTGTGACAGACAGGTGTGAGTGACAGATACAGGTGTGTGTGTGTGTGGGGGGGCAGGTGAGTTAAAATATCAAGGACATTTTCGAAAACTTTTCCTCTTGTTAATAATTTCTTCAATAATTAGCTAAGTTAATTTTCAGTGGAAGAAAGAAACAAAGAACTGTTTACATGTCATTGGTGAAGGTCTTATCCTAATGTTTATTTATCTCCTTTAATTCTTATTATTCTTTCCTTCCCTCTCTTATCTTCCTTCTTTCGTTATCCATCTATTTAATTTCTTTTGTTCACCCTTTCCTTCCACTAGTTAATCTATACCTTCTCATCTCCAGCCTTCTTTCTTTTTCTACCCACCTCCCCCTTCCTCTCTCTATCCCTTCCTTTCCCTTTCCTTCAGTGCCTTTACCCTCAGACTGCAGCATTACGAGGTGAGCAGTATCACACACACACACACACACACACACACACACACACACACACACACACACACACACACACACACACACACACTTTCTCCTCATGAACGTTTCGTACAAAATTCTAGAATAGTTTGGACATTTTCTCAGCTTTAATACCTCCCAGATACCTCCTGACCTCCCTCACAGCTAATGGGACGGCTTTTATGCCTCTTAACCTCTCCCGCAGGTGTTAAAGGCCTCTTAAACATCCTGATCTCCTCCCCCCACAGGTGCTGGAGTGCGTGGAGAACAAGCCGTGTGAGACTAACTTCGCCGTGTACAACCACAACGCCCCGGCCTACCAAGCTTACAGGGGCGAGTGTATCTGTTACTCTGGGGACTTCATCTGCCAGCGCCCCAAACCAGGTATGGACCCGTACAGTGAGGACAGCACAGATGAGGAACATTGTAAAGAATGGTTAGAGTGTTGTTGTCACTTTATGATGCTATTTTATAAAACAGTCATTGTATGTTGCTGTAATACAGTCACCAGTCACAGTACGTTGTTGTGTTACAGTCACCAGTCACTATATGTTGTTGTGTTACAGTCACTGTACGTTGTTGTGTTACAGTCACTGTACGTTGTTGTGTTACAGTCACTGTACGTTGTTGTGTTACAGTCACTGTACGTTGTTGTGTTACAGTCACTGTACGTTGTTGTGTTACAGTCACTGTACGTTGTTGTGTTACAGTCACTGTACGTTGTTGTGTTACAGAGGAATTCGAGTTACCGACGGGACTGTTCCTGCTGCTGGGGTTCAGCAAGACGGAGGAGGCGCTGCTGAGGAACGTGACGGGCGGCACCGCTATCGAGGCTCTTGCTCCCCTGCAGGAGATCTTCACCACCATCTCTGCTAACATGGGCGTTAGTATTACTTCCCCTCTGGTACAGTGATACTGTGTGTGTATATATATATATATATATATATATATATATATATATATATATATATATATATATATATATATATATATATATATATATATATATATATATATATATATATATATATATATATATATATATCGCTCTCTCTCTCTCAACATATATAGTAACAACATTCATTTGTCTTCCTGCAGGAGGAGTGTCGACTTGAAGTGTTCCAGCACACGAGGGACAACTTGGTGCTTCAAGTGCGACACATCGATGTGTCTTCTAGCGTCGTCAACAACACCTACACCCTCAATATGCTGCAGGAGGAGAGGGTACGTGTGTGTGTGTGTGTGTGTGTGTATTATTCCTGTGGTATTAACTTTGAGGTACGTATCCTTCCCAAAAGACTTTCCATAATGTAATACAATATAAGTTTCTGGGGCAAATATTTATTCCAATTTCTTCCAATGTTAATAATTCTTTTGAGGACTTCTCTATAGCCAAGATTATCCTTCATGTATCCAGGACTAATCTAAGTTATCGAATTTTAATCCTTGTTTTCTCTAGTGTCTGTAAGATTAGCCCCCAGCTCATTATACCTTAAGATTAACCACACTAACGCAAACCTAACCTAACCTAGGAGAACAATATCTAACCTAATCTAATCTAACATTATCTAACCTAATCTAACCTAATGGTCAAAGTAACATTAGGGTATTCAATCATTAGATGAAATAAACTGAGTTGGGGATGTCTAATCTTCAGGTGATTCTTTTTTTTTACTCCTAAATGTGGTGAGAGCTCTCGTGCAGAAAGACTCGTGAGTGTTGTAGCCATCACCAAGGACCTCCCTTACACTCACTACCTCGTGGTCCTTTTCTGTAGTTTTCAAGGTTCCTCTGCCATCACCAACTACCAACCCAGTGTTAGATGTGGCTGGTTGACTAGCAGTAAGGACTATTCTAAGGAAGGAGACGATTTACTTTCTGGTGGTAGATGATTCACTAGAGATGGCTGGTTCCATTCCAAAACTACAGGTGCCTCTAACTCATATAGTCCCCATCATTCCAGAACCGATGCGACCGGCCCATCAGTAAGGTGGTGAAGATGATCAACTATCGAGAACCCAAGATCCACCACGACGTGCGTCTCTCCCTCTTCGTGTTGGCTGAGGTTATAGACACCGTTCCCAGCCCTCAGAGGATCAGCGGTGGGCAAGCTTGTCCCGATAGCGTGGGCGCGTGCTGGTTGGCGTGGGTGACGGGCGTGGCGCTGGTGTTGATGGGGAGACTCCACACGATAGACTGGAGGGCGGCGAGTGTGTTGTGATACCCCCATTATCCTAACACTTATTCTCGCGGGCAACAAGAAATAGAGGAATAAGGATGTAAATAAAAGAATTGTAGAGCGTTAAGAGGATGAAGATTTTAATGTTTATTTTGTAAATAAACTAGTAGGAGTTGTTTTAGTTAAGTAGTGGAGTATACCAAACTGACGTAGACAGTTGTGTGTGGAGTATATCTTTCTGAGTTTGTCGCCGCTGTCAGCAACTGTACATTGGGTGGATGATTTTTTTTTGGGTTCGTGTAGAGGTGTATTTCGATGTTTGGCCGCACTCACTGTTCCGCCGCCAACAATTGTAAGAGTAAAGTCGTCAGGTGGCTGCAGTATCATCAGATGTGCTTATTTTATAATTAGATCAATATTGCTGCCAGTTGATGTGTATTCCTTGGAGGATGGTGATGCCACGGGCTGTCTGGTTTGTTTTAGCTTTTCTTGACAGAGGCTGCAGCTGGCCAGTATGACGTCACCATTGTCTCGGGGCTTCTTTCGTGAGCAGCAACTTCTCAGCGGTGTTTCCTTTGCCTACTGTGTTAGCAGATGTTTTGTTAGAGGTCAGTAACTTGTGTACAGTCAGCGTCACATTACCGTTACACTTACAGCTCTGAGAGACACAGCGTCACACTACCGTCACACTCACATCTCTAAGGGACACACCAGTGATATATCCAGTCGTTACATTGTCCTCCTGAAAATTTCAGTCATTGGTTCTTTTCAGTGAAATGACAAACAAAATTTCACTTAAACTCGACAGAATTTAAATGTTGTCTCTGGTCCCAAATTTCAGGAAGAAATTACCAAATAATTTAATTCAGCTCCCGGTGAGGCGTGTCCCACTCCCTCCCACAATTACTGTACATACTGTAGAGGGACGTTGTGAAGGCGGTGGTTCTCGCTGTGTGAGGGTAGTGGACAACATCACACACTCATCCTTCAACACCACGTTACAGTATAAGATTTGTAATTAGTGTATGTAATTATGTAATTAGACAACGTGTAAAAGTTAACAAAGCAATGTGAAGAAACACCTACGCAATAAGCGGATCATGTTTATACATTCATAGACACACACACACACACAGGGCACTCGGGCATCTGAGGTTCCCGGTCCCTGACGCCTGATGTTGATATGAGACGAATAGCAGTAAAACAATGGCAAGACCCTGTGCTGCAGGACGCTGTGAAGTAAGTTACAGCGTCCAGCACGGCGAGGTTCAATGCAAAGGGTTCAGTACACTCAAACATGTAAGTTCCCCTTGACCCGATAATTTATGTCACTTTAACAGGGAAATGTCATCAGCATCTTACGTCCGACTCTGTTCATATGACATTAAAAATATCGCCACCATTACTTCCTGGTTCACACGCAGGGTAAGGCAGGTCAGCAAGGAACAGCGGCAATACTGAGGGGGTTGAATGAGATCCTCATGTTGGCATTGTCTCCTGTAGTGGGGCAGGTCGGGTGGGGGGGTTGTTAGCGGTGTCACCATAGGTCACCGCCTCACCTGGGAACACCTTCAACCGTACGTCACCTCCCACCAACCTGACCGGATATTAAACATAACTACATTTCGTAAAAAGCTTTTGTAATTTTAGTGAAAATAATTGAAAACAAAATTGACAGGGTTATTTTTATATTTTTTTATTTAAAAATGAAGCGTATAGACTTGATTTTTTTGGGTGGGGAACTCGAGGGTTTCAGTGTCACGTATGGAGAGTTTAACCTCAACCCAGAAGACCGAAGTATGAAATTTTGTGATACAGAATGTCATTATATATATATATATTAACACAAGTCAGGTATTGCCACTAATGTTAGCTGTCTTTCTCTTTAATAGATCAGCTTTATTGTGAATAATGCATTTATGAGTACAATACACTGACCCATGCGATGAGTTAGAATGTTTGAATGTGTTTATAAACAATATACTGTTTGCAAATGACATGTTGCGCCGAGTGTCTGTCTTCGTTGTTTAATATGAATGGTTGGTTAAAAGTCCCGAATATTTGGTTCTGATGGTGATGAACCTGAGGAGAGAAATTGGTGCTATTAACGCAGACTGAGAAGTTGTATTTGTAAACCAACAACAAACTTTGGCTGCGTGTACCTACAACAGTTTTTCACATTGCCAAAAAATCTTCTTTTTTGCAAACAAAGGAAAGGGAAATACATAAACCGAAAAGGAGTTAAAGACATTTAGTACCAGAACAGTCCGTTGGTTATATTGGGGCAATGTTGGCTATTTGGTGCTTTTTTGTAGTCTGTCTCCTTGTTTACATTCATGTTGACTTACCGCAAACCCCCAACCTGCATGTCACCAGCCAGTAGACTGCACACGTATATATTTTTAGTTTCCGTTCTGAATATTTGTATTTTTGTATATTTTTGTATATGTGAGCAAATAAATATAGGCATATATATAGAAAGAAAGATTAACAGACTATGTAATTTCACACAATAAAGAGTTTAATCTGTTTACCCATGATTTTTATTTATATATACTATATATATATATATATATATATATATATATATATATATATATATATATATATATATATATATATATATATATATATATATATATATATATATATATATATATACATATATATATACATATATATGTGTGTGTGTGTGTGAAGCTGTAAAATTGCTCACATAACACCATACCTACATGATGGTAACCCTCCCCACCTTGTCCCTCTCACCGTTCTGCAGATGGTGCATTAGATGAATACTGTACTCAAGCTCTGTAATATCGGTATTTTCACGAGTTTTCATTTCTGCAATACTTGTAGAAAATATACTCATAATAATCCGCAAATTCCGACATGTTTTGATTCCAAGATTGTGAGTTACAGAGAGTAATTAAAGTGATGGTACAGTCGTCATGTTTACGAGAGGCTGCTTGTCCTTAGGCGGGGAGTGAGGTGGAGGTGCAGTAAACATTCCACTTAAAATTGATTTCATATGAAAATACGTCAAAGATTTCGTGAGTACCTGGAGGATATGAACAGGTTGATAAAATGGAGAATGGGTCCAAGGACACAAACTTGGGGCAGTTTAGCTCTACTGGGAAGGTAGGCAATGTTGGATAAGACAGAGATTCTGTAAATCAGGAAATTTGAACAGCCTGATACATTAAGTAATATAAAGAACAATGAGGGGACCCTGCACAGGCCTCCCTCCCTTATACGCCGCCACCTGCACAACTGTGCACGCACTGGAGAAAAACAGACTGACTTCCTCACTAAACTTTCAATTGAAATATGCCACATTTAGAATCCTTGATGAGTTAGGAAACATAAATCAGGATTATTTCAACACACCGAAAGTTACACATATAATTCTACTTGCCCAATTTAACTGACGTGATCCCCTAATATATCCACTTGTTCTTCTTTTTTTGTTTGTTTGTAGTGAAGGATTATTGGGATGAACGCCCTTGTTGACAGTATTCATAATTTTCATATATATATATATATATATATATATATATATATATATATATATATATATATATATATATATATATATATATATATATATAACGTCAGCAATATAATAAGGAGAAACAGACAATCGGAATTGAATGAAATAAACTTACAGTGTGGTCGTGGCAGGTGTCAGGTGTCAGGGCCAGGTGGCAGCACAGGCGAGGTCCACCAGCTGATGTAAACAACTATGGACGTGGAGGTTGAGGAGGTGGCTAAACTCTTATTTCCTGAGGGAATACCTGGTACGTAGGTCATACAGCATCTTAAGGTGACTCTGACATTAGTTTGGAGTTATTGTTTATGAAATTCTAGAGGTGATATTGTAGTATTAGGGACTTAACAGATTCATGTTCCTTGGCACCGGCCGAACTGTAGGGTGTAAGAGGGCGAGGAATCTGGACAGCCACTGAGGTTGGAGGCTATACACCCAAATATAACCAAAGGGTAACCATTGGTGAAGGCTGGCCTCTTGATAATTAGGTTTTCAAAATAACATGATGGTTTTTCAAGATCTAATTTCAAAGTGCAGTGCGTATGCTAATTCAAAGACAAGTGTGCCATACTTCCCTTGCAGTCTTTAACTATCATATACTGAATGGGCCTCTATACTATTAAGAAATTAGTATTTATAAATATATCATTCTGCAAAAGAAGTCAATGAACTGTCGAAGCTTTGCCAGTGTTATGGTTCTATTATTATTGGTAATAGTAAAGGACAGGTGCAGAACTCCTCCACCTGACTTGGTTTATTCTTGGTAAGAAATGTGTTTTCATCTACAGAAAATGTATTTAAATAGCTGATGAACCCAGATCTCTGTTTTCTACTATTTTCCATACTTTTACCCCAATGACTTGTCTACTAAATCTTACCTAACCTAGGGTACCGAGTAGGTTAAGCTGTTAGGGTAATACTTGACGAGAGTGGTCTGACCTTAGCCTTGATTTGAAGAAATTTTTACCTTTGAAATTAAAAGTTTTCTCCACAAAAATTTAATAAAAGGTGCACGAGAAATGTGTGCTACTCAATGTCACTGTCTACTTCCAAAATCAACTGCTTGCTATGTATTATAGTAACAAAGTACATTATAGTAGATCTTGACATCTTTAAGTTGTATCAAATTTCCTTCAGAAAGAAAACACTGTATTTGTGTAGACTGTAGATAACATTATTTTGAAATATGGCTGTAAAGCAGATACTGTACTGCATTATGGGAATTTTAGTCAGAAAACATTTTGAAATTTTGATGAATAATACTACAGTACTGTACTTTGGTTTGATGTGATTAAGTGTGAGTTACAGCATTTAATAAATTGTGTGATTGGCAGTTTTCTCTTTAATAAATACTGTACCTCATAATTAGCTGCTCATTGTTGTGCTTTTTGTTTGTGCTACCACCAGCATGATTGAAACTTTGTGATATTTTGTACATTTTCAGATTCATGGAAAGACAGTGAGGAGTTCAGCAATTACATCATACAGCTGGCATCATGTGGCGTAGAGAAATTAGGTATTAACTATGCTGTAGTTTTATTCTTTGATATAAATCTTATGTGTGAGGATCATCATGGGGTGTCCTGTGAGACTCTGCTAACTAGATCAGTCATGATTATGTTTTTCAATTATGAGATGATAATTTTCATTGGTTTGTCATGTGTGAATAGAAGGAGTAATTAAATGTAAATTATTCTAGCGAAGGAAGGTGGTCATCTGCGAGAAGAGAGAGCAGCTATCTTGGATCAGACAAGAGACTTGGCTTACACAAACTACAAGACCTTTATCCACACTGCTGACTGCTCTAGAGCAATTTATAAGGATGTAAGTACTAGTGATTTAAAATATTCAATTAAAGTTATTTATATAAGTACAGTAGAGAGCACTATGTGTGTATGTGCTGTTATAGTGGAATACCCTCCTACCATCTACACTGTATGTCCTTGACAGTCCTTGTCATGCACAAAATAATTTTGCACTTTATGTTTTCCAAGTGATTTTTCTATATTGTATACTTATAAATGTTTTCATTTACAACTTTAAATAAACAATGTAATTTAAAATGTTTTAACACTTGCCTGAAGTCAAGTACAGTAGTTTCATAATTATCGAAATACAGTACAGTACAGTACATGTACTTTAAAGTCAAGAAATATCCATGGTACCAGAAGTTCATTGTTTCTTATTAATTATAAGTGTGCAACTATTGTTATTTATCTGCAGTACTAATTTAGCATCGACCCAGAGACATGGATGGACTTGCGTAAGAAGAAAATTCTATTAACAACCTTGACTTCCTCTGTCGTGCAGTTCACTAGAGTGGAGAGCCACCTGGAGGGTCTTTCATCCTGTCTGCCCAACTTGAGGGGAAGAGTGGAGGGATTCTTAGTTACATCGAGGAACCTAGCACAGTCGCGCCACCTAACCTCACTAACACTTACAAAGCATACACAGTTATTGGAGGTGAGAAATATTATATACTGTGTCTCTTTAACCAATCTCTTAATATTTATTTGGCTATTTTCAATTGAGGAAAGTGGAAGAGACACTCAGGTTGGCTTAAACAGAGTGACCCATGACATCCATACTACTTGAATGCTTCATGGCAATGTAACGTATTCTTTTTGATTATCAGTTTGCTATGTCAATAACTTCATCATCATTTATTTTTAACACTCTCATAAACAATTATTTTCCATTGTTATTTTGTCTTTCACTGAACACCATAAAGGGAACGTACCAACCTTTCATCAGTCCTCTAAAACTGTTATTAATTTAATATCTTCAGTCTTGTCAATAACTAATCCAACTTGACCATTGAAGATTTATGTTTTGTTTTGTTTTTCCATTGGTGATCATTTTAAGTGTTTATTAAATCCCATTGGTTTTACTTTAATATTTATTTTATGATAACCTTTAATTGCATTTTGTAAACTAGATGGTTGTATTCTCAATTTGTTTATATTTAATAGATTTGTGACAATTTATATGGTTTGTCTACAGATTCTGGAGCTGCCACAACTAATGGACACCTGTGTAAGGAATGGCTATTATGAGGAAGCTTTAGAAATTCTGGCGTATGTTCGTAGACTTGAAAAAAAGCACACAGACATTCCTATCATTGCTGTAAGTATATGCACCTTCTTTACTGTAAAATTTTTAAGAGCTGTGAGTTAAGTGACCTGCATGACCACCTACCAAAACACCCGTGTTTACTTCCAGGTGCTGATATAGACCTTTAAAAATATTAAGTAATTATAGTACTGGACAATATTTATAGTGCTGACTAGAACCTGTATTAACCTCAAACATGTGACCATCTCCATGATTTTTCCAGCTTCATAGTTCAAAGTGTGATTCCCAGGTTTATGAGTTACAGTAAGGTCTAAGACATGGGCAAGAGAAGTAGTTCAGGGTTCATCCATGTGTACCTATTGACTCACTGGCTTTCATAACACACCAGAGAACCATGATCAGAGTTTGCTTTGTATACCCTGGATCATGTGGACAAGATACTGTCTATAAAGCTTCACACTGATCCAAAAGGACAGAACCTGACTCAGAAGTAATGTAGGTTCTGTTAGTGTGTTCCTGTAGGTGATCTCACAGGTCCCTTGACTCCTTTCCATGGCCATATATGGAATTTTATACTTCATTCCTTATTTTTTTGGGTGAATACATGAATATGAGACATGTAAAGTGAAGTACTGAGATGAATTATATGTATTTTATCAGTGAATGTGTCATTTTGCAGGGGATTGTCACAGAGGTACAAGCTGGTACTCGTTTGATGTTGAGTCAGCTTCTTGCCCAGTTGCGGTCACCCTTAGCTCTACCACAGTGCCTCAAAGTAATAGGTATATATTAAATTAACCTTTATTTATTTCTTGGTAATTATATTTCAGATTTATAACTACCGGTACATATCTATCCTATCATTATTTCATTTCTCACAACCCCGTAAGGTGATACGCATGTGTAACCTTTAACCTAACACTACACACATTCCTCCTCACTGACACCATTAAATTTCTAGGCTTTCTATCACACTGCCTCATACTCTGTGTTTCTCTTCTTTCTTTCACATTTATATATTTTTTTTAATGTTTCACTTTGTTCTAAACACACCATCATAATTCTATGTTCAGCCGTTCTTTACTGGGCACCTTGAGTATACGCATTCAAAAAGGTATTCGTACGGAACCCAAGAGACCTTGGTAGTTGTGGCCAGGACTGATATGATCTATTAGTTAATCTCCTCAAGAGCAACAACAGCTCTAATGGGAGCAACTAGGAAACAAGATTTTATCCTACTGTGACACAAAGGGAAATTAAGTGAACCTGATATCACAGAAATAACTGTGTAGAGCCTGGTCTCGAGATCAGCCACACTCCGGGCTTCCAAGCTTAACCTCATTTATCTGCATCTCTCATTGATTTGGGGCATTTTGACCTGGCCATATACCCTGTAGTTCTCGGTACAGGTATTAGTGCTGTAGTTAGTGAAAGATTACTTATATCATGTTAGAAGCATTGACTTAGGTTTTTTTACAGTCCAATTTAAATTCAACTAGCAGGCAAGTTTGGAGTCAGTGTCACCCACTCTGTGTCAGGGTACTACATATTTGATTTCATAGTGAATGATTCAGTCTGGATTTTCTTTTCCTGGCCTCACAAGGTGATACCTATTAATGGGAAGATTTTCTATGAATTAATATAGTGGCAAAAAGTAGGTGAGTATTTGAAGACTTTGGCATTGGAGTTCAAGCTTTCAAGGAGAAGGTTTATAAGCAATGGGGGTAGGTGCTGGTCAAGGTGTACTATATGTATTTTTCTTATATAAAATATTTTCTGGGTACCTCTTGAAACCTTGATGTATTTTAGGTCTGCTGCGGCGTTTAGATGTCTTTACGGAGCCTGAATTGAGACTCAAGTTCCTACAGGCCAGAGACTCATGGTTCAATGGCATCTTAAAGGGCATACCTAAGGAAGATGGTGAGTACTTAAGAATTTGCAGAGTGTGAACTTTATATTGGTACCTGTATTAACTTTGCTTGGAAAGTAGAGTAATGTTGCTTTTTCAGAGTGTATAGGAACTTAAATGTTTGGGGAAGAATGTACAGTACTGCATATATGATCACATCTCAAGCATCAGAAATATGAGATGAGGTGGATGATGAAATGTTGATCTTTTCTTCCATGTACACTTACCATTGTTCTGAGTATGAGGACTTTAGTGAATATAATTTTTTTCTTTAAATCTCCCACAGTATGGTCTCATATATAATTGTTTTCTTTTGACAGCGTATCACCACATAATCAAAGTAGTGGAAGCATCCCGAGTCCACCTCTTTGACATTGTGACTCAGTACAGAGCCATCTTCTCGGATGATGATACAAGATTCAGCCTTGGTGACCCTGAGGTTAATGAACAGGCAATCTTCCACGGCTGGATTTTGCATAAAGTTAGTTGTTAAATGTGTGAAATTTCAGTTGTATGAGTCAATTTATGGCCTCTGAATTCTCATGACTGACATAAGATGGAATGCTACTAATTCACAGAAAGAATTCAATGCTCAGCAGCAGTGTTTTGCTGCAAGCTACATGTTTAGCTTTTATCTCACCCATTCAAATCCAGATTCAGATACAGATTTGTTAGTTGTGTCAGACACAAGTGTGCATTCATGACTGAAGACTCTTACTCACAGGGTTCACTTTATTTAAAAATCCAGCTCAACTATATGGGATATCATGATGTAGCATTCTGTTTCCTGCCACTGATTGAACTGTAAAGACGTTCCTGAGGAGGGATAAGAGTTGATATTGCATTTTATTATTTTTCGGTTCATATTACTGCATACATTTTTATGAATTTGGCCACACAATCTTGAGTTCAGCCAACCATAGTGAACTGTACTTACATTTGACAACTTAATTTTCTAATTCATACCATTGCCTATCATTGTGCAGGTTTTGAATAATACTGTTCTTTACATATAATATACAGTACAGTACTAATGAAATGCTGATAGATCCCAAGTGAATTAAGGCAGGATTACATTTTCTAGTGCTTAGAATTTTATTCATTGACAAGCACACTGGAAGTTCATATCCTCTGAGGTTTGAATATTTAAATACTTAATTAAGATGTCGCATAGAATTTGCAACCTCAACTGAGTGAAAAAATATATTTATAATAACTCAACTACTGTAATCGTTATGAGTAGAGGCATGACCTCAGATTGCAGGGGATTCACTCCTACATATACCTCTGGTAGTCTTCCTTCTGTAATGGATTTTACACAAGAAATGAAAATTAAGAAATGTTACAATAAATTTTAGAGATTATCAAATGAGCATCAAATGTTTGTAAGTTGCTAACAGTAATTACTCTCAATCTTCTGACACTTGTGTACAGGTTAACCAGTTCATCAAGATAGTGGAGAAGGACTTGGAGCGTGGAGTTGGTGCTAACCTGGAGGCTGTCCTGGCCCAGTGTATGTTTTTTGGTCAGTCTTTCAGTCGCATTGGAGCTGATTTCCGAAACCTTCTTATTCCACTGTTCCAGGTCAGTTATGTTAGTCTGTTTACAAAGGATCATTAAAATGTGCAATAATAAAGTACTTTGTGATGTAGCAGAAGTAATTTGATGAAAACCTTAAGTTATTCACACAGTAAATACTTGAATATTATTTTACCTTTTCAGTGAGTCTTACAGTTTCCATTATTTTAACCATACAGAGAGCTGCACTGTTACAATGTGAGAAGGACATTAGGACAGCAAATATTAAATTTGATGAGACGCTAAGTAGCTTCTCTCTGATGGAGGCCCCACAGCTCAGTGCATCCACATCATTTATGGCTGAGACACAGGTAGGTATTCTTGAAAGGACAGTACGTATAATAAGGGGATAAAAACAACGAAAAGAATGTGTGTTGGTATTATTTATTTTTTGCACATAATTTTTTTATGGTCTTAAACTAGGAAAACATGTTTATATACATTTCCAAGACCCCAAAACAACCCTTTGATATTTTTGCATATTTTATTTATACTGTAATTACAGTACGTGTTTAGTCTTTCTTTTACTATTCAGTAAAAACTGTAACATTTACCAGGATAAGGCAAGACCTCCTCTTACTCTGATGGAATTTCCGCCTCTGGCACATTATATGAATGGATTGGTAACAGCGTTTAACACACTACGCCAGTGTTGTCCCGTGGCCACACTACCTGACGTCAATAAGCTACTGCATCAGTCTCTTACAAAGGTGCGTTAAATGCTATTACAGTTTCTGAGTAGTATCCAAACTTATTGAAAAAATTTTGAATTTTTATTGACTACAATAATGAAAGTATTTAGGTTTAGACAACTCAGGATATATCTGCCAGTTTCTTCTAATGTTCAGTTTACTGTACAGGTAATTGCTGCCTTCCTGGAACTTCATCGGCTGGAAAGTTCCGGTTTCACAGCTCGGGAGGAGGCAGCTTTTCAGCGCATGTGCTCAGTTGTAGCTCAAGGTCTTCTTCCACATATCAACAGCTGTCTTCGTCTCCTTTATCCACTTCAGCAAATATCTCTCATCACTGGTGTTCCTGTGATGCAGCTTCAGAGAGAGGTACAAATCATCATTATATATGTATTTTATTCCTAAATATCATTAATGATCCAGAATGAAATGTGGCTTATTTCATTTCACATGGATATTGACAGTGCAGTATTATATGAGTGCCAATACCTAGGGTGCTTAAGTAAGGCAGCTTGTATTCTGCATTTTTGTGTACAGGTATACTGTATACTTGATCCTATATGACTTATAAGGGCTGTGATATTGTTTGCAAGGTAGATATGTTCATTATTGGCTTAAAATCATTGTGTACAGTACACCACAAATTATCATTAAAAACAATTTGTAGCATTTTAAAAAAATTATAAATGTATCTTAGCTTTTATTATAGGAAATATATGGGAAAATGTGTTCAAATTTATGAAATAGTTTTTACCTCATTCTGGTCCTGTTGGAAAGATTGGTAACTACCCTGTACAGTATACTGTAATTAAAAAAATACAGGTACTGTATCTGTAATTGGAACACTGCTTGATCCAAAGGAATTCAGGCTGAAGATCTTCCATTGTACCTACAGTATTTCCAAGTAGTATTAATTTCACAATTTTTTTTTCAATTTCATATTTTCAGAACTTTGGTCTCCTGAATTTAGAAGAGATGCTAGCACCTATCGAGCATCTTCTACCCAAAAAAGAAGAAAACTTAGCCTCTGACTTAGATTTTCTTCAGGATCAAGTTACAGCACTTGGAAGCAGACTTGAAGAATCCCAAGTTGATGCAACAAATGTTACCATAGATAAAGTTTCGAAACTGCAAGTTAGTTCTGACACAGTTCCAGATAATGACCAAATAGAAAAGGCAGTGTCTGTAATTGACACAGAAGCTCCACAGGATGACCTTGATAGAGCACAAGATAATCATGTAAACAGTGCTGCTGAGATGGTACTCTCTCAAGACCTCCATCCTGATGCTCAAGAACACTTATCCAAAACTAAAAAACAAATGACAGCACCTGAAGCTCAGGTGTTAGAGCAACAATTAGATTCAGCTCGGCAATTAATTGCAATGCCAAATGTAACACCACTGTTGGAACCTGTACAACTAGCAGATGAAATGCCTGTGTTAGAACCTGTACAACCAGCAGATGAAATGCCTGTGCTAGAACCTGTACTACCAGCAGATGCAATGCCTGTGTTAGAACCTGTACAACCAGCAGATACAATGCCTGTGTTAGAACCTGTACAACCAGCAGATGAAATGCCTGTGTTAGAACCTGTACAACCAGCAGATGCAATGCCACTGTTAGAACCTGTACAACCAGCAGATGCAATGCCTTTGTTAGAACCTGTACAACCAGCAGATGCAATGCCACTGTTAGAACCTGTACAACCAATATATGTAACACCACCACTAGATACAGTACCACCATTGAACCCAACACCATTAGTAGAACCAGTTCCACCAGCAGACACACCATTATCCACAGACTCATCACTACTGCTATATGACATACCATTACAGTAGATCCAAAACCATCAGTGCATACATCTACCATCACCATCATAACCCTCTGTCCCACAAAACCTAACACCATCATAGAAACTTTTTTGTATAAGAATACCTACCTTTACTGTTAATCATTCAAATATCAACAATCCCAAACAGTTATACACATGTTAACAACCATTAATTAGTGAGATAGTGTTGCTGCATCACCCGATCATCTAGTAAAATTAGTCCGATGTCCTCGCCTTCCTAGAATTAAGTTATATATTGAATTAAAGGTATGGTTAATTTTCATATATGCATTGCTGTATATATATCACGATAAATTTTAACATTACCACAATACTGTATATAAAATACAAGTAATAATTTATGAATGCATATTAATTGTGTACTATTAGTATTGATATAACTGCAATGTTTACATCTTGGAAGTGACAACCCAGGGCACAATCAGAACCTCACCATTCTGTAGTACTGTACACACTCGTATTCCTCCTCCTAGGAAACCTTGGATAAGTCTATAAGCGTTTTCTTCCTTGCCCATGCTTGATACAGCCCAAAATAACCATGGTCTGTCTTGAATGTTTACGTTTGTGTGATACTGTAATTCAACTGATCTCGCGTGACCACTGTGAGTGCATTAAGCCAGAATTATAGTACCAGATTTGCCTGCCGGTTTGAAAAAATTGCCAGTGAAGGTGCTCGTGATGCAGCCTTATATATATTGTTGTTTTTTGTTTTTGTTTTTCATATATCTTTGTTTTCTTTCTCTTGTTAATACAGTATTTACCTAAGACAACTCTGATTTTTCACCAAATTATTTTTTAGTGCAAATATTTGATGACTCCACCAATGTAATTAATACAGTGTAGTAATCAAACAAACATCAGATATCTTCAGTAATCTGTTTTAAAGAGTTGTGTGTCTTTAATACAGGTATGGAGGTGGTGTACATAAAAGAAAAAATATATCATAAAATATATATCAAGCTAATTTGCCAGAGAGAGCTTTTAACATTTTAACATTTTTTAATTTAGGGGGATACCTGATCCTGTTGTCTGTACACAGAGAAGCAGCAGGAACCTCAAAAATGGTGCCCTGTTGTCCTTACCAAAGAGAGAGACAAGGTCTTTACTGCTAGAGATGGTGCCAAAGTTAACTCAATTGCAGGAGTAAGAGGTGGCTGGCTGAAGTTCAAGAGTCATTGCATTTATTGATGTCAAAAGGGCCTTCACTTCACTTCAAGTTATATACAGTATCGCCAAAGTAAGAAGTGTGTTGTATGGTAGTGAAATATAGCAGATAACTCTCTGGTACTCTTGCCCATGGTCGGAAATATCTTCCCGACACAGGTTGCGTCAGTAACAGGAATGGTTTTTCCATTTTAGTAAACATTGGGTAGTGCAATCCAGACCCAAATTGCACCATTAGAGATGCATCTACCAGCCCAAGAGGCTAATGGGAGGAACTTAGATGTGAGATACGGCTGAGCGGCAGGTGTTGCGCCAACACGGGAGCGTTTAGCGACGTAATTTGCATCTAAAGACCACGAGAGGGTTAAAGAGAATGACAGAGTTTTACGAGATAAAATGAGAAAAGGGAAACGGATGTGTAATAATACTTGGAGATAGGAAACCCTGCTCAGAGCTAATAGAGCATTAGAGGAGTTTTGTATATGGGTAGGCTGAAATGGTTGAGGCATATGGAGAGAAGGGAAGAGATTAGTTAAGACAAAAGATACAAGAGTGAACTAAGGGTAGGCCAAGAATAACAGTAGTAGTTAAAGTCTATGAAACATCATTTGTCTCGGTTCACACGTAAACAAGCAATGTCAGCTTCCCTGAAGCACATTTACGATGAAAACGTCAGAAAACTAAAAGTAGGATGTTTGCAATTCCTCCACCCATTTCTTCCTATTCATCAGGTGAGGAGCAAGTTTATTTTATAGAAAATTTCCCTAAAATTGCTCCTTCCCACGTGTCTGGCGTTTAAAGTATTACCAACATGTCTACCACTTGTATACAGTAGTCTTGGTCATAAAAACATATAAGCGCAGCTGCAAGACCACACAGTGTATATTGACTCAAGATCAGATATTACCAACCGTGGTACTCTGACAATTCATCACCGGACAATTTGTCACCAGGTTATTTCATCACCAGTGTATAAATTTGAAGATATTGGTTGGTGTTGGTTAACATAGAGGCTTAAGCTCCAGTACTGCATCCGAGCCCCAACCTTCAGTAGCGATATTCACAAACAATTAAAATCAGTATAAACCTAACCTAACCGTGGCTTCATCGGTTCCAAAGTAAAAACATTATTATCTAAATTTAATGAGTACGACACTGTATTAATAGAATTACCTGGTGACGAAATATCCGCCCACAACCAACAGCACAAATTAAAACAAGTGCATGTGAATTATGTTCACAAATGCTGTTACTGTATTCAGTTTCACACAGAATTAATACAAAAATAATTATTACTGTACAAAGGTTCCATAAAACAAGACAATGTTTAAAATAAAATTATTAATCTATTTTAGATTTTGATTAGCGTAGAGTTACAAATGCTTAATATTGATAATATCTACAAAATAATATTAACAATATTTTTTAAAATTTGACATATTCTGAGTAGCTTAACAAACTACTAATGCTGTGGCTCATCAGTTTCTTGAAAATAAATTTAAACTTTTTCTATTAATAGTACATGCAAAATGGGTCCTAAATTCACTTATAAAGCACATCAAAAGTACTTATATAACTACTTCCTACATATATCACTTTATATGGTACTGTATATAACTTTAAACATACTTAAATATTAAGTCAAAGCCTTTACTATACTTAATTAAAATAAAATATGCATCCTATAAATATTTGTATCGGCATAAACCACACAGCAGGACACTACACAATATCAAGAGGAAAGACATACAGTATCACTATTAAAAACACAAGACAAGTATAATCTACTGTGAGTATTCTGACGATTAATTATTGTTTGTGAGACCCATTAACCTATTATTAAATCAAATTCGCTGTGGTGTTTCCCACTCCTTCAGAGAGAAATCTACAGGAAGTTATAACATCAATAATGATATGCCCAGTAGATTAAAAAAAATGCTTCACATTTTCTTAAAAATTTATTCCTGGGGGAATATAAATACATTTTGGATTAAAAATCATTATGCTTAGCTTTGCAGGCTTGGACTTTAATATTATTATTAATCAGAATTTCCTAATATGATAAAAAAATTTACTCTATATTCTACACCTCAGTACTACACTAGAGGACATCAAACAGCTCCTCTTCACTCGAGCTGTCGGTGTCATTCCTGTGATACTCTGGCAAGTTGTTCTCATTTTCTTGCTTAACTTCTTCAAAATTTAGGTTTCCACTACCTTTTAAACTTTCAACCTGTGGGATAAAATATAAATTAATTATGAAATCAGATATCATTCATATAAGAAAAGCCATAATAATAGAAGCAAATTAGCCTAAATACTGGGGAAAATGACAGATTGAATATTATTATAAGTTGTCACATACTTGGTACAGTTATGAAGCAAAATAATGAATGCTGAATTTGTTTGGTGTATGAGTCAGCCAGGAAGTAGGACTCAACAGCTGGCTTGTGTACCATGTTCAGTCCAATTTCTAGATCTATAAATGCCCAGATTTCTTTAGAAAAAACATCCTGAGTGGAATACCCTACAGTATTGAGTCAAATGTTTTGCAGTGAGGCTTATTGCCTCCTAAGGTATCAGAAATAACTGTGTCCAATATCGTGTTTAAACTGATCATATTTATTTCCTTACCTCAACTGGTGGTTGATAAACAAATAAAAAATCTTCTTCATCACTTTCTGTCCAATCTGTCCATGTATTTCGAACGGCTTCTACTCGATCAAGTGAAAGGAAACTGCGAACACTGCTGGCCAGCTGCTCCTGATCACTGTGGAAAGACAAATACATTAAAGAGGTACAGTATTTATTTCAGTAAACTAATAGTAGGTCTTCATTCTAATACCATTACTTAAGAGTTTCTGACTTAGAATATGGTAACTAACTAAATACCCGGTAGTTATGTTTGGTGTTCAATAATTCAACACACTTTAGTTCTACTGTATATGTGAATAGGCTGTACCATAAACTGATATGTACACACACTCCAAAAAGTACCGTTTCTTTATGGCAGAGTCCTATGTATTTCAAAATGAACACCGAGACTCTTGTTGTCTCGATAGGGTTATCAAAATCCTTCATCTGTTATGTCATATTATTTAACGCAAAACTGAAAAAGATATTTTTTGGAGTGTGTGTACATCCTAGGCTATTATATAAGACCTGTAGCAGAAGGCTCTCTTGTAAAAGGTAGGTGGTACCAAACCAAGCTGCAAACATCACAGTACAACTTCAATTTATATAACACAGCTGTATAATATTTCTAATGTGTTTATATATGGAGAAGTTTTTTTCATTTAGCAAAGGAAATATTAGATAAGATTTATTTAAACAGAATGCAACTAAAAGTAGATAGCAATAACATCAGTGACTAGAGCATCCTGTGGAGACTAACAAACATAAGGTGATTAGCAGGGTAACTCAGTAGCTTCTCTGGACATTTATTCTTAAATATTACACTGAGCTATAATTTAGGTAAATCAATAAATGCCGATATCATCGTAATAAAAAAAATTGGTCCAGATATTATGAGACTGACAGCTCACCTTTTAAGTCCTATACTAGTCTCAGAAAGAGGAACAGTGCCTCCTGCTCTCAGTACCAGTGCAACTTGATAGCCATCCTTGAGTCTGTTGAAAAAATCATTTCTTAAATGAGTAGGTACTGTGCAGTCTTCTTATGACAAAAATAAAAGACTACTGTATTTCTAAAAGAAAAATAATAGTTTAGATTAGTCTCCTGGGTCTTGAGTGATATACAGGAAGTAAATATAACCCCTCAGCTGCTGCAGGTTACTATTACAGACTTCAACACTGAAAGGAACATCTTCAGATTGGTGCTTTAGAAAATATATAGTTTCCTGAAGCTGTTCTATCATTATTTGGAAGGAATCGAGGAGGTTGTGTTGTGAGTGAGGGTGTACAAGATTGTGTATTTTTAACAAATTCACCTTTTTATATACAGGTATTTCTAAATGCAGTATTTTACAATTAATTCTCAAATAACAAAGATGCATCACTGAAATTCAATCCTGTACGTACACTCACCTTCCACTGCCATGTACAACTCTCACAGTCATCACAGAGCTTGTATCTAAGACCAGAGTGTTGTGATCAGCACAGCGGCTCGTTAACCACTCAAACCAGTTGCGGCGAGTCATGGTTACCAGTCCCTTTGTTTTATCAAATACACAATCCTGTAAAGAGATTAAGATTGTTACACAAGACGAAACAGAAGTAGTGGTAATTAACTTGGTAGGTTTTCAAAATTGACAGTTGTATCATTCAAGCCAAGATGATCAGACAAAATAAGCAATTAAGTGCTCTATGGATTTATTTACATTTGGAGCTATAATGTAGAGTGACTGAAATCAAGCAAACACAAATTTACTCTTGCTGCAGTAATAGATGTGTTCTTCTATGGTATACCCTTATACAAAAGAGGTAAAACCATCTGTCTGGTTTACCCCCGACTGCTTCACACAACCAAACCACATATCCACACATCACTCACGGAAAGACTTTAGACAATAAGTGGGGGGTGTACGAGAGATTCAAAACACAAAAAAACATTATGCTTTAAAGAGATCACATATAAATACAGAGAACACGGACTTCAAGCAATATTTGTATGCCATGTTACAAGTAAATATGAATACTTAGTGCCCCTCAGTGGCATGGCAAGTAACATCTGGTTTACAGGCCCTTTTAAGACTGTCCCTGACTGATGAATTATATTTAGTCTCATCAATTATCAAAATATCGTACTCTCTTCCAACGTACCATCAACATGTCATGCATGGAATTCTATCAAAGAACAAAATGGACACTCTTTTATAGTATTGTACTATACTGTACAAGAAATATATTTGACTTATGTTTCAGAAGACAAACAAACATTCATATAATCTTTCAGCAGTGTTTCCTGTACACAAAGTAAAAGTTTTCTTACCTCCCAGTCATCTAAAAATGTGAGTCCCAAAATGAGGCAACCAGTCAGATAAGCTATCTTCATGAGAATATGTTCATCTGAAAATAAAATGTCACATGAAAATATGCATCATTATATACCATACACAGTATACTGTATATGTTTATAAATGGTACAATATTTAGTTTTGCTAATGATAAAAAAATATCAAAATTTTTTAATACTTCCAAGAAAAGAACTGTTGGTGGTTTTCGTCTCAGAATTTTTTTTGCCCATATCAGAGTAAGTACAGTACTGTACTGCACTATAGTATTTCCATGCTAAACTGGCCATGCCCCTCGTCTATAGCTACAAATAGCGGATTGGTTTCCCTGAGCGTTTTACCTCCTCCGGAACTGCACTTATATAAGCGCGTATTCATATCGACCTTTTATGATAAATATTTAAAATTTTCTAACATCCTCTCTGAAGTGTTAATGCCTTGAAATCATTTGCATTTTGATAGTCCAGATATTTAACATTATTTTAGATAATAACAGGTCTGCTTACCAATTGTGAACACATTTGTGTTTGAATTTTCTATGAACCAATCAGTTATTAGTATTGAAAAGGGGTGTGGCTTATGGGCCAGGTTAGCGTGAAAAGGGTATAGTACGGTACTTACTTTGTCTAAGATACTACTTTTCCTTGTTTTTCTGACACACTGTCTTTTGTGAACCAAAGATTTAGTCTTCAAGGTGCTGTATCTGCACTGCCTCTAACAAACCCATCAAAAGTTTAATGCAAGATTAATTTAAGACCCAATGGGACCAAACTTCCATCTCTATTTAGGGTCCACTGTAAATTGATAACTGGCACACTAAAAGTTTTACATGATAATAAAAAGTAAAAAGGAGATTATATAACCTAATTACGAGCAAGTTTTCCTACCTGGACTGTAGTATGATGCTCCCACACCAACTGATAGCACACCTAAAAAAGAGATACAATACTGTACTACAGCACTAAGCAAAGTGTATACCTGTACAGTGAACTTTCACATTACTGCCATATTATTTACCAAATGCATACTTTCTTCACCAAAATTGTTTCAGTAAATGCTACAAAACTAAAATATTCCTCCAGAAAATCATCTTTTTGTTAGGTTTTTAAAGAAAAATCACCCCACACTATACAATACAGTATATAGATACCAGGTACTAATTTCTATAGAATTCTACTTAACATTTAAAAAAGCATTATACTTGTCATATCAATAAGGATATACAGTACAGTCTCGAGACGTATGCTGCATCCTCATTTGTGTCTACTATGTAGCATAATTTGCCAATCATTCAATTCAAATAATGAAACTTATGCAGCTTTCACTTGATCTTCACTGCAGCTGTGGTAACTTCATAAACTTGCTACTGCACTTTCCAAAGGGTGGAGCAGGTAAGTCCACATATGTATTTTGTTGATCTGTGAGGGCTGGAACTGGCCCTAGATGGGTTGTAGATAGGAGAGCTTACAATGCCACTGTCGGGAGCCATTTACTGGTGTGCCAAAAATAAAAACTAACCACCACAGCTTATTTCAGCAGTCAACAAACCATTATCGCCAAAGGTTCCAGGGAATGGCAACATGGTAAGAGGATAAAGTAAAGTAACACTTGCTACTAGAAGTGTTCCTGTGTATGGAACGGTGGCAGGGAAGCAGTTATATGTATGAAATGATTGTCAGGTAAACAATGAAAATAGCATCTGCATAACATTGCGAGTGAACATAGATTAGTTTAGGACAAAAAGTCATATAAGCTACAATTCCTCTTACTTTTCTGAATTTTCTAGAAGAAAGAAATTGCCTCCTATGAAAAAATATTATAAAGTTGTTAGTTAACCTGGCCCAGATACTGTCTTGGTGAGGATACTTACCCATAATATAACGTTTACCCATAATACAAAGTTTGACAACTATAGTCGCCTAATGATAGCAGAATCTTTTACTACTAATCAAATAGTTCAATCTTTTACTGCTAATCAAACAATTCATTGTCATATCTACCTTCTGCGTCACAATCAATAACTTATGAGATGACAAATTGTTATATATTCGCCGTTGCCATAACATCTGCCATGATCTTACTCTCAAATGTTCACTGTTGAGTCTACATTATAAAGAAAAGATAACAACTCTTATATCATATCACACAATACACACCGACAAAGATGCTCCATGACTTTACTCCTGGACCCACAGAGAGATGAAGAACTTCTCGACTGCTAAGTGCAACATTCATCTTGGTGCTTCATGCTCCTTCCTGTGTGACGCCTCACCCTTGTTTACATCTGTCAGCTGATACTCTCTCCTCTCAAGTAAATACACAGTCCTCCTTTTATTTATCAATTTATCATAGATATTCCTTGATATATATAATTTCTTCAAATTTATTTAATCATAATAGATTTAATCCACAAATTTATCCTTTATCAGTTTATGCTAACATTAACGATGAATGGTACCCTGTTGTCACACCTCACATGGGGATAGCGTCGTCAGATTTCCATGGTAACAAGGGTCGTGCGCCATTTTGGTGATAAGCGACTTATTGATATTGAAGTAAATTGACAAATGAACACTCCTTCGGTGTTTTCTAGCCTTCAGATCTTAACGAAAGCAAAAAAACACACACAGAGCTACACAGGCTGGTAACTAGACACCGCACCACAAAATTTGGGTCCAAAAAATGATCGGTGTTGATCCCTAGCAATAATATTGCACAAAAACAACAGTTTATCATTTCAGTATTATTATAATTTAGAATTATAGTTTTATAATAACAAAAGTATAAGTTACATCTGAACATACGTTCTTAGAATTACATCACCTCCTGCTGTTGTTGATTTTAAGTGCACACAACCTTACTGTAATCAAGAAAATTTGATTAATGCATGTATTTTTATATTATTTAATACAATAATTACAACATTATGGTGAAAAAGATAAAAAGCGTGTATGTGTATATAACTCCAGATTTTTCTTTGCACAATTCCGTGTTTACACTGTCAAAGTTCTGTGTATAAGACAACTTTCACACTACAGCACTTTTGAAAATAGTTATAAAATTCTGTCCAGTGTTCAGTCATAAATCCCTGTTGACAATCATCACAAGATAGTGTGTGCATCATGGCATCATATGGTTTGCGAGTACCTAACATATTATGTAGGTTAATCTCATCTGGCTCGTAATTATCCGTGCATGGTGATCGCCCTTTTTAAATATAAGATACACATGTTAATTTCTGCTTTGGGTTTCGACTGGGCCTCGGTTGCAATCTGCCTCTGGAACTCCTCCCTTTTACACTCTGATAATATGATTTCTGAACCAAACACACATCACTATCCTGTTGATCAATAATGTCCACCCATCTCTTGTTATTTTGGGATTTCTTCTTACATTTTAAAAGTCACTGGCGTCCTTCCCTGTCAAAGCGATTTTTATCTTGAGTGTGACCTGAAATGGGGTGACTGTTAACTCCAGACATATACTTTTGACTGAGTGACGCCCCTTAAGATGTGTATAAGTTTATATTATTTGACCCTTGCCCTTCTACAGCTAAAGTAACAGTAAACGTTGTGATCCAAGTTCTCATTGGTTCAGCGTGTCTGCACAGTGGTAAAGAAACAATGTGACTTGTGTGTAAAAACTAATGCAGAGTATTTTAGAAGACGCGGGGGTCTGCTTGTCATCCTCCAAAGTCGTCCTTTAGATGGCCAACAAGATATTATTCACCTTTATTTTGCTTCTGGTATATTCTTTTCAGCATTATAGGCCAGTGTATATTGCGAGGTGTAACTGAATGTATATTGTTAAGTACTGCATGTACTGTACTGTATGTTGTGAAGTAAAACCCATGTTGTCTTGTAAAGTGTATCAGAATGTGAATCATGGAGGATATTTTGAAGTACTATATAATGAATACTTTTGTTGTAAAATATAATTGTATGGATGCATTGCGAGGTATATTTTGAAGAAAAATAAATATCTGATATGAATTTTATAACCGAATGGATATTTTGATCAAATTCAGAAGTCTACTTGAAAATACTATGAAGTTAAATGTATATTGTACAATACATTATATTGCTCAGTATAATGTACTAGTGTGCAGAATAGTATAATATAATTTAAAGAGCCTGACAGAAGTTTAATATTCTGACTCCGCTATACAGATAATGAATTATATAAATAGTATATTTTAAACATATTTTGTTATTATTATCAAGTAATATTAATGTTTACTGGTTGTCTTTGGTGGTGGTAGGAGGGGGAGGGGGAAGGAGAGGGCTGAAGTCGACGGTTGAGTCAGTAGACAGAGTCACTGTGTGAGTCAGTCAGTGATTGTGTACGTATGTCATCTCCTCCCGCGTGTTTGAACGTCTCTAAACTTGTCATTCAGCAAAGACTCAACAACATCTCTGTCGCTCAGTTGGGAAGATATACCAGTGGTGGACATGCCAGCATTTCACGGTAGGTGTGAAAGAGACGCGGGGAGGGAGGGAGAAGATGCAGGTCAACATTGCCATACACGTTGTAGTTGAGGCTTGTAATATTTACTAACTAAACTGATGGCCAGGGAATCTTGATTTATGACTTTAAAAAACGCGTGTTATTGTAAAGTATTACGAGGAATTAGTTTGTGAGGATAACATGGATCATCTCGCCTCTTGCTTTTGTAAACCCAAGAGAAATACACAACGAGATTTTACTTAAAAAATTTGTTTGGTTAATATTAGTGCTGGTTTTTGATCCTGACATGTTAACTCACAAGCACTAGTTTTAAGCCTCATCCACTAGCAGGAGATGTGTAATAAACCTCTCCAGGCATGAGGTGCTGTGAAGTATTATTTTTAGTAGATAGAGTTTAAACATTTCTCTGAATTATGTAGAGTATCAAGTTCCCAGTTTAAGATCACCAGTGAGGGTTTACAAATGGTGGCTGGGAGGAGACTACAGCATTGATCCAACCTAAGTTGTACAAAACAAGATAAAATTATGAGTAAAGTGTTTTAGGCTCACAGGCTTAGAATATTATTATATTTTGTGTTCTCATTCAGACATTTGTTTTTATACAGAAAATGTAAATTCAGCCAAGTAGAAAGGAAAATATTACTGAACGGTTCCTTCAATTTATTTGTTAATTATTCTGCAAACACCGGTGAACAATTTAGGCATTAAAAGCTATATTACTAGAAAGTGGCTATTGAGCCTGGTCACCTGGTAAAATGACGGTAAAATTGCAGTTTCGGCCAATATGCCCTGGTAGTTTAGAAATTAGTTTATCCTGTGTATTTTGGTGTGATTTAATCGAATTTGACCTTTATTTCTGGGGGAAAGTGACCGTTTTAGAGTATGGAAAACTTATAAATTAATTTTTGACGTTATTACTCTTTGCCCCCTGGTTGAAATGGGATTAGAAATACTCCAGATAAGCAGATCTAAAGGTTTGGGATGGTTAAAACAGTCGGTCGTGTATTGGCCGAAACTGCAATAATACAAAAATAACCGACAGTTGTATACAGCTGCATTGTTTGTTGTTTTTTATAGATGATATACATAACCTAACCTGACGACCCAGGTCAGACAGCAAAATAGCTCGAGGGCTTTTGAGTTGGGTCCCCAGGTACTCACACACAGGTAAGCATCCCTTCTTTACCTGTCCTTGAGGCATGTCAGGTCACTTTCTGATCTGACTTGAGGTAAGGTTTAGTTAAGTTAGGTTAGGTAACGTATATTGTTGATAAAAACTATAAACATCGCTGCTGTATACAACTGTAGGCTATTTTAGTCTGAGCCAGCTCAACCACTTCCATATTATGAAGTGGTTATTACCATGTTTTTTTTTTTTACAATAGTATAGCGAGTGTTCACTATTGTCACATTTCACAAATACCAAGCTTTATTATGTGATGATAGGTTAGGATATGTTTTCTTTTTTCCTAATGATTCTTATTAACATGCGCATCTCTTCTAAACTTTCATGTTTCTTGTGTACCATTTTTGCACATATGGAGAGTAGAGAATCCTAAGCTGCAGGTTAAGGATTTAGTGTAGAAGAGCTTCAATAGATTTTGTTTAAGAACAACTAGCATTTTTAAATACAAATTTTTAGTTATAAGAATATGAAAAGCATATTTTATTGTATGTATATTGTACAGTAGAAATATTTAATATAATCCTCATTCTGTTACCTTGCAGTGAAAGTGAAATGGGGGAAGGAGATGTATCCTGATATTGAGTTGGATACAGGTGAGCCCCCCATGGTGTTCAGGGCTCAGTTATTTGCCTTAACTGGTGTTCAACCACAGCGCCAAAAAATTATGCTCAAGGGCACCACCATGAAGGAAGATACTTGGGATGGACTCAAGATTAAAAATGTAAGTAACTGCGTGGATATTTCTGGCTTTTGGTAAATAATCGTGTTTCGTGTATCGGTACCTAATATTGTACCTAATGGATTTTCACACATGGAAAACCATCACCTGAAATCCAAAAGTTATGTTAGATTTTGTGTGAAATTGTCATGCTTACAATTTTCTTCCAATTTCTTTACAGGGAGTGACAATTCTCATGATGGGCAGCAAAGAGGAAGATGTTCCTGTTGAACCCACAGAGAAGACTGCTTTTATTGAGGATATGTCTGAGGCTGAACGAAATACCATGGTATGCATCTGGTGTAAATTTTTTAGGTTTATATTGCAAGAACACTGTTGTCTCTTGCTTAGCATCAGATAAGTCCTTTCAGTTTACATACACAATAATACCCTGTACAGTATTCCCAGTAACTTTGATCACTGTCTCAGAGATACAGTTTTTTGCTTGAAACATACATCCACATGATGATGAGTACACTTATACTCTTATTCACTCTTAATGTTTCTGTTATACACTCCCTAGCTCTTCATTAGACACTTCACAAATATACACGGAATGCAGATGTGATAATTGTACAATCACTATTTGCTCCACAGCATGGTGATATGTAAAGGTAAAGGGTAATGGTAGCATTTTTAAAGATAAAATATTACTCGTTTGGTCAGTCATGTTCAATTTAAGATGTGCCTCGTTATCAGGTTATGTGGCCAAATACTGGGAGTTGCAGGATATGGACTACAGTCCCAAGCTTGACCCGAATTTAGCACTTTTTGTGCATCCATCCATTCAAGCAGATAGCTTGTTATACTAACGCATCTTACAAGATTTAAATAGAATTTAACAAAACTTTGCACTCAAGAATGTGAACAACTGAAAAATTGCATAAACTACAATGTTTATGCTAACTTTGTTAAGTTAGCTACTTTATATGTGATCTTATTTAACATAAGATGTGGAGATAGTCAGTAGCTGAAGTTGAGTTTTATATTCATGTTTGTTTTTATTATTTCAGTTGGAGTTACCAGTGGGTATTAAAAATCTTGGCAACACCTGTTACCTCAATGCTGTTGTACAGTGCCTCAAAACAGTACCCGAACTTCATTCTGCGATTAAAGAATTTAAACCTAAACGTAAGTTCCCCTTTATTGTCATTAGGAGTTTTTTATTTGATCTTCATTAACTCATTAATTTCCAACATCATGTTTACAAATTCTCATGATAGTGGAATATTATATCTTGCTTCTGGTAGGGAAGAATTTACTTTGTACTGTATGTGATCAGGCAGTTCAGACTGATTAATTATCCAAGCTTATCTTAGTTAACAGTACCTTTGTGCAACCAAACTGTATTTAAGTTCCATTTTCAGAAGTGCTGAAACAATATTCAGTAGTTTTAATTAACATAGCATTATCTTTTCATGTGTCCATTAGTAGTTCCTTTACTTCCACATGAGTGAGTATAGGGTATAGTCTTGTGGTTATACATTATCTATTACTGTACCTGTATTATTTTAAATCTAATGGAACTTTGCAGGACCTGGTGGAGAAGCAGACTCATCTGCTGCCTCTTCATCTCTCTTAACACTAGTAGAGGTGGAGTCTGGGTCTTTACTCACCTTAGCTATACAAGATTGTTATCGCACAATGGATAGTGGCAAGACTGCTGTTCCTCTTGTTCTTGTTAATCTTTTCCGCACTAACTTTCCCAGGTAATTTTATTTTGAAATTTTACGTGTCTTATAGTCATTTGGATGTTTGTCTGTCTACAGTATACAGGTATATGTGTCGGTAAAACTTGTTCGAACAATTAGACCACAGTTTTGATGATATTTTGTTCAGTATTTGCCTAAGTAAGGTCTAGGATTGAATTCTGATAAAGTCAGTAATGTTGGTGATATTTCTGGAGGGATCAGAACATTGAATACATGATACAGTATATTATTTTATGGCTATATTGAGTTTTAAGGCTGTTTGCTTTAAGCAACATACTTTATTTATGTATTTTTTCCAGATTTGCTGAACAAGGGGAACAGGGTATGTACATGCAACAAGATGCTTCTGAATGCTGGACAGAGTTGATGCGTCTTTTGATGCAGGAAGTGACAGCCATAGATGCTTCAAAGACATCAAAAAATTTCTCGTAGGAACAAATTTTTCACTTCATATTAGGTTGTCAATAAGATTTTATAACGGATAAGTCTGGTAAATAAGAAAGTTTGGCTGATTGTAGAGTGGAGTGTAGAGGCATCTGGTCATGGGACCTAGTAGGCAAAACCTCTTGGAGGCTCCTAAATTTTGAAATCTTTGAGGATGAATAATTTAATTGCATACAGTACTGTAAACTGTCACTTTACTATTTTGTTGCATGAGATGATCAGGAATTAAATAACCAGTCTAATGACATTGGAGTTAAGAAACAAGAAAGACTGCAAGAGACCGTACAGTACAGCAAGGATTACCACCATCAGGTAATCGCAGCATCTCCTGCCCCTTCATTCAGGCAAAACTTAGTAATTCAGCTAGTTCTTAATACTATATCTGTTAGTGTAATTTAAGCAGTACTGTAACTATGTTGATAATTTTCTATTACAGAATCTTATACTGTAGAAGATGACCTCAGGCAAACCATGTGTGGAACTTGGGATTTTTTTTTTTATTGTATTTTTTTACACTTGTAAGCATTAGATGTTTTTGGTTGATGAATTGGATGAATGGATTTTAGATTTATTTGTTGAAAAGTCCTTAATTCTCACCATACAGTATATGATATTTATTCCAGATCCTCACTTATCGACCAGTTCTTCAGTGGGGAATATTCATGTGAATGGAAGTGTGTAGAGAGTGAAGAAGAAGAAGTCACTCAAAGTACAGACAAATTTCAGCAACTCATGTGCCATATAAACCAAGATGTTAAGTACTTACATACAGGACTTGTGGCTAGAATGCAGGTTGGTAATAGATTTAATCAGTTGATATATACTGTACCTTATTATTATTTATTTTATTTATTTCTGTCCGATAGGTGGAGCAATTTTGTTGTATATTAAGGTGAAATATACAGTTTAGTATATAAATTTATATTGGATGAAAATGTGGAACTGTAATAATAAAACCTCAAAAAAGGTATCAAGTAGTGGAAGGTGTTGTGCCTCCTGGTAATGACCAAACGGGATAAAATATTTACCCGGTATTCTATCTATTGGCAGTTGATTTTTCTTGATCAATGGTTGTGGCACCCGTTTCAAAGTTAGCATTTGGTCTAGTGTAAAATTGCATTCACTGGATCATGGTGACACTAATGATAAATATATTATGGTATCACCAGAAAACGGCTTTCCTTTATGGGTGTGTAATTTTAATTAATTGATGTCCTTTACTGGGTTCAATGAGTTTTAGCAATTATTAGTATAACATGTGTAGACTGAAAATCATGCGAGTACAATAGGTTGAAAGAATAAACTGAAGTGTACATATTCCAAAACAACAGATCAACCACAAAATCTAAATTTGGACGAAGTCTGGACTGTCTATAATTTCATTGTGCTTCAGAAGCTTTTGAAGTGCCAGCCTGTGTGTGATATCTTATATTGGCTTCACTCATCTGTGATTTTGTACAACTATTTTGAGAACAATATTTTGGCATGGTATTGTTACCCTAAGGAATAAAATATGCATTGTGTGAGTTATGGAACAAAGTGCCCTGACCTTGTCATTTTACCGTAAACAAGTCGTTCTTTGTGTTGTAGAAATGACTTGGTTCTCCCATTGGAACTTGTTAGCTTTAGTGTACAGGAGTTACCCAATCCACTGTGTTAGTTGTAAATAAGGATTTGACCCTGAAATTTCATTTTATGATGAGTTTGGATTAGGAAATTTAGATGCCTTCAATCCTCCCTAGGAAGTGAGGGATGCCTTGGCCTGGTACCTGTTATGTATCCTGCTTGGGCTGTATGCACAATTGCCATATTACAGCGAAGCATTTGTCTTTAGGCCGTGAGTTCATCAATATTACACTCGGTTTATGTGAGCTGCAGTTGAATTGAGAGAAGTTCTACTACCTTTTGTTTTCTGTTTCACTGGATTTCTGGAATATATTCTATGGTTGTTACACCAGTTCCAAAGAACCTTGGGGTTAAACCAGCAAACTTGGCATTACATGAGTTTCCTGATCTATGCTCAATATAAAATGGGATTTTCAAGTCAATCCTTCGTATGCAGTATTAGTTTGTATTTTGCTTTAAGTCATACAATCCCACAACGTGACACTTTTAATTTTGCAAATACTGCACTACTTGTACAGTACAGTAATTGCATTATTTTCAAATAATTTTTTTTTTTTTAATTTTTATTGGTATTTAATTTTTGTGTAAAATTTCTTTGATGTGTATTTGCTAATTTTACCTTCTCTTTCCATTAGGAACAAATCACCAAGAGGTCAGCAATTTTAGATAGAGATGCAGTATACACCAAAAAATCTAAAATATCCAGATTACCAGCCTACTTAGTTGTAGAAATGGTCAGGTGAGGCATCTAAATCCATTTATATTTGTGATTCCTGTTAAGTATTACCTGGTGTATTAATAGTTATTTTTTAATTTGGTATTGCATATTGAGAAGATGGAGAATGAAAGATTGGAAAAGGGGTTTAGTTCAGAAGTAAATTATAGGAAAGAGTGGGAAGGACCAAGGAAGAGGTGTAATGAAGGAGATAGTGGATAGGAGTGAGATGGACATGTAGAAAGTAGCAGTGAGTGTCCTTGATGGGAGAAGTTGAGTGGTTTTTGTGGATGGATGTACAGCACTACTCAAGAGGAAAGAGAATACAGTACAGTATTTCCCCATAATAAACACCCAGTCATCAGCAGAAGTGTCATTCAAAAACTGCATTTGGTTTGTATCTTTAGCCATGGGAAGAGGTCTATTGGAACATTGGTGCTGTACTTCATGTTACATTACAGAGTTTCCTTTTGCTGGTACTTATTGTATAATTATGGATGCTTTATTAAAGTTAACCCTGTTTTAGAGTTAAAAGACTGAAGCCCTTTTTGTCTGGTAATTTTGCACAACTAAAGGTTTATTGTACAGTATAACAAAGCTTAAAGAGTCACCAGTTTATGAATTAAGATAATTGGTGTTGATTTATGACTCACTAAAAGAGAGACCAATACATTGACTTGGGGACATTAGTACTATACAGTATAAGTTTTATTTATTTTTTATTTTTCCAATGGACTAGTAAAATCTATTAGATATTGATAATTCAGAGGATTCTAATAAAAAAAAATATTCTATAGGTTTTCAGTAAATAAAATTGTAAAATTTAGTTATTTTTGTATATTTTACAGGTTCTTCTATAAAGAAAAGGGAGCTGTAAATGCCAAGATTCTTAAAGATGTCAAATTTCCAATGATTTTGGACGTGTTTGACCTGTGTACCCCAGAACTTCAGAAGAAACTATCACCTATTAGAGAGAAATACAAGGTGAAGTAATGTATAAAATTTGGTTATGGGGAAATTAAAATATAAAAACTCTATTAAATGGAGTTATTATCAAAGGCTTTATTTTTTTCTGTGTATGCTGCTGTTCTGTAGGAAATGGTGATGTCATCTGACAACTCAGCTCCGTGTATCTACAAGTCTGTCTTGTTCTCTTTACAGTCTTGTTTGGTGTAGCATGAATGCTTGAAGCCTGATAAGAAGAAAAAAATATTAATAGTTTGCTTGGGGAAGAACTGGAAGTAAAAGATGAATTGAGATAAAGTAGTTAGGGTCTGCATTTTAAGGAAGGTGGTTATGGATAAGCTGAAGTATGATATTACTGAGCATTGGTGAACTGGAATAAATTTTATGAGAAGCTTGTTTGTTGAGGGATTATACCGAGTATTTGATGCTGAGTGTGAAGTGATAATGAGAGTAGCACCAGTGAAAATATTGAACAGAATGATAGAGATGATGATGATGATAATTGATGGGACAATATTAATTAGAGAAAGGTTTTAATGTTTTCTGTAATTTCAGGATATGGAGGAAAGGCAGTTAGAAGAAGAGCGAGCCGTAAAGAGGGGCAAACCACTGGCACCAGAAGACAAGATACGCACTCGCTCTCTTCCCTTTTCTTTTGAAGACGGTCAGCCCAGCCCTAACATTGTACTGTACTTACATTTGAATTAACATTACAGAGATGTTGAAGTAAAGGGATTGGAAGATACTGATTCATGGTATGTGGTTTCTTCTCACATTGTATTATTTATATAATTTTTCAGATTTTGGAAGTAACAACAGTGGGTTCTACAAGTTACAGGCTGTATTAACTCATCAGGGACGTTCATCATCATCTGGCCATTATGTAGGTTGGGTGCGGTGGAAGGGTAACGAGTGGCTTAAGTGTGATGATGATGATGTTACAGCTGTTACAGAAGAGGATATCCTCAAGTTATCTGGAGGAGGTAAGACTTGGCAGTAGAAATTTATTGAAGCAAATATTGATCAATGATATACTTATTTATGGTGATGAAAGAATGTTATGAACAATGTTGGTACAACACTAATGCAATATGTTAGTCACCAGACTTGATGTACGTGATCATCATTACTCCTCTTGACAAATTAGGTCAACTGTGACTCGTCTTGTGGGGCCATATCATATACTGGCACATAATCCCCCCTTTAAGAAACAGGTCTTTTGCTATTTTTTATATCTGGATATAATAAATTCCCCAGACTCCGTGCTCTTGATCATCAACAGACCAACACATTATAATGGGGTAGTGTAAGTGGGGTTTACTTTTACTGCAGTTTAGGAATTATTTCATTCTGTGATTACAGGGGACTGGCATTGTGCTTACATTTTGTTGTATGGACCACGAATATTGGAAATACCAGAAGAGGACGACAAGAAACCAGCAGAGGAAGTCAAAATGGAGGCAGAATGAGGCAGTGATAGCTAGAGTAGTTTTTGTATTCATATTTATGTGATTGTTAAAGTTGAATACAGTTTCAAATAATTGTGTACTGTATATGACCAATGAAATGTGATATGCAGGGTCTTCATATGGGTTTCGGTTAAGGAAGTCTTATATTATGCTTCACAACTAGCTGATGGTGATGTAATACCCCTCTGGTTAGATCTTTGCTGATAACTGTGTTACTAATTTATTTATTCAAAAGAGCTAACAAAATTAAAACTTGTGGCTCCTGTAAAAACATTTTTTTTATTCCAGATGCTCATCTTCAGGGAAGGTTTTGGAGTTAAGATACTGTATATTATATCATTAATTCATTGGGTTCATGGAAACATGACATCACAGTGAAAGCAGAGGGTTATTGCCTTGTTTTGTAATAATTGTTTCTATGTCTCCAAATACAAGAAAATTATTACAATAAATTTTATTAAAGACCAAAGATCTTTCATTACCTTTGGATAGAGTAATGATAAATTCTTTTATACAATACACCTTAGCAGTTAAATTGATAAAGTGTGGATTGTAGGTCCTGCTGGTAAAACGTTTTTCTGATGTGTTCACAATTATATATTCTTTGTATTTTCAATTAAACTGTTTACATTTTGTCTGCTACTAACCTAGGAGAGCCTCTGCAAAATCTCTTGTGGATAGTAAAAATAACCATGTCAGTTATTTCATCCCATTATTATCTGTAAACTCCTTCTTTTAATTTTTTACAAATCCTGGACTTCCTTCAACTTATTATGTTGGTGTTTAAGATTATAGAATTGCTTATAAAATAAAATAATTAAATGAAACATGTAAATGGAGAGGTAATCCAATTTGTCTGGGGATGGAAGAATACACCGAGGTGAAAATTGTGAGGGTAAGGTGCCTCCTGGCCTGAGCCACATTGAAAGTGAAGATGGTGTGTGTTGATATAGAAGATAATAAGTAAAGAGACATTCTTTCATCCTCTTCAGTTGCTTAGCTTATACTACAAATAGGCAAGGGGTGATTTCATATTAGTTTATCAGCACCACAAAGGACATTACTTAAGTCATGTCCACAAAACAATCTATTGGTAGGCCACTCCACTTGGTCACAGCCTCAAGAACAGAAAAGTTAACTTCTTTGGAGTAAGAATTGTGAACTCTTGAAATAAGATGCCAGAGTGTGTTCTGACAGCACTGAGTATGAACTCATTTAAGACCAAACTTGACCGAATCTATTCATGCCCAGTACAGTCAACCCTCGCTTTACGCGGTCCCACCTTACTCATTTCCACGTTTTTGCGGTACCCTGCCGAACACGGAATGCTCACTTTCCGCGATGTGTACCCTTTTACGCTGAGAGCGGCGCAAGTATGGTGCACACAAGGTTGCCCAGTCATCAAAACATCACCGAGTTCTTCACCCGCCACCCACCACAGCCGGCCCAAGTCAGTGATAGTGAGGATATGGACTTTGAGGGGTTTGACAAAGAGGCCCTGCAAGCCTCTGTGGTGGATAGTAATGCAATTGATACAAGTGATACAGGTGAGGGCCAATAATCTGCCCTCTGCCTCGGAACCAACCCCCCACCCCCGTGTGCCCAGCCATCTTTTCTACTAATGTAAGTGTTAAAAAACCTAATATTATTGATATTTCTCTTAATTATTAATTGTGTGTGCATACCATCATAAAATTAAGAAGTTATTTTTACTACAACGTAGGTATAGTGTCTGAAAAAGTGGAGTTTGGGGGTCGGCCCGGTCTCTATTTCAATTAATCCCATATGTTATGTTGTTCACTTTACGCGTTTCTCACTTTACGCGGGCCGCCGTGGGTTCAATTGACCCCATAAAGTAAGGGTTCACTACTTGCCAACAATGCATAACAGAAATTATCTGCTGCTTGACCGGCTAGTGAGCTGACCAGTGGCAAAGAGGATTTGTAAGTACAATACAGTATTATTGTTATATTGTATACTAGTTGGGGTGCCTGGTGTTGCTAGCTTCCTTTGGGAGAAATGACCTCACATGGGAACTTTTGTGGGAGGACATTTCCATCATGAAATCTATGGGACTTTTTTGTGGGCATTTGACTTTTTGTGGGAATTTTATCTCACGTGGGAAAACAGCCCACAGGAGAATGAAAGTACCCAAATATTTCATCTTTTGCATTGGCTTTATTTTCCCTTCTCTTTTCTAATGTAGTTCTCGGGCCATTGCGAGAAGAAGGTAAATCAGGCAACTAAATTATTATGTCTTATAAGAAGGTCTTTCAGATATCTAGACGGTCCATCCCTCGTGATGACCTTCAAGAGTGAAGTGCTTCCTCATCTGGAGTACTGTCACTCCGTCTGGTTCCCAAGATATGCTAGGGACTGTCAGTTGATTGAAAATGTCCAAAGGAGGGCCACCAGACTGGTGCCTGTACTGCGGCACCTCAGCTACCCCAAGATTTTAGAGCCCCTGAAATTGCCTAGCTTATACTACAGACGGGCAAGGGGAGATCTAATTGAGGTGTACAAGCATCTCAGTCGAGTGCCCTTACCTGGAGTTGGAGGACGCTCGCCCCACAAGGGGTCACAGCTCAAAGTTGAAGAAGCTGCAAGCCCAGAAAACTGTGAGGGGTAACTTTTTTGGAGTGAAAGCTATGAACTCTTGGAACAACCTGCCAGAGAGTGTTGTGACGGCACCAAGCGTGAGCTCTTTCAAGACCAGGTTCAGATACATTCAGGAGCGGATGCATGCCCAGTACTTGCCAACAGTGCGATTCAGACGTAACCGATCACCCAAGTGGTTAACGAGCCGATCACTGGTTAAGAGGATAAAAGTAAAAAGTATATTTTCTCAGATGAATGTGGTTCACTCTAAATTGAGGAATCGCTTTAGTGTGCGATCAGTTGAGGCAATAGTTCAGATCAGGTATAGGTTTTCACTTCAGGGAATATCATGTGTGAATTTCACATCCTCAGAAGATATGCTGAAAAATTTTGCTGCTACGGGAAGTGTTCAAATTAAAGGAGAAAATAATAGCAATGATAGCCAGTAAATTGTCACTTGAACTGGAAGCAGAGTAGAGTAGTTTGTTTACCCAGAACCCCAAGGTATAGAGATGTATAACCTCTACTGATTTACTGTAAGACTGAACTGATTCCTCATAACCCTAACGGTTATACTATTATTAAAACTTTTATTGATCCCACAGCATGCAGCCATAACCTAATCCCCATTCTTCTTAAAACTTAATGCTTTGTTTGAAAGAAGGATACTACAGGTACATTATTTTTTTATGCCACTTTAAGCTGTTACTGAAGCATGCTACAACTTATTACATTTAGCTTTCATAGCATTTGGTAGTTTGAATTTCGTCTTCCAGCAATTAATTTACATTATTTTTGCATCTTTTGATAATAAATTTGAAATACCTTAATTTCGCTTATGTCTTATTTCAACATTATTTGTGTAAAAGTATTGTGGGAATATATGTGGGATTTTATACATTTTTGTGGGGAAAACCTCGGTCATGTTGGAGTGGGTGAATTGGCAACACTGAGTCAAGTCAGCTGGAGAGTTACTACAAGTTGTCAAGTGTCAGCTGTACCTTGTGGTGTAGTGGACGCCTCAGTCTACAAACGAAGGACCTTTTACAGCTAGGTAATATCTTAACATTTGGACGGACTATTTATAAGTTAAATATAAGAACAATGTCCTTGAGTAAACTACGCATGACTTGGGCCTCCTAGTCCAGTGTTTACTAAACGGAAAAGTATAATTTTTCACCAGCTTTCACAAACTTAATACCAAACATACTGCAGAAGATGATAATGTTAAGACTTGTTTTAGGAGTCCTGTTATTATTTGGGCAAAGCAATGAGAGAAAATTATACAATAGGTGAAAACGAGAATATTGGAGAGTCAGCTGTGAAAAATTGTCCTATAAACCAGGAAGTTGTGGGCATAAACCAGTAACACTTTGTCATTCTTACACACCTAAGTTAGCTATTTTAAGGACTTGAATATAGAAATGTTTAACCTTAGTTTGAGCCCACTGCAGGGGGTATCCATCCCTGACAGCTTGTTTAGGTTATGTCTGGTGAGGTCACTTTGGCAATTCGCTAACTCCAGATCATAATATGGGATTGCAGGATCAGTCCCTCATTTTTTAAACACTTTTAGCTTATATTGGTGATAATGGTGAATGTGACCTAGCAGTTATGTTTTCACTTTAGGCTATGAGAAGATGAGTCGTGCAGAGAATGAAGCCTATTGGGGGTCTACAGACACAGCTCCTTCAGCCCTCGACAACTTTTTTGATGAAGATGTAAGTGTTGCTAAATAAGTAGTGTTGGTTAATGTTGACGACTAACCCGCTGACGCATTACTTTTAGTGATGTGTATTTTACCATATTTTCTTGTTAGTTCTGATATGATAATCATTTCTTGTGCAAATGCTTCCTTTGGTAGATAATGAGGTGCCTAGGTGCACACTTCTTTGTCTTTCTCGGCGGTGATGCGGAGGTAATGCCGTATCCCAGATACAAACAGCCAATCATATTGACGTATTTCAAAACACTCCGCCGCTGGTGCCCGATGGACGCCTATTCTTAGTTTATGCTTATGAGCCGTTTGGTTTAGGCAGCTGCTCTCATGTAAAAAAAAAAATTAAATAAAAAACGTAAAATAACACCATATTATAGTAAGCTCTTTCTGTTTAATATACTGGGGGTTCCGGAGAGCGAACCCCACGGCTAGGAAGTTAGGTAAAGTTAGGTAGGTTTCTTTGGTTAGGTTGGTTGAGGCTTTCTAACAATGCTTCTGCCGTTTGTTTTTCTTATCAACTAAGGTTAGGTTGAGTTTAATTTAAAAATAACCACTTTTTAACACATTTGCACAAACTACGAGTGTCCACTGTAAAACACAGTGAAATTGCAGCTTTTTGAAAATAATTTTCTATGACAAATCGGCGGCGGGTCAGTCATCAATAATTTCCATAGATTTATTAGAGGCTACGAAGAAAAGTATGTGGAAGTGTAATAAATTAGGATGTGGAAAAGCTAACCAAACCTAACATAACATACAGTAACTTAACCTAATCTACTGAAGTAATACTTGACGAGAGTGGTCCAACCTTACCAGCTATCTAATTAAATTTCTCTATTAAAGATAAAGGTGTCCTTACCTTGTGAAACATACAAAAAGTGCATGAAGAATGCATTTTGCGAGATATTGGTTTTGACGTGCAAAATGTGATGAGCTGTGTGGTACACCTCACTAGTTTTCACAGTGGGAGATTGGAGTGCTGTGGCTGGGTATACAGCCCAGTTGCAATCTGTGAATTACCATAACAATGAATACAGAACCCATAAATACGAAGGGTCTCTTGTGTAGTATATATTGAGGACTAGAAATTGAAGCATAGTTAAGTACTGGTATCGTTTAATGTTTTACAATTTCAGAGTAATGTCAGTTGGACAGGTTATGCAGGAGGTTACCTGAGTCAATCCTCCAAGACAGCCCCCTGCAATGGTTCGGGTAATGCAGTTTCTCATGGAGGACAACCTGTCCCCAGCTGCACCAGTATTACTGACAATATCACTATACATTCTGTGACAGACAGGGCAGTTGGTAAGTTAAGTACAGCATTGTTCTCATATAAACCTGTGCATTATATTGGAATCTATGGATGACTAATGATTCATAGGGCTTTCTAATTCCTTATGACATAGCTTCCTCATCAGCTTTGTATACAGTGAAATGTGTTGTGACATATTGTACACTTCCAACCAAAAGTGAATCATAAAGTTTTTAAAGAAGTGGGTCCTCTTGTAAGTTGGTTCATTACTTATAAGGTAGAAGAGTTGATCAAATGTGGTCAGGGAACCCCACATTCTTGGTGACATTCACTTTCTTCCCCAACCAGAAGATGGGATTCCATTTCTATTCTGCTCTTGGTTCTCTCACCCTTTTCAGTCTCCTCCAGAACAGCTTCTTGTTCTGTTTATAACCTTGTGATAAACTTTCTCCCCAAGTTTCATCTACTAAGTATTTGTATTCTTTCCGTATTATTTTGAAAACAAGAAGGTTTAAACATTCATTGTTGTATTCCTTGATATTTTACAATGAAGGTGTTGCCAATGATGATTAGTGGTACAGTGCTGGTTCTTTATGTCATTTAGTTTTAAATCTTATTCAAGTGCTGCAAAGGGCACATAATAAAATTTTGTATCCCAATCCTTTTGTGTGCAGTTGACATTCCGGGCACAGGAAATAATAGTGAGAAGTTGTCTAAAGGTGTTGGCAAGGCTATTGGTGAAAAATTGGATTCTTGGAAACCGCCTTCAGTTTCTATTAAGTGGAACTCTTCACAAGGTAATGTTGCATTCATCTTTTTATATAGTATATTGTTTTTTACTGTTAGATTAATGTAATGCAGTATTGTATTGTACAGTATACTTAAAACAATATTGTACTGTAATTCAGTTTATGGATTAACATAATTGAAGGACTTGTTATTGTTATGCTTGTCCTGTTATGGTTTGGGCATTGATCTCTTTTCTCTTAATAACCTGTATCTTGGTTTTAACTTTATGGCTGATGCCCTTAACTAGTTTGGAAGTTCTGATACAATATTTTTAAAATTGGAAATCATAATTCCCTCTTAATAAAAGCCCCCTGCAATGATTTTGTAAGGTAATGATAGTGGTGGTACAGTACAGTACGTACTAAAATACAGTATAGTTGACATATGAAATGTCACGATTTTCATTTCTAGTTACTGACTTTGACCATTCTGTGAAATAAGTATTTGTTTACTGTAGTTGTGTTGATTTTAATCTTGTACAGTATTATTTTGCTGTTATTTCAGGACAGGGAAATGGATATTGTGTGCAGTGTTCTGCAAAAGACAATGAAATTTCTCAGCTAAAGAAAAGACTGGAAGTAAGTCATTCTTTTACCAATCTATTTATATGTGCAGTACAGTATGCATGTAATAGCTCTCTATGATCCAGGCAGGTCAGAAAATGGGGCCGAGTTTCACCTTACCTTCAGATTCCAGTTACACCTTCAGCTGTTTGGATCTGTTTTTGGCAGATTAATGCATTCTTTATGCATTTTATAACCTCCCTCTATCTAGTGAAGATGTGCCCTAGTTTAGTTAGATACACCAAAGTACATGGGATTCAAATGAACAAGCTGTAGAGTCAAGACTTTGATCTTTCATCATTGCTCTTAGACTAAACCACCAGATGTGTAGTACAGTACAGTACTGTACAGTACATATTTGCTTAGTTGGAAAGGCATTCATTGCTTTTAGTAATATTTTATTTAATAGGATAATGTATTTGCTGTCAGTCAGTTTATGCTTATTGCTAATACACATATTAATATGGATTTTACTCTATGTACCAAAAGATTTTTCATTTAAATTTTTAAATGTACAGTACTATACACTCGCTCCAAAAAGTATCTTTACGGAGGAGTCCAATGACTCCTGTTGTCTTGGTAGGGTTGTCGAAATACTTGGTCCGCTGTATGCAGTACTGTTTTCTGTACAATGTTTTGATAATACAGTACAGTACAGTAATTACTAATGGTGAATAATTATATTTTCTGTTTTCAGAATTCTTATTCAAGATACAACCTCACGTTACCACCAGATGATACTGTCACCCGAATACTCTTAGGTCAGCCATACTCTCTAGAGTGTTATCGTAGTCATGAAGATAAACTTGCTTTGCTTGATGCTGCTTTGAATACCATGGATGGAAGTGCAATATTAGCAACAGTGTTACACATGAAAAACACTGTCAAAAAGAGTCTATTTATAAAGGTAAGTGGCTAAACATTGATAATCCATTTTAGACTTCAAACACAATTGATATTTTTGCCAACTAGGGATAACTATTTTGATAACTAGAACTAAATAAAAATTACATGTGGTCTTCGCTTTATGCAGGGGTTGTGTTAAAAAAAGATTCACATACCGGTAATGCAATTTTGCATAAGGAGACATTTACATGCAGTCTAACACTATTTTATAAAAATCCAATGAAAAATACCCTTATAAAATGGAACAGTTATTACAATAAATGAAATGGGTATTTTCTTGAATACTCATCATCAACAGGGACTTTTAACCAGTTAAAATTTGCTGTTTTCCTTTGGAACTTGTCCTTAATATACATTCCAAGGATTCTCCATTTATTCTGGCTAGAGACTTCTTATTCTTGCTGTTATTTTTAAAGAAAGAGATGTTAAATGCAGTATTGGGTCACTTATTTTGTTGACACACTTTGTAAGCTCTCCCCATAACCAAATTCATGATCAAGTACAAAGGCACCACCTCCTGCTTCAGCTCCCATCATTATACAGTATCTAATTTTGTGTGTAATGTTGAAGTACAGTACATTAGTCCTCTTTCACTTCATCGATGGATAAATAGAGGAGTTAGAAGATACACTAAAAGGTCACTTACATGACATTGAGAGTAGTAGAGGTCCACATACAGCAGAGGACACTGCAATACTGTGGGAGGGAGCAAGTGGGCTGCCTTGCTTGGCTACTCACTCACTGCTACACCCACTCCTACAAGGCCTCATCAACCCTACTTGCTGCTCCATCTGTTTTCACAAAGATCTCACAATGCCCACCTGCTTAGTTGAATCCACACATCCCTACGCTGATTGTACGAGTTTCACATATACAACCAAACCAGTCACACAATTGTGCATTTTTTCACATGGTGGGGGAGAGGTAATGATGCTGACCTGCATACAACAGTCACCAGATTTTGTGTGAATGACCAGTAAATGACACCTAGACGTAAATCCTCAGGTTAGCTTCATTGTCTTCAGAGAACTCTTGTTTTGTGAAAGTTATTACTGTATACTGTATACCATATTTTTCTTATCCTTAGGAAATGCAAGAAAGACCACATGCAACTCAGCTCTATGTCACTTATCTAAAGAAACGCCACAACTATGCAGAAGCCATCGACTTTCTCAGGTAATTTTTTTTCTGGCTTAAATTTTATGTATTATAGAAAATATAGAAATCAAATTTCTATATGCCTGTTTCATGTACTTTTCTTACAGTTAAAATAGAATGGTATGTGTCATTTCTATCATAAAAAGTAAAACAATATCATTTTGCCAAATTGAAATCATTTAAGGTCTTCATTAAGTTGGTTGTTCAAGCTGAGTAATGGGTGTTGCTTAAATCTTATACTGTACTGTATACTTAGACCATCTGCTAAACTGATGAACATAAATGAGGGGTTGTTCCTGTATGTCTGTTCTGTGGGTAAGGGAATAGAAGCAGCAAGACTGATGTAAGTGTAGAGCCAAGTTAGGACTCTAACCATATTTTCTGTGATCTAACTACAGGGAATGATTCCTCCAGGTAAAACCATCATACTGTAGTGGCCTTTATGTTGTGAATGTTAATATCCATATTATTTGGAGACTTTTTCCTTTTAGAATTTAGAAATGATATGTGTTGGAAACATATCTACAGTTTTTAGTATAGCTGCTTTGACCGTTTTATGATAAGGTGATCATAACATTATTTCAAGTCAAATCCCATTTCTATCAATAATTCCAAGTGTTGACTATATTACTTTTGTTATTGTTGATTGTGCAATAATGGTAACTAGCTTTGGGTAATGTTTATACTTCAATTTATGGATAAAGTTGTTTCTAAAAAAATTTAGACTTATTATAATCAGATTTAAATGCTATACTCGATTTTGATCATGGATCTTGCATATTACAGGTTGCTTGGGAAGCCTGATGATGCCGCTGTAAGTATCACATGTACCGTACTGAGATACTGTACTGCACATTATGTCGTCTCTTGATTGACCAGACACATGTATGATATTTATAATTTTATTCTGTTATACAGTACTGTACACAGGTTATCTATTGTACACCCACATTGCTTTATTATATAATGCGTAATTGTTTACCAAACATTACAGATCCTTGCATACGAATTTGCCCTGACCAGCAGAGCTCCTGAAGTTAAAGTGAAAAACATGAGAAAGACTCTTGACAACAGCTTCACAGATCCTAATCTCTCTTATGAGGCCAAAATAGTGAAGGAAAACATAAAACTGCTAGGTAGGTGTTTATGTGTTTCTTTTGTTGTAGTAAAAAGGATGTACAGTATTAGCCTCAGTTAGACTCTCTAGTTCACACACCTTTGGAACCAACTGTCTGGCAAACATATGAGCTTTGTGAACTAGTAAATGACTTATAACATGAGTGCAGTGAACCTTAGGACCATGAGCCCAAAGTATGAGGTATGTATAATATATAAGTTTGGACCCAAGACCAGAGATACAGACTAGCAGATACATAAAAGATACAACTGACCTTAAATAGCCTAAATTAAACACAAATACTGTGCTGTGTTAAAATTAAATTCGTTTGTGCAGGTCATCATAAAGGCTGCAGGTTGGTGGGTCAAACTCATGTAGCATGTTACTACACTGTACAGTTACTTGGTTTGGTAGGACACCACACATCTAAGTTCCACTACTTGTTAGTTGTATGTGAGAGAAATGCAATTACAATTAAAAAAACTCCTTGGAATGCAAGTTCTTACATCTTGATAACTAAATTAAGGTTATTTCAATCTTGACATAACTTGGTGTATTGCAAGTGACAGTGAAGGAACTCAAGTTCCAAGCATCAGCACACCACTCAAACATCAGTGTTGTGTGATTTATAACAAAATAAAAATAATAATAATACCCTGTAATGATACTTGTAATAATGATGTGATATACTTATGGGAGAGGAAATTAAAAACAAAAAATCTTCAAAAATCTATATTTAAGTACAGGTACATTATTTACAAGTACTGTACCAACATGGAATAAAAGCATTTGATAAACAAATTTAAGAAAAAGTAAATATTTCCTGGGTGCATTTCTAAAAGCATCTTCACTTGAGCATTACAGTAATAGGAGATGTTCACAATAGAGCTACTAATACAAATGTATTAAAATAATTTTATATTATCATTTTGTTTCTTTTTAGAAAGACAAATGGCCATAGATGAAACAGATCATAATGATCTCACGAACCCTATGCTCACCAAGTACCCTCGTGCTGCTAACATCGTAGACAAATCTCTCCTCACCACTCTTTACTACTGTTGTATGTATCATTGGGATTCTGTGGAGTCGCATGCTGGGAGTCCGATGGCCTTGAGAAAAGCCCACAGCTTCACTGATCATCAGGTCTTGTGGACAATACTGCGAGGGCGAGCAAGAGTGAATCATTGGCCTTTGCCTAATGAACTAGATTCCTGGTTGGGTAGTAAGGTAAGATAAAAATAAATTCTTGTACAACATATCATTGAATGGAGTAATTAAATTGGAGTTGAGAATCACATGTTTTCCCTTAAGTGAAAAGCAATCATTGATATAACTCTCTCATGCATATATGATAAGTTGAAGACCTTCAACTTGTCATCCTAACAGTGAAATTTAAAATTCTTTCTGTGACACAGTTATAAAGGTATTTATGACCATTATGGAGAATAATAATTTGATATTGCTTATCTGCTCTTTTTTGATAAATCTTGAATATTTCTTTGTGATATTAATGCCATGATAAAGGAACAAATAATTCACTAGTTGGTATAAAATTGTAGGAATATCTTACTCTGACAATAGTTTCATTAGTAGATACTTATCTATTGAGTCACTGGAGAAGGGAACCTGTCACCAAAAAAATGAAGGCCTCTATTAATTGTGTCAACTTGTGGTTATGGAAGACTTGTGTACCAGTTACTTGGTATTTTGTTGGTTGAGGAGCAAGGTTAAGTAATATATATATATATATATAGTGTTGGCCTACACGTATCTATTATTTCTGGTGTGTTTATTGCAGGGTCTCCTAGGAGCACTAGGGTCAATAACCTCAGCATTCAGTGGTGCAGGGAAAGCGATCTCTACTCTCAAGTCAACTCTTCCTATTGAGCAGGTGGTGCACACATTGTCAGCAAGTGGAGCTCCAGCAAATGTAAATATCTCTGTGTATATTCTCATTAGGGTTCTTAACATTAATTTTTCAACTTATATCATTAATTCTACAAATAATTAGAACACAATATAAATATACAAATGTGTTATTTGGCTTCATGGAGAAATAACTAGGATGTTTTCATGTAATTTACATAATTTGCTTTAATACTGTCTTATCTCTGTTATGATTCTTGTAAAAATATAAAGAATAGAAAACTAAAATATTTTATATAAATTCGATCGTTTTCATTTCATAATGACGAAGGTATTGGCGGTATACTTAGCTCTGATAGACTCCATAGACACTCGTCTCAAGTTGGCCATGAACTACAAGTGTCACCAAGGTGTCATTGATGTAAGTTATGCCTGTTAGTATGGTGTATATCTACACTGCTGCTTCTTTGGTATAAATAGGATGGACCTTGTAGTCTTGTCAAGTTAGAAAAGTCATCACATATCTGCTTACAATAATTTGTGGCTATTCCTATCTTGATCACATTCTCCCACAGTAATATAGTAGTTCCTACCCTGAAGCTTCATATGTTCTTGAGAAAATTACTGGTCCAGATATGAATTTGTTTTGGACTGGGTGTAAAAGCTGCTTACGGAATGAATATTGTGTCCTGCAGCTTATTGCATGTTTACTAGGCAATGACGGACTTTGTTTGAGAGCATTTAATGGTGGTATATTTGTTATTCTTTTGTCAGAAAATGGGATTTGATGCTTCAGTCCACCATTTTTAGTTCAGAAGTATATTTACCTTCATTACTGACAACTGATTTTATGTCTTTCTATGCTGCAGGCTTACATATCTCAGAAGGACAGAGATGCTCTAGAGAAATACATGCATGAGATACCTGCCGGCTCTCCAGAGTATCTAAAAGCTGAGAATGCATTAAAAGTAAGTCAATAGGAATATTTGGTATGAAACATGCAATAATTGAGTGAAAGACCATAAAAATAGTGAAAGACAGGCAAATCATCAAAGCTGTAAAGAGAGATATGAGGAGAAAATGTGAATTCTATGGATTTATTATGTTAATTGGAAGAAATCAGGTACAGGTATGTTCCTGGGTTCTTCCCAAGTAGGATCCCAATATGAAGGTGAAGGGTAACCAAATTAATGTATTGCTTATACAGTATTTGATTTCTATAGCCCAGTCAAAATTGAGCTTTGCAATCATGCTCACACATTGCTTCCTGTTGAGAAAATGTTGACTTCCCTTCATCCTTTCTGCGTATTTTATTCTTATACTTACCGTCTCTTTCAGAGTGCCAAGTGGAAAAACTAATGCCAGGAAATATTTCAAGTGAATTTTCGCCATATAATGATAAAAATTCATGTTTGTATCATGAAGTGTCTTTTCTATCATGTTTTAATGTTTTAAAGAAATGTGTCTCTCTCTCTCTCCATTCCAACACTTTGATAGAGGAGACACTCAGTATTCATGGTTTCACCATTTACAAGTATCTCAGGGATGTAACCCCCACAAATACTGAAGGTCTTTTCTACCAGACAAATATTCAGAAGATATTAATATACCTGTAGTTCATTGTTGATTTTTATAATGAGGTAAACATATAAGATTTTCCTAAATCTAAACTTGACGTTCTTACATTAGCACAAAATTGTCTTTGTATATATTCAATGTATTGCTATATTTTGACTTGCTGTATGAATAAAATTGAATGTCTTAGTACTTTCAATACAATAAATGCTCAATTTCTATTGGTGTTGTGTTCCTGGAATCCACAAAAATTTAACTTAATATCATATTGGAAAAATGGGATGCATTTTGAGACTCCTATCTTGGCTATCAATACTGTACAGTATATTGTTAGCATTTACAGCATTCTTGTACAGTTCTCATGTGCACTTGTCTTATTTTCACTTATATATTGTATTCCCATGTACAGATATTTGTAGTTATATCATTATCACTCGGTAAAAGTTGAAATGATAAGAGGCTTTAAGAAGGGCCAAAAGCATTAACTCACCTCAATGTATTTACCTACTTAAGTCAATCATGGCAAGAAAGGACCCATCACCACACACTGTTGCAAGCTTCACTGCTTATAAATTTGTACAAAAATACATTATTTTGGAATAATCTTTTCCTCAATTAGTTAGAAAAAATGCTGAGAAAGACGGAGATGTTGATGCTTATTACCAATACATTTACAAGTGCTGAGAACCTAGAAATTGATTCTAGAATTTGTAACTTCCACATCTTTTACTCAAGACCTCTTTGGTTTTGAAATTCTATAGTCCAGATTATAATATCTCATGTTAAGCCATTGAAATCTTTCCCTAAGGCCAAAAGTGGCTGGAATTTACATTTAGAGTGTACTGAACATTCTTAGAGCAGAAGTTTGTTAGTGAAAGCTTCCATTTCAGAGAAGAGTTTGTACTAAAGTAATTCTGTAATAAAAAGCTCCTAGAGTAAAAATGAGGCATTAATAAATTCTGCATTGGTTAGTTACCACACCATGTAGATAATGTTTTTGGCAGCTGTTCAGTGTTCTTCATGTCTAGTTGAATAAATCTTTAAAGTCATCTGAAAATGTTGTATGAAATATATGAAATACTCCCAACAAAAACAAAACAAAACTACAATTGAGTGGTGGCATCTATCTCCCAAAGTCAAGAGTGGGCAGCACTTTTGCCAATATGATAATTCTCTCACCAGGTCGGGAGACTTATCACTCCTCTCCTAACAGTTTATGTTCAGCAACTTGAAAAAATTTATATTATTTTTGTAAATTCATAATTTTTTTTGCTTCTATTGCTTTATTGTTTGGAATTATATGATTTCCTGGCAATTATGAAGATTTGCAATATTTTTCAATTTGGTTTGACAACTTTTAGAATGAGAGGCACCAGCTACCATGCTTGCCTTTGTGTCTGTTGTGAAGCTAACTGTACTATTCATTGTCCTTTATTATTGTGCTTCATATCCCTGTACTGTACTGTTGTTCTCCTGCATATTATTATGTATCTGTAATGTATTAGATAAACACAGAAGAAAGAAGGGTAGTGTGGTGTGGTAAGTTTAGGATATCATTGAGGCGTCAGACAACTACCCTGTGTTCCCATAGCCAGTCAGACTAGACACACCCACACCTGTCCTTTCTGTCTCATTTTTAATGCAGAGCAAATGAAAATTTTCATTATTCTTTGTACCTGTAGTTATACTTTACATTAAGCTGAAGGGTATCCAAAGAACCTGGAATCAGTGGGAATTTGTTTTACATTAACAAATTTCTAAAAACAATCTCTTGATATTCTTACAGAGATGATCAGATGGTCTAGATCCCTGATTTATATCCTTTGATTCTTGTCATTTTGGACACCCTGTATAATAAAATAAGTTGCAGGTCTATTAGAAATATGTTTTTCCCTCATTATCCTCTGTGGTACAGAAATTTTACTAGGAAAATTATGTTATCTGTGCATACTGCATTAAGTTTTAAAGCCTAAAGCCATCTCAGGTAACTCCATTTACCGTCCAAATTTCGCAGGGGTTGACAACCCTGGGTGAGAAACTATGATGTGTTTGACTGGTGCTAGATAAGCATCTGTTTAGCTAACTAATCCAGAAAATGAATACCTGAATCACTTATTCATAGGAATGTTTAGCGAACTAATCCAGAAAATAAATCCCTGATTCAGTTACCGGTATTCATTTCCTATCACTACCCGTAGGCCCAAAGCAGTTCATTTGGTAACCACAGCTTACCCAAAGGTCATAGGTTTAGGACATTTAAAACTTACAACTAGGAATGCTTTGAAATCATCATGTGTTTAACCATAACCCCTGAACAAGGATCAGCCCATTGTAGAGTCTACTTTGGCTAACCCACATGAGTGGAAAGTGGCTGCAAATGGTGATGATGATAATGAGTCTAACTCCAAGACAGTTACTCACCCCTCTGATCATGGTTGAAGGTAAGTGCTGCTCCATTATTATTTACATTTGCTCTTGCATTTTGTTTGGGCCACAGTCAAAGGGTATTTGCATAGTTAGTATTGTTGTTTTGTGACATTACAAGATTGTTTATTGGCTAGCAAATTCAGTTTAGGATTCGTCAGCATATGTTCGTAACTCGGAATAATGCTGCCCCAGCAATTTGTTCCTTAGTTTAGCAGTGACAAAATCTTAGTTTTCTGCTGATCCTGTTACTTACTCCATTCACATGTTTTTCTTGATTCATCTCATTATGGAAGACAGTGGTCTGCCTATTGCAAGTTCAGTCTTGTCTGCAAGCTTCAAATTCACCAGCTAGTTTTTATAATTACAGATTTTTAGGGTTCTGTTTGACATTACCATATAGTACAGGTGGTATATTGTACAGACAGTACAGTATTTAACACATATTTGTTTGATGAAAGTTTAACAAGGGCATCAATTCTCAAATGTTCACAGAAGCATATGTGAGAGTGGATCCACAACAGCTTAATCCACATGCCCCTCATTAGTATGGCATACATATTTGTATCTGACAACAAAGAAGAGTGTATGGCACTCGTAGTGTATGGTGGTTAGTGTTTAGTGTGTGATAGTGTGTGTGTATATACAGTAGTGTGGTAGTGTGTATGTGATGGTATGATTGTGTGTGTATGTTATTGAACATTTATAGAATGTAACCGAAATAAATAGGCTTACATTGATGTGTCAATGTTAAGAGACGTTAAGCAAAACCTACATTCAAAAACTGATGTGCATGTGCTTGTCAGGTTCACAGTTTGAGCAATTATTAACAAAAATATATTGCTACGACTATGGACTTTTCAATTATCCTTTATATATGGCAGGGTAACGAAACCCTCATTAACAACCTAACCTAACCCCCAGGTAGTGTTAAGATGGTTAATTTTCAGGTGAAACAATAATCTAACTAATTCAGTTAGAATTGGGGTGGTTAATTTTCAGGTTATATAAGCTAGGAGCAAACAGACCAAAACTTTAATAAACGGAGTACTGCACTGTATCGTGTTAAATGTGATTCAACTTGAGATTAATGGCACGAAATCATCATCTGTACCTGTCACAAGCGGGGTACCACAGGGCAGTGTATTGGGCCCGCTGTTGTTAGTTTGTTTTATAAATGACATGCCTGACGTTGTACACTCCTCCATACAAATGTTTGCCGATGATGCCAAGTTATTTCGGGAAATCAAGAACCATGCGGACTGTGAAGAGCTGCAGAAGGATCTCTGTGAGCTCCAAGAATGGTCGAAGAAATGGCTGCTGAGATTCAATGTCATGAATTATAAGAGGATGCACCTGGGACGTACCAACGATAAGTAGGCGTATCATATGTCCCAACGGGATGAAAAAATACACTATTTGAGACTGAATGTGAGAAGGACCTAGGTGTGTATGTTGTCAATAAGCTGAAGTTCTCGGGCCATTGCAAAAAGAGAGTAAATCAGGCAAATAAATTATTGGGTCTTATAAGAAGGTCGTTCAGATATCTAGACGGTCCGTCCCTCGTAACGATCTTCAAAAGTGAAGTGCTTCCCATCAGGGGTACTGGTCCTCGAAATATGCTAGGGACTGTCAGTTGGTTGAAAATGTTCAAAGGAGGGCCACCAGACTGGTGTCTGCACTTCGGCACCTCAACTACCCTGAGAGATTGGAGCGCCTGAACTTGCCTAGCTTATACTACAGACGGGCAACGGGGGGGGGGTGGGGTACCTAATTGAGGTGTATAAGCATCTCAAGGGGCACTACTCAGTCGAGTGTCCTTACTTGGAGCTGGCGGACTTTCGCCCCACAAGGGGTCACAGCTCAAGATTGAAGAAGCCCCAAGTCCAGATAATTGTAAGGGCAAACTTTTACGTAGAGAGAGTTGTGAACTCTTGGGACAATCTACCAGAAAGTGTTGTGACGGCACTGAGTGTGAGCTCTTTCAAGACCAGACTTGACCAACACTGGAGCAGGTTCAGGTACATTCAGGAGCCGGTGCATGCCCAGTACTTGCCAACAGTGCGTAACAGAGACGTGACCAATCACCCAAGCAGCTAACGAGCCTATGATTTGGTGAAGAGGATAAAAGAAAGAGAAAAGTAACAGACATGTGACCGATCGCCCAAGCGGCTAACGAGCCGATCAATGGTGAAGAGGATAAAAGAAAAAGAACTGTGTGTAACAAAAGTGACCGACCGCCCAAACGGCTAACGGGCCGATCAGTGGCGAAGAGGATGAAAGTAAGAAAGTAACCCCCAACAAGAGAATCTAACCTTGCACCCAGCCACCCATCAAAGCAAGGAATACTGTATATAATGAGTAAATACTCTTAACTGTTAATTGCCGACCTGGAATTTTAATTAAATTAATGGTTTAGATTATTGTACTTACAAGAATTTTTTAATATGTAATATATTTAAAGATTCTTGAAATTAAAATTAATATTTCGAGAAATTATATTTCATAACATTACACTGGTTTTAGGTTTTCCTGTGAATTATTCCGTTCGTTCTTATTTGGAAATACTACTACTTGGTGATTATTCCACTCGTATCCATTTACATTATGACAGAGAAAATACAGATCTTAGGGTGTGCTGGGAGTTAGCGGAATGTGAGTAAACCTCCAGTTCCAGCGCGAGGTGGCAAGAAGGGCGGAAAGTAATCAGCTGTTGTGAGCGTCAGCTGAGGCCGGTGACACCACACCTCCGCCTCACCCTCTCGGACACCTACTAGGACTGCCACACACACTCCATCAACATGAACTTTACAGAAGCTGTACGTGTTGCCCAAGAACAGTATCCCAAGAAAGTGACCAAACCAATTAAGTATGGAACGGCGGGCTTCAGATCCAGGTAATAATGTTTGGTGTTACTGGTGTGCAAGTGGAATGGGCAGTACAGTAATAGTTCACGGACAGCTGTGAGAGTGGGGAACTTTTCGATTATCTTTACTTTTCATAAATTAGAAATATAAAAGTTTCTGCCTTTGTTTTTGCGTAACTGGTTTGTATATGAAGAGACTAGGAGTGTTAGTTTGAAAGTAAATTACACGAAGCTTTCTAGATGGGAGTGTCTGGAATTTTTTGATGTGTGAAAGTTGCCCAGACGTGTGGAACCGGTTCAGGTGTTGAGTAAAGGTTGATTGCACTGAATTCTTGCACGTATTGCGGAGGAAGTCTTGTTGTTAGTTAGTACAGTATTTAAATCTACTGACACTCCCCGACACATTGTACCATGACGGGATATAAGCAGTGTTCGAAATGTACCCCCCCCCCACCCCCCCCCCACCTCATTTCGAACACTGGATATAAGGAGGTTAAGGGGGGGGGGGTGTGAATCATGTGCACAGTTTGGGTAACATTGTCTTATCCTCGGCTAACCTAACCAATTATAATCTATTCAAACTTATCCTAACCAAACCAGACCCACAACAGGTTCTGGGCTTCCATTTATTTTTTAGAAGTCAGCCCATTTCACAGGAAAATAAAAAATCTGGTGAAACTACTGTAAGCAAAATTGAAGAAGCCTGATGGCGTGAAGTTAGATAAGGATGGATTAATACTGTAAAATGTGCCGTACGTGATAAGGACAAGGGAAGTAGTGTGTGTCAGATATCTGGGGGTGGATGTGTCCGTAAATGATGAATTGAGTCGGGGATCTCTTCAAGATTAAAAACTCTCACTTGATCAGTTAGCACCTTATTGTTTAACCTAGCGAAACTTAAGAGAATAAGAAGTACATGATTGGAAAAAAGTTTATCAGTCATAAGTGGATGGTAGGGACTTGGGTTAGAGAGGAGAATCAGGAGGTAGATGGGATGGACATTTAGGAGACGGCAGTGATGAGTGAGTGAAGAGCATGATGGCAGAGAGTAATTTTGGGAGAACTTGCTCTCGGTGGGTGTCTTTTTTTTTTACGGGGATAAGCCCACCCGGGCACAGGTTACTGACCCACATCAGGGCCTGGGGGGCGAAAATATAATAATAATAATAATAATAATAATAATAATAATAATATATTATTATTATTATTATTATAATAATAATAATAATAATTATTATTATTATTATTATTATTATTATTATTATTATTATTATTATAATAATTAATAAATATTAATAACAAAACATACAAAAATATTAAACATAATCATTATCATAAATAAATACAAAATCGAAAAAAATAAATCAAGAGTGAGAAATGATAAACATTATGTATGTTGTATTGTCAAAGTAAGAGAAACAATTGAAACCCTGCAATTGTGTGTAAATGAAGCAGAAAGTCAGATCAGTAACCTGGGACTTGGTCACAATTTTCGTGATGCCATATGGCAGCAGGATCTATCATTAGACAACACATTATGCTTCCAATATCTTCCCAGGCGGTAGTACCTCCCTGTTTGATAGCTGCCTATCAAACTAGATGGGTACTTTATCATGTTGTGGACGGGAATGCTGTACCATAGCAGTGTAACAGTACACATTTTTTAATAATTTCTTTCACTTATCAGTTTACTGGCCATTGGTAAATGTTTACTTTAGGACACGCTCCTGAAGTAGTTTGGTGTGAACACGGACGCTCTCTACTTGAAGACAATAAGTTTTCAGACTGTTGTTTGTTCTAGGTTGTCAAGGGTGTTCTTGGACAAGTTCACAGGTGAGAACATTGGTGGTGTGTGGTGCAGGTGGACAGGCATGATGACTCTAGGCTGAACACTGTTTTCCCATCTGTGACATAACTGTCCAGATATGTATATGGCATTGAAGTACCCAATGAGTGCTGCTGCCTCATCTGGCATGGTGAAAAGAAGATATTGCAACCCTCTTTAACTTCTTCTGGAAGCAGGAAGGCTAGTCCATCCACCTGACTGTAAGACAAGTGAAAGTCCTTCTGCCTCAGACTGAGGCTTAAGTCCAAGTGCTTGAAACTGACACCATAGAGACTGTCAGGTAGTATTTTGCATATTTTTTTCTTGGTGAAAATCTCCATCATTAGGCATAATAAAATCCCATTGCCCAAATGTCAGTGGCCTATCCTCCTACAACCTCGGTATATGCACTCTATATGCTGCCCTTCTACCTCACCTTTTGTTTCTTGATGTTAATTTCTACTAATGTATCACTTAATACATATATGTACTGTACAATATTACAGGCATTTACCTGTATACAGTACTGTACATTACTTAATGGTTTATTTTCTATGCCATGTTGGTTAGGCTAGGTTTGTACTGTACATTTTCGTACTGTCCTTCATTATAGAAATTCAAATGCTGTTTATTGTATAGATAAATGTTTGTCTTTTTCAGGGCAGATGCATTAGACTTCATCATGTACCGGATGGGCCTCCTGGCAGGTCTCCGAGCACGTGACACATCATGTAAGTGTTCTGAGATATGTCGCTCACTTGATAACTGGAGTAGTTTTCCCTGCTTTAATTTGTGTTGATCCATTTAGATTCTCTAAATATTTTGGTCACAGCACATTTGTTGTTTATTTCATTCAATAACTGTAACAACTAATTTACTGTACATGTTAACCTATGTTAACCATAATAATTTTTTCAATATGTTCTCTACAACCTTTAAAATTTGGAGCTTAGATAACTATCTCCTTTATTAATCCAGAAAGGGTTTGTTTCTGATTATTCCAGATACTTGAGCTTGTAGCTTCTGTATTTATATAAACACTGTACTGTATAATAATCATATTGTTTGAAGAAAATAATTTCTTTATATATTGATCAGGCTCCTTGACTCTCAGATTTCTTTTATCCAGACATACTTCCTCTTATTTGTGTTATAGAAAGTTATTTTGAAGAGATGAAAAGATGTATTCCATTTATTATAGGTTGGAAAAAACATGTTTTTGGCATATTTTCAGAAGAGGGAAAGTATATACATACTGGAATAGTAATATAGCTAAATTTGACTCATAAACTGTGACCCAGAATGTATTAGCACAAATTTTGTGTATTGTAAAAATTTTTCAGCTGTAATTGGTGTTATGATCACTGCATCACATAACCCAGTACCTGACAATGGAGTTAAGTTAGTGGATCCCATGGGAGAAATGTTAGCCCCAGCCTGGGAGGTTCATGCCACCACATTGGTCAATGCCACAGATGAGGGCATAGCCAGTGCTCTAGAGGGGATTGTCAGTGAAGCTCACATTGACACCAGCAAGAAGGCACTGGTGTTTGTTGGTCGTGATACCAGGTAGGCTGTTTTGGTGTGCTTTCTTTTTACTAATAATCTTTTGATCAAGTTACTCGTGAAATAATTGAATATCTTGTGTTGTTGAAATTTACAAACAATTACAAAAAACACAATACAATACAGTACTGTAGATCTTTGTTCTCTTGATTAGTTCACCATTACAGTTTCCTTTTTACTTTTGATTGTCCAATTCAAAATATTGTTCATCCTTCCAACTTATTTTTAAGAGTTGTACATTTTATATTGTATTCTATATCAGTATCTAGCACTTTAGCTATGTCTAGGGGTCATGTCCAGGACTCATCTTGTGACTGGGATCTAAAAACTTAATGCGTTTAGTATATACAGTACTGTATTTTGATCTTCCTTCATCTTCATATTGTTGTCCTATAGGAGTAGGACATCCACTTAAAGGAGCTTCTCTATGTCAAACTTCTCCACAGGCCGAGCAGCAACCGTTTATGTGATGCAGTTATTGCTGGTGTTACTGCAGTTGGAGGAGAGTTTAAGGATTTTGGAATTGTATCCACTCCAATATTGCATTATGTAGTGACATGCTACAATGATGGTGGAAAGTGAGTACTGTATAGCACTTGTTTAGTATTTTCTAGAAAAATTGCACCTGATTATAGTCAGTGAAGTTTTTCACCAACTTTTCTATTTTCTATTCTGTTCTTTCTAAGAAGAACTGCATCATTCAACTCAAGTTTTCTCGTGCCCAATTCACCCTTGCCTTCATTTCCTTCACCACTCCATCAATAAATAAGTTGATAACTACAGAGACATTATAAACTTTTCTGCCTCGCTCCTACTTTCAGTGTAAAGCTTTCATTAAGTTCTTCATTTTTTTTTTGTACACACGCCATTTTTTTCTTGTAGATTGCCCTTTACTGCATCATATAACTTTCCACTTACTCCATAGATCATCTCCCCCCCACACTCCCTCTTGATTCTTCCTATCATTTCCTTCAGCTCTACTCCTGAAATCTTGTTAAATATTCTCAGGGCAATTTTCAACCCTAAAGGGACTACAGTATCTTGAATTGGTAATTGTTGGTGGTGAAGGAGTGTGTGGATGGTGGTGATGGAGGAGAGCATTGATGATGGCGTTGGTGGGTTTGATACAGATTCTTATTAGTATTGCATTGAGTCTAGAAATGATACATCTATCCATTCAAGAATTATGTTCAGACAATGTAAACTTTATGGACACACAGATGACATCATGCCATAATACCTTCATTGTCAACAGGCATATAAAAATAAAAATACATTTCAGATATGGTGAAGCTACAGTACAAGGATATTACCAGAAGATTTCCAGGGCGTTTAATAAATTACGTTCATCCGGTACTTCCAATGGCAACTATGACCCAGTGATCCTTTACGATGGAGCTAATGGTGTAGGAGCATTGGCAATGTCCGAGTTCTTGAATAACATGAAGAAGTCTTTAAATGTCACCATCTTCAACAAGGGAGAAGGTGTACTCAACCATTTATGTGGAGCTGATTATGTGAAGGTATGATAATTGGTACATTATCTGAGTTATGGATGATCATTTACCATTTGTCAGTTTACTAGGCGGTCAATCTGTTCTCTATGACCCTCATCATCCAGTGTTAGTACCGGAGGAAAGTGCATTTTGTAGTTTCCTTTTGTGTTAATTGGTGTACAGTAATATTTTTGGAGGAGTTGTGTGCTCGCTGATGTTGTGTAATAGTATGTATGGGAACTGTTCATAGGACTTAGTCACTGATGGCAGTTCATACCCCAGATCATTACAAAGTTTAATGCAAGACATCTTAGACACAAACCACTGACATTCTTAAAAATCATGATTTTGTCTCGCTTCCCTCAGCTTACTTGCCGCACTTAACATGTCTTTGAATTCTAATACAAAGGATTGGGGAAGAGTGTAAATATTGTTTGATTTGTTTAATTTTAAATGCATTGTGTACGTAATATCTATTTCAAAATATTTGTAAAAATAGTACAGGTGTCAAATTTTTACAATCTGTATATGTTCTTTGGAAAATATTAGAAGTTTAAAAAAATCATGTTATTTATATTAACTAGATCAATTTAAATGCTGATAGGTTCAAGGTGGAATTATATATTGTAGAAGTATTAGACTTTTTCAAAATACAAAAACTGGTAATTTTTCATATTTTTTAAGGTACAACAAAAATGGCCAGAAGGTGTACCAAAGACTCAGAATGTAAGATGTGTATCAGTTGATGGTGATGCTGATCGTGTTATCTACAGTTACCTTGATAGTGATGGAAAATTCTACATGTTGGATGGAGACAAGATTGCCACATTGGTAGCCGGTTATCTACAGGAGCTGGTAAAAGGTTCAGGTACGAGGCTAAAAATTTTCCTCTACTGTATTACCAAAACAAGACATGAGTAGATTCAAATTTGCCCATTATAGTGCAGGGGCTAGTTTATAGGGCACTTCTTGACATCCTGTGGAATGCTTTGGTTGTTTACAACAATTCCCCAACTACCTTATACAATTGTTAATACATTTCACAATGTTTCTACCCTGGTAATCATTTGCTTTATCCAGATAAATGAATGCCAGACATAAAAAACTCTTCATTCATTTTTCTTAATGCAAACAGTTGACCTACACATCCTCCATCTTCTCTGAGCTGACACTATACTTTCCCTAATACATTTATACTGTAATTACCTTAATAATGACTGTACACGTAACAGACTTATTTCTCTGTAATTCTTGCATTCATTTTCCCATATTACGGTAAACCCTCGAAGATCCGGTCCCAGTAAATCCGGATTTTGGAAGATTTGGAAAAAAAAATTGGGGGTTCTGGGCTAAGAAGCTCTCCCAAAACAGGGTGAAGGTAGTTTTAGGCTTCAAGTTTTTATCTTATAAAATATCACAGACTACCGGTAAACTTAGCAGAATATAACTTGCACTGCTGGAATCCATTTAAGATAGTAAATAAATTGAATATACTGTAGACATCATATACTTTACACAGGAGATAAAAATTGTAGTACTCTAGTTTAGTACAGTACATTTGAGTATAAAGTGAGTTCAGTAATATGTTGCTCAAAATTATGACTTTTTCACAGGAAAAAGTCTGTATAACTAACCCCATTAGTCAGGATAATATGTATACCCGGTACTGTATTTTTGTTGTTTATATATCATTACAGTATTTATCGTTTTTATACATTGAGAACATTTGCCAGAATATTCTGACGATCGGCTTTTCCTGACAGGTGGTCCCCACTTTTAGTCCGGATCTTCGAGGGTTCACTGTACAGAGGAATGTACATGTTCTCTCCCAGGCTTTTGGTATTCTTCTTGCCATCTTGCACAGTCTATACACTCTTCTCTTCCATTCTACTGCATCTGTTCTCCATATCTTATTCTTATTATTTATGTCATCCTATCCATTCTTTACATATCACTCTAAGGATTCCTTACGGTATGTCTTATCCCCTGCTTACTTATTATTTATTTTTGATGCATTTTATTCCTGTATCCTAAATCAGATAGTTTCACCTCTCTCATCAGTAATTTTAGTAATTTTCATTTTATGTACAGCATTCTACTTTCTGAACAATTCATTGTACAAGTATATTGAAATTTGTCAATGAGAATTTAGAAATCAATAATGTAATATCTTTTCCACAGGACTACAACTTAAACTTGGTCTAGTACAAACTGCATATGCTAATGGAGCATCTACTGCCTACATCACTGAGAAACTGGGAGTACCTGTGGCTTGTGCTAAAACTGGTGTTAAACATTTACATCATATGGCTTTGGAATTTAACATTGGTGTTTACTTTGAAGCTAATGGTCATGGAACTGTAATTTTCTCCAAGACTGCAAGAGAGGCTATTGAAACTGCTGCACAAGGTATGATATTGCGTGTTAGGTGATTTATTATGTAGAAATTTACATGATTACCAAAAATATTGTGGTTGGTGGCACACTTGTTTTTCAAAACCATGCTCAAAGTTCCTTTCATTTCAGCCAAAAATAACAGTGCAGAAAAGTTATCACAAGTATTAGATGTCATCAATGAAACTGTTGGAGATGCTATCTCAGACATGCTGCTTGTGGAAACTGTTCTTCATGCCCGAGGCTGGTCTGTCTCGGACTGGAATGATGCATACACTGATCTTCCCAACAGACAAATGAAGGTATTGTATACTGTATATTGATTTATAAATAATAGTCTGTCATCATAAGAGAATAAGAAATTTTTACTATCTAGAACATAGTAAGAAACAATTAAGAAATAAAAAAATATAGTTAGTGGTATTGTAATTCCCTATAAAGCACGGAGGCATCACAAAGGACAATCTCGTATCAGGAACAATGGGGGGGATTTAAGGTGAAATATATAATGAAAATTCTGAATAAATTTTATATTTTGCTCTCAGGTGACTGTTGCAGATAGGGCAGTGATCACTACAACTGATGCAGAGCGAGTATGTGTGACACCAGAAGGTTTACAGAACACTATCAACAAAATTGTTAAGGCCTTCCTGAAGGGCAGATCTTTTGTACGACCATCAGGAACAGAGGACATTGTCCGTATTTATGCTGAAGCTTCCACACAAGAAGAAGCGGATAATTTAGCAATTCAGGTTGCTTGTGCTGTGTATGAACATGCAGGTGGTATTGGAGATAGACCTAAAGCTCCATGCTAATATAGTAACTATTCTGTAGAGTACACAATACTTTTTAATTAAAAAATGAGGTGTCAGAAACTCGGACACCAGCTTGTATCAATTCAAAAAAATGTGGCAGCTTCATTAAAACACAAATGAACATATGAATTACTTTTAGAATTACATTACAGTATGAATGATTACAAGCATAGCAAAATTTGTTATACATGTATAACATGTGTAGTTATTAATTGTCACAGGCACCTGGAACTCCAGGTTACCATATGCAAAACACTTACAGTTCCACTCTGTTTTGCAAATGTGTGGTTAGACATCATAAACTCTACATTTTGTAACATTTAGTATTACTTTGAGAAAATGTTTGAAATGTGCTTAATGGCAAATTATTTATTCTCACTCTTGCCAGCCTTTACCCACGTGGTGCAGGGTTGCCAGCAATGTTGTTAATGCCCTATGTGCCTTCAGAATTTGATTTGGGTAAAAAGACATTCAGTCCACGAGTTGCGCACCATTTATGCATTGCAGGTGAAGGCTTTTCTATATTTTTATATTTGTCCAGCGCAGATTTGTTTACACAACCAAATAAAAGGTTTAGTGCTGCATCTCAGTTTTCTAAGATTGCTGTGCCCCGAGTGAGAGGGTTACTGTCCCAGTCTACCATGAGAATTAAATAAACTTTTTTTTTTAGTTGATAGTGAAATAAAAAATGAGGCCATTATGACTTTAAAAATCTATGGTAAGAAGCTTCCTTCCTTGAATGTTTATTTTTATTTTATGAAAATACGTATAACCAAAAGTACCTTAATTCAATTACAAGTCGGCAAAGTTAATACAAATACATATGTACTTTACTGAAAAGTAAATTCAAACTTCAAACTAATTAAAAAATGAAGATCTGATAATGCAGTACATGTAGTTGTATTCATAGGTTGTGACCATACAACCTGTTGAGATCTGTTGGCTTTGGGAGTTGAATTAAGGTCCTAGTCAACTCCAGTGCTACTACCTGTATTATAGTCCTTGATGCAGTATTGTTAAAAACCTGTTTGTGTAGAACTATTTACTGAAATAAATGGGATTTAGTAAACTTTACCATAACACAAACCTCACCCCTTATGTGTTGTAAGTTCTATCACTACACTTCAGTTGTATTTATATATTTTTCTCATAATATGGCAATGTCGTTTATGATTATGAATATTTCTACGAACCTGTGAAAAATACCCAGTAGGACGAAGTAGACAACTGAATGTAAACTCAAAACCCCTGAAAGAACATTAATAATTTGCATCATACAGGGTAATATAACAGAGCCAAATTACATAAAACTAAGCTTATGTCATTTGTAACCCTCCAAAATAAAATTTCAGAATGACTTTACAGAACCAAGTACTATAACAACAAACAGCTAACCTGACCTGAAACTACTTAAAGGAAAATGTGAAGTTTGATCATGTCACTTCTTTCACAGATGGCAATGCTAATGTATGAAGGGACGTTTTTATCCACCATGTCATGAGTGTTCTTGCTGACATCATTGAGCTCACCTGTAGCATGAAGAGTGGGTAAGAGGAAGATGAAGAACGAGGATCCATAACATTATAGAAATTTTATAAAAAGTCATACAATAAATAAAATTGGAACAAGATGATGAATAACAATATAAAAATGCATTGTAATGGTTATGATAATGACAGATAGAACACAAAAAACATGGTACCAAATAAAACTCCAATGAAGGTAGTGGAAACAATAAATAAATACCTGTATATAAAAAGAGATTTACAAGTACAGTGAGGGAACCGTGCTACAGGATGTTTCAAAATTCCTTTTCTATATAATTTTAAAATATATCTTAAGTTATTTCAATATGTATCCGGATATTTTCAATGGGAATAGCATAACAAACTACTATTTTTTTTTCTTTTTTTTAGCTGAGGAATATAATAATTAGAGGTACAGCACTAATGTGGGGTCGGTACGATAGTCAGGCAGAGGTACAGCACTAATGTGGGGTCGGTACGATAGTCAGGCAGAGGTACAGCACTAATGTGGGGTCGGTACGATAGTCAGGCAGAGGTACAGCACTAATGTGGGGTCGGTACGATAGTCAGGCAGAGGTACAGCACTAATGAGGGGTCGGTACGATAGTCAGGCAGAGGTACAGCACTAATGTGGGGTCGGTACGATAGTCGGGCAACATGTGTGTTTACGTCACGGTTGGCAGCCCTGGGGAGTCACTCATTCAAAACGCCTCTACAGCAGCCAAGCGGAAATATTTCTTTTGTTTTGTTCAGAAAGAATGTTAATATTGTGTCGTTTATCTCATTGATACAAATAAGACAAGATGGAGACGCTGGAGGGTGAGTCTGACGGTGTTTGTCTTACTTATTATATATAACAAGTAACTCCCCTACCAGTACTTTGTCGTCCTCAATGTTTGTCAGTCTAGATACTTTCATTATACTTCTCCCGATTTATTTCTTGTTATATTTAGAGGTATATAGTCTTTATAATTCATATTTACTTGCTTTGGGGGTGGAAATTAACGTAAAATAAAAGATAATGTAAGTAAATATGACAATTTTGATTCACTACTGAAGTATCCCCAGTCAGTGAGACAATCCACTCATGTCTGACAGTACTCAATGGTTTGTTCTTGCTTAAACTTTACATAGATGCATATTATTTCACTGATGGTGTGGAGTATATTGGAAGTTATGTTAATAGCTAAAAATATAATGAAATAAGTTGTTTTATGCATTATCTTCACTAATTATTGGCCATTATTCGTGCTTGTGTGGGTATTATATTTCATTAGCAACAACAGCAATCTGTGTCAGGGATACAGTTCAACTTCTGTACTTACAGAATTCCTGTATTTTTATTGTAAAAAAAGTTTGCAGCTACATACGGCATTTTTTTATGGTAATACAGTACTTTATACGTCAGCTGGCGTGTATTGTCTTAACTTTCAACAAAAACAAGGGCAAACCAAAAGGGTAAAATTATAATTTTGCTCATGCACCTATTTGGAAGTAGGTCAGAATGTTCAAAACACATCAAAAACCATCGGAGACATAATTTCAACATAACCTAACCCAACCTAACGTAACGTAAACTTGGAATCCTAAAATTCGCTGCATGACCGAAACAATAATACCACCAAAAGTAGGAGAGTTGCATTTCCTCCACCCATTTTTTTTTCTATTCATTAGGTAAGAAACTTTTCTTCTACTATACAGATTTTTCTGTTAGGTAGCTTGTTCCCATGAATCTGTTGACTAAAGTACTCTATTACCTTTAAATTAGCTTCATACTATTTTCTAATAAATATTTTTCAGCTATAGGGTACACAATTTCTTTCAGTTCCAATAATTGGCTTTGATGGTCATCTCATTTAACCTTTTAGACTTGTTGGCCTCCAGATAACCATCAGGTCAGGTAGAGAATTTACTTTATAATCCCTGGTGCTGCACAGTTAGGCAAGTGGCTGTTTGTGCAGCAGCTAAATTGATCTGATGGGAGAGTATGCAGTATACCTTCCTCCAGAATGTACAGTAAATAGCCCCAGGACAAGAGTTTGTCCCAGGGAGTGTTCTAGTGGTGGAATCTCATAGATTACTCATCTCTCTTCTTCAGGCTTTAAATGAGGTTTCATACTTCAGTCTTTTGTTTCTTCTAATCAATTTGTATCCCTGAAACCTATATCTTTTACTATTTGATTATTTTGCAGGATGTGTGTTGGAGGACTGGGCAATGGCTCGCACTTCTTCTGGAGTTCCCTACTTTGTTAAGTGAGTAGCGCTCTGTCTGTGTTCAAATTTTGCTGAAAATATTGTTTAAAATTGCAATGGGTTAAAGATCAATAAGGTGACTGACAAGAGCTTTATTACTTTACTGGGACACTATCTTGCTAAACTTGCCCAACAATGAATACAGTATATGATTCATAGTTGTCTCTGGTTTTGAGGTGAGAGTACAGTACAATACAGTGCAGCACCTTGGATGTACACTATGTCTTCTTTAAAGCAAATAACTTTCAATAAATACAGTAAGTACAGCTTAATACAGTACTGTATATCTAATATTTTTCTTTATAGAGAGCTTCATATTATTGTTTATATCTTTAATTTTTGTAAAAAAAAATTTTTTGCCTTGAGGGTTGATAGTTAATGGTATGAGGTTATGTGAATGGTAAAAAACAAAAAATATTTATACTGCTCATGAAATATGTTCTTGAAACCTAAATAAATGAAAGATGTGAATATAACTTTGTATATGAATGATTTATAATACATTTTTGGCACTTGTTTAATTATCGTTTCTTCCCCAAGTCACAGTCGTGGAGTTACACAGTGGGACCACCCAGAGTTTGTTCGCATTTTAGAAGAAGTACAGTCAGTCAACTCAGTGAAGTATGCAGCATATCGTACTGCCTGCAAATTGCGCCGTCTTCAGACAAGGCTCAAGTGTAAGTTGTGTGTTAAAGTTTAAGTGTAAAATAGGTTTTCTACTCCTGTTTTCTTATTTATAACTGGGTGCTAGTTACACATTAATACACATGTCAAACCTGACAGGGTTTTGCCACTAAACCACTGGGCTGCCTGGCCATGGCCTTCCCAGAAAAGGGGAATTTAGGATCAATCATCTCTTGAATTTTTTATAATTTTGAAAAAGAGAATTCTCATTGCAAAATTGTTGGTGAAGAGAATTTGGGGGAGGAAAGTTATGTGCTGTTCTTTATTTATATATTTTCTTTACAGTTCATGAAGTTTCCCTCCAGAGTGTAGCTTCAGCTTTTGATGGCGCTGGTTTGCGAGCAGCAGAGAACAGTGACCTGGTTGAACTGAAGCAAGTGGAGCAAGTTATTCATAAGTGTCTGCGTACAACTTACAAAAACCGCCACATGCACCTCTCTCTTGCTACCCAACTGATGGTCAACCTCCTGCTTAATGTCTATGACTTGTAAGTTATGGTCAACCTCCTACTCAATGTTTATGACTTGTAACTTTGTTTTATTATTTGTTAGCAAAGGTTTTATGGATGATGAAAGGCAGATGTAATCAGCAAAGGTTAAATGTTTTTTAAGTCTCTTGTGCTATTAAATATTATTGCAGAATGACATATTTTATTTGGATTTGTGAGGAAGTGGATGCCTTGCACTGTTGTCCTTGCAGATCTATGGATTTTTTCTTAAGTGTTCTCTACCAGTCACAGTTTAGAGTTCTGTGGCCACCTGCACAATAGTCAACTCTGAAATGTTTATACGACAGAAGTTAAATTTCAAGATACAATACTGTATTGTCATCCGCTGCATTACAAAAGGAGTTTGATCCTAAAAGGTTGCTTGTATTGGGAAAAACCATAACACAAACAGAATTTCCTATTAACTTATGAATATATAAACCTTTTAAAATATATGTTTACTGTAAAATTGGTTGGTGTTAAACTTGGTGGTAGTGCATGCTAGGTGGTGGAATGGGAGTTATTATCTCGCCTCACTTTCATCAGCCCACTGTAAAACTGCTGCTACCACTCTCTCTTAATGGCCTCTTTCCAGACATCTTGGACAAGGGTGACACTGCACAATCTTGAATATGAGAAGTCTGAAAATCAAGAGTGTACTTTACTGTAAGCAAGCTGAGTCGACTTGTTTACATCAAACAGACTGGGCAAGTAGCAGTACGAAACACACTGGCTAACACAGTATGCATGCTTAGACAAATTATACAAAAAGTTTATATCAGCTCTCTCTCTCTCTCTCTCTTTGTGTGTGCATTTGGAAATTTACCCCATATCAGTAGATTGAATTTTCACTCCATTTCCTGGATTTAGTGATCGTAAGCAAATTCCATATGCGTGAAATCCCATTCGATGACCCTTTACAATATCAAGAAGCAACATGAAAACCTGTTTTAGGCTGATGAGTGATTCAGGTGAATGTACAGTATCATGAAGTGTAAAACCAAGCATGAAGCTAAATCAGCCAAGCATGATTAGTTTGTTTACACTTGTAAGTATGTAAAGACAAAGAAGAATTTGGGGTAATTACATGCAAGGTTTCAGGTCTCTAAATTTCTTGGTCTTGGAGCTGTGGCAGTGACTGACTGACTGAAAGACTTGACACATACATCACACAGGCTCTTATTATTATAGATGAGCCTTCTTCCATTGGTTGTAAGTGACTTAACAAAAACTTCATATGTTTATCAGGGGTCGCAGTGGGATGGTACAAGTTCTAGGGTGCAAAGTACTCCTTGTAGTTCTATGTGGAGGTCGACTGCAGGAGAAGTACCGCTATCTCTTCACACAGATAGCCGATCACAACAACTGTTGTACCAGGTGCAGTATTTACATTGACTTATATTGTGCTTCCATTTTATTTTGGACAACTAGATACAAGGGTCAGTCAAAACATTTTGCACTTCATTGGTGAAGCGATGCAGTATGGTTTTAAGTTATTTTTTAACAATTGAGAAGATACCTTTGTAGGCTTTAGAAGTAACTGGGTATATGCATTATACAGTTGTTTTATAGTAAATGCTCCCTGCTGCTTGTCATCAAGCCATCACAAGATATACTTTCTTGGGAAGATATCACCCTGTCCAGTAGAAAATTATATACTGTACTGTACAATACATGTAATTGAATATAAACCCAAAGCATTGTTTCCTTATTAAACAAATGGTATTTAACCAGTAATAAAATTTTGCTTGTACAGTATATTACTAAATATCCAAAATAATCTGCATTGTTTATTTATTTTAGACGGAGATTAGCTGCCGTGCTTCGTGATTTGGCTCGTATTCCAGAGTTACTGTCTGAACAACCATCATTTGGCCTGTCTTTAGTGGCAGCTGCTGTTGAAAGTTGTTTCAAAGAGGTAAAATATTTAGCTAATCAGTCACAGTATTTAACTTTTTTTTCTCTCTCTCGCTCTCTCTCTCTCTCTCCTAGAAACAAAGTTTGTTCTGGAAAAATTTTATTATATCATAATTAGGATAGGAGAATAAAAGAAAAATAAGCCATCAATTTAGACCTGAATGTAGAAATAAGAACTTGGATGATACTTGGATAAAATATCGTTATTATCTTTGTGTAGTACAATGTATTGTAGTGTACTGTACTGGCCATTATATCATAGTTCAGTACAGATGTATTACTAAGCTGTGAAGGGAACATATTTATCTTCAATTACTTACAGCTTTCATCTTTTAATCAAGTTGTTTATATTCTCTAACAATATAAGTAACATTAATCCTGGTAGAATCATGAAAACATTGGTGTAAAGCAAATGATATTTAATGATAAATATTGTAGTACAGTACACAGTGAATTACAGTGCCCAGCTGTAATCATGTATTTACTGTATTAAGGTACATCTGCTTCAATCAGGGTTAATTGTATTATGGAAATTTGGGTGTTATTTAATTTTGTTATGGAATTTCATCTTTATTTATATAGGTTTGTGCAGATAAAATGTCCAGTTTGCATTGTGTTAAATACAGTACAGGTATTACAGATGAATAGTAAATGTTACATTATGTGGATGATGATGTAATTATGGTGTGTGTGTATCAGGTGGAAAGTGAAGTGGGAGTGACAGAGGAGGTTCTTCTGGCATGGCTGCTGAAAGAGCCTCAAACTCTGGTGTGGTGGACTACCTTGTACAGACTCACTGCTGCTGAGTTAGGTAAGTTATTGGCTTCCTTTGTTTAATTTTTCTTAATTGCCTATTCAGGACTCAAACATGGTCTAATGCCATTGAAAATTAGATCTGAGCCATTAACAGCATTTCATATTTTTTTTTTTCTAAATTGTTTTTCAACAGGTCATCAATGAGTAATATATGAGATACAAACTTCTAAAAAGTAAATACCAGTACTTTACCTTGGGGCTTGATATATTTAATTGCAGAGGAGTGCACCCTGTCCCTGTAAACAATGCCAGATAATACTTTTACTGTACTGTACTGTAAATAAACACACACAGTCAACTCATTGCTCAAATTTTATTTGATCCCATTTAAGTCAGTGGTTAATTCCAAGATCCAGTAAGGCTTCATGTTTGGTTGAAACTTTTCCAGTAGACATGCAATGAAAATCTCCCTTGGATTTATGCACTAAACTTATTCCTCCTCCCTAATCATAATGTAGTTGCTTCTTGCAAAGTATGGGTTACCTGCAGTTTATAATCATACTGTAGATGGAGGATGGAATCCTGGAATTCCATTTTATTGAGAACAGGATGGCTGACTTAGTTTCTTTTCCTCATCCATAGGGAGTTACACAAAGTAGTTAATAGTGACAGTGTGTACAAATGGGACTCCACTTTCTGTGTTGAGAGGTGAAGTAGGATGTGAACACTGTATATCTGCATTCCTTGCCTTAACTGGTGACAACTACATCACTGGAGGACCTGATGAGCTTCTGTTGTCTTTGTATAGCTAGATGTTTGTACAGTATTTCCTCACTGGAAATATGTGACAAGTGAGCATTTTCATGTGAGATTGGCAGTTGTAAAGCTCAATCGACTCACTTTGTTCTGAGTCATAAAATGATATCCAGTAGCTATCAGAATTCAGTCTTGCAATTTTAGAAATGATATAAGTACTGTACTGGTAATTTCACTTTCTTCCAAGGGTTGAGATCCATTTATTTGCTTGCAAATCAAATTTTTAGTTTATAAAGATTTTTCAAAGTCCTTTGGAGAAAATTCGAACTCCTTTTGAACTCTTTGATAACCATATTTAACAATATTTAACTATTACAAGCATATACAGCGCTTGTATGAAAGATGGCCAACCTTGTTTTTGGCTGACAGTTCAACTAAACATTATTAAACATGATACAAAAATTTTTTTTATTTATTTTTTTCATTTAAAGATAAATTTGGTATGCCTTAACTTTTCAGTGTGTCATGATGTGAAATGTGGGGTGTGCAAGCAGCGTCCTGTTATTGGTCTTAGATATCAATGCTTACGATGCTTGGGATACAACCTCTGCCAAGACTGCTTTCTTCATGCTCGAACTTCTCGTAATCACAAGTTATCACACCCTATACAAGAATATTGTCATGAGGTGAGAACAAATATAAAGTCTAGTTCTACTGCCCCATGAATCATGAACTGTCATTGTATAGATACTTTTCATAGTGTTCAGGGATAAACAATAAAACCTCTTTGTCCCATCAGGCAAGTATGGAACTGTCTTTATCGGTCCTGTTAGATAGAGTCTTGTCCAAGTTTTTTCAACACACTGATGTTGGCTGATCTGCTCCTAACACTTGTTTCTAATGTAAATACAGTAGTAAATATAGTGCCTCTGAGTTGAAACTAGGCCCAAGATGAGTGAAAAATGAGTCCTCACTTTATGATATGCATAAGCTCTTAAAAATATATTCCTAACCTTCAGAACATTAGTGTGTGACATGAGATTATTACTAATTTATTTATTTATTTTTTCAATCTAATTTTCTCTTAAGACAAATGGTAAAGAATGGAGGAGGGCCCTGATGAAGATATTGAAACACCGACTGAGTGGTCGTCAAGGATGTAACAAGCAGCGGTACTTAACAATAGCCTCTAACCCTGAAGCTGGCTGTAATATGTGAGTCAACTACACATAATTTGCTATAACACTTAATGATAATCTGTTCCAAATCATTGATGTTTCACTTCTCTTTAGTTCAGATTTTTGTTGTTGTACATAATGGTTATTAGCATAATACTATGTCCCTTTAACTTCAGAAGGTAGACATCAAGTACTATATGTCGGAAAGCATGATGGATATTCTATTAACTATTACAAACCCTTTCCCACTGTACTGAAGTGCTCATCCCCTGGTCTCTGCTGAATTTTCTAGGCTGGTACAATACAGTAACTGAGTTTGCAGTGGTAAGGGGGGTTATCTCATTTTGGTTTTACCCAATAACTGATATCAGATAATAAAGACTAACCTGCATAAGCGTGTAAAATGGCCATAAAATGTTGATGATGATATTCAGTGGATCAGAGTTCAAATTTGATTGATTGTTGATTGTTTGTTTAATCTTGGTATGTACTTGTACATATAGACCTTCAATATGGAACTTTGACAGCATGCACCTATAACAGTGACCACAAAACATGATGAAGTTAATTGTAGCATGTCTGTGGTTGCTCTTGGTAGCTATTTGTGGTTTACAATGAGGGTTTAAAGTGGGGTCCACATGGTTACCACTCAAATACTTGGGTTTACAAAGCAGAGAAAAACATATTGTATCCTTTTACATTACTGTATGGGTAATACAATAGGCGGAGACACAGTGAAGTGGTCCGAGCAAGAGTGGATCAAATCATGGCATGTGCCTGTCATCTGGGTGTTGATGAACTTTCCTTGTGTGGACCATAACCCTAACATCAATCTGATATACAGTACCTTGACACACATGTTAATTTTGTCTGTTCTTCCTTTCCCCTATGACTTGCATCATAACTTTCAGGTTTTTCACTCCCTGTACATTTCTACTACCCACTCAAACAGTCATCTCTCAGAATGTTCCTGTCTGTATTTGTGAAGTATAAAATGAGACATTATAGGTATACAATTTCCAACATTTTATATGAATGATTCTATTTTGTCTAGGACTAGTTTGTTGTGTGAGGGTGGAGCAAGAGGGTCATGGAGTGAGAGCAGTGAAGAGGATGAGGAACTTCTATCACGCACCATTTTACATACTTCCCAGGACAGCAATTCTTCCTTTTCTGAAGAAGGAAGTGTTAGAGATAATGGACAAAGGAACTGTGGCAGTGGCAACACAGCGGAGCCAACTATTTTACCAACCTCTCCCCGACATCAGATACACTCGGTCATAATGCACCTTGAAGAGGGACACAGGTAGAAATTAATACTTAAGTTTGATCATTTACATACTACCAAGTTTTGTGCTAATGTATTTTCTACATAAGATATCTGTCTCTCACATCTCTATACCTGTACTATACAGTCTCTCCTCGAGTTACGACGGGGTTCCGTCCCTACGACCAGGTCGTAAGTCTAAAAGGCGAAAATAATACATAGAAATTCTAAAATGGGTGTCTCTTATTCTTCCCAGCTCCACGAGAACTTTCACTTTTACGCTTGCCAGCCATTTTAAATGGAATTAACAAAAAAAAATTGTCAGTACACAGCTCGATCACTAACGTCGGGACTCGAAAATACGTAATGTGAAAAATATTTTATACGACCATGGCCGTCATGTGTCTGGGGTGTTGTAAGTCGAATATGTCATAAGTCGAGGAGAGACTGTATTATGAAAATTATTTCCTGTACCTTAGCTCATGCAAGTTCTTCCTCACACACCAGTCCTTTACGGTTTGAATATCCACAGTCATAGGAGTTACTTCAAATATTTATTATACAGTGTTGCTTAGGTTTTACAAAGGGAAACAAGACTTATTACAACCAACTTGATAACATTAAAAAAATTGCCCCATTTTTTTTTCCAAGGTTTTTGGTAAAAAAACCCAGTTTTTGCCAACCCTGTAACAACAAATTTCATAGTAACTTACATTAAGTGGAAGAGACAGCCATTTATGACTCTAGGATATGGAGGTGTGGAAGGAGAACAGGATCCCCCTCTCCACATTTGCTGTTCCATGAGAATAAGCATTTAATGGATAGTGCAACTTACAGTTAGTCTTAATGTTTACTCTGAAGGGCACAGAGAAGGCAGTTAGGTTTAAGAAACTTAAAGGTCACTTATGACAACCTGTAGGTTATAAATTTATATTTAATTCTTTAATCCTTTATTTAGTTATCTTGTCTTTAAATAAAACAATTTGTATTGGTGTCACTTGTGGGTAAAATTGATGAAGTAGTACATCATATTCATAGTCTTCCTTCTTGTAAAGTGATTAATTTTGTATCTTATATACTGTACTCAGACAACTGGAGGAAGGTGGCTCACAGGGTGTTGATGTTGTTGATGTGGAAGAACATTCTCAGAAGCTGTACATACAGATCAACAGACTCAAGGCCATCTTGCAGGTATACTTGTATATTCTTTGTTCATGTCAGCAGACTGTCATTTACATCCACTAATTATCTGGATATTTCTTAATTGTGATTGTTTGTTCTTTTTATTTGGTTTTATTCATGAGACTATTCTGGTGATCATTTTGTATGTTTTATAACCAAGCATGGAGTAGGTGACTCATCTAACTGTCAACAAGTTTACACTTTGACAACCATAGTGTCCAGGTTTCCTGACATGTGTAAATAAGACTAAGTTCCAGAAAACTATCCAAAACATACCCAATTATTCCCAACACAAACTTAGCCCTTAAAAAGGAGGGTCTGGGAAGCATCAGTTACCAAACAGGTTGAATGCTCAGTCTTCATCATAGCACTAATGTATTTCACTTTGGTTACACAACAGACTTCACAATCAACCCCTTCAGTTCCAGTCACCTGACTGCATCGAAGAGCCTTCCTTGCTTCATTTTAGGAGTTTGTGATTCTTCCAACACATTTGGACATTTACCTACGAGTAAACCATTTGCCGTGCAGTCCTATTTATCTGTCCATTCCAGATGAGTCAAAGTAAAGCTTGTGAGTTTGGGTTCCTTACTCTGGATAACCATATTCATTATCTTAGTCACAGTGCCTGTTTTAAGGACCTTATTTGGAAAAGGTTTTCACAGCATTACTGGAGTTCTTTACCATATACATTCATTGTGTGTAAGGATTATGTCCTGTCTTACCTCCCTGAGGTAAGAGAGAATTCTATTGATATGGGGTCTAAAAGTTAAGGTTATTATTTGGCAAAAATGATCTTTGCCTTCTCATTAATAGGTCAACAACTGTTACAGGCCTAGCTTAAGAAACTTCTACACGTGTATACTTTCCCATGTACTCATCAGAACTCTTCATGGACTGCTCATGGAAGTTGAAATCTAATTGTTTTGGTAGTGTCCACTTACCTATTCACCTATGCTTATCAAAATTCACTCCATCCAATGTTGGAATATACATCATGCAGACTGGAAAGCACTACAAATAAGGTCTGTTTGTTCTTGGTTCTATCCACACAACAATATAATAGGAAAGTCAGAATGAAAAAGAAATTGTCATTATTACATATGTTCTTTTCCTTGGATTTGTCAGAGCTATAACTCTGGGTCAGATGCTGGTAGAAGTGGAAGGAAGGCAGGCACTGGTGCACAGGTTGAAGGAAGAGGACTGCCACGTCTTGAGAGCACCCCAATCGTAGGGGAGCGTGGACTACTCCTCAACCTTTCCCCTATAGCTACTCAACTCTCAGCTGATGACACAGCTGTGATGGATAACAAAGAGAACCATATGGTGAGTTAATTAATATCTCTTTCTCTCCCATTTTTTCCCTCCTCTACAACATGAATCATAAAGGTGAGACATGAGTAAGAATATGATTTTCTGTCCTTACCCTTTACTAGGTAAGGGCAGTTATCTTTGGTTCTTTTCATTTTCAAGTCTAAATCTATAGGACAATTCAGTTAAAAAATATTTTGTTGCAGCTTTCAGTAAACTACTGTAAAAGCGGTTGGAGTACAGATAGGCTAAGGGGTTTGGATTATCCAGATTTATTGATTAGGGAAGTCCAAATTAATGGGATTCACTAGATATTATGGCTTGTCGGAATTAATATATCACTTAGCCTCATCTTACAGGTAGAAAACCCTAAGGAGACTCCATTGAAATCTAACCCAAGTATCCGGTCCATGAGGATACCCTTCATGTCCTATGAGAAGAACTTATCTCCAACCTTGCCTGATGGTCAACCACAGATGGCACAAGGTGAGCAACTTTCACAGTTCGAAGGGATTTTGTCATATCATTTTCTGTACAGTACTAAATCTGCTAATAAATTCTCGGTTTATGGTGTGGCAGTGTTTGATATCTTTCATTTGTGGTGCAGATATTGGTGGCCCAAAAGTTGTGCCCCAACCATCAAGGTTGCCCAGTTTCACAGAGGTCAACTTCAGTGATTTGACATCTTTGACTTCTGCTCCAACCTCATCACAAACTTCTCCAAGAGTTTTGCCCCAGGAAATGAATGGAGCAAGCAGCTGTCAAGACGATGCAGCAGTAGACGTCAGAGAGGAGTTGGAGAACATCTTGCGCCAGCTTGACCAGATATTTCCTCTTGCAGAATCAGACAGTTAGTACTGTAGTAGTATATTATTAAAAAACTTTCTGAGCAATAGTTTATTATTTTATTTTTTCTGAAAAATATTTTATTAAGCTTTCTGTCTCAGAATTACCTGATGCTACTCTGGATTATTAGTCAACATAACAATGTTCATTATTAATCTACACAGTGTTTGAAATTTTCCCAACAGATCACAAGGTGGTGACACCAGACAATGGTGGTGTTGTAGAAGCAGCGTGTGAACTGGGTGATGTTTTAGCAGAATATGTTGGTGTTGTTCCCAACCAACAATAGAGACAAAGATATGTGAATATGTGCTACTGTTTTATAAATTATATATGTACTGTATCTTTTGATAGAGGTAATGCTTAGATTAAGCTCACTACCTCAATACTAGTGCCACCTTATTGTGTTCTGAACATAGTGGGGTATTGCAAATGTAGTTATTTTTACGACTATAACTGGACCCATCAGTTCTAACAGAAAAGTGTCTAGATGACATGGGTGTTTTTTACTTTAAGAAGAAATACCACAAGACCATGATAGTTTCTCTTGGAAAACTGTTCTTTGCTTCATTCATAGAAATGAGATCTTACCCAGGATTTACATTTTCATCTTGTGTACTATTTGTCATTACCCATTACACAAGTCATTTGAACTACGAAGATTCTGATGCATTTTTTTTCCTGTTGATTTTAACAGATTATGATAAGTTTCACTTTCCATTACTATATTATATTGTGTCAGGGGGTACATATTAACAATAGCCATGTACAGTACTGGAGTCACATTTACTTATTCAAGGTTAGTATTTTAAACAGCCCATTTGATATTTTTAGGTGCTCTCTAAGCATAAGTTGCCACTTTATGGGACATGTTTTCAACTGTGGTGTTAGAGTAAGAGTAACCCTCACAGGTATGATATTCCGATTACTGTAGTTGTCAACTACAATTGAAAAATTAATTGATTGGAGTAACCAACAGGTTAGGTATGTGAAATTGGTTGACAGTCAGAGATGGAATTTTTCGTCCTCCACGTAAACTCTACATTGGGAGACTTTACATGCTTCTTAAATTTTGAAAAATATTTATGGAAACTCATCAGAATGTCCGAATGTTTCTCACAGGTTAAGTTACTATTCCATCTAATGGTGTTTCATGTGCATCCAGGTTTTAAAAAGACATACCGGTATTCTTTGTTTAGTAAGAGTTCATAACAATTGTGAATTTAACCTAACTGAGCTCTCAGGTATACTGTATACAGGAATGAAGTAAGAAATTAACTTCAACTAAATTCTTGTCCAAGATGATTTTATAACAGAATTGACATTGATCAGGTCCTTAATTCAGCTAACAAAATTTCGAGGAGCTCTGGAGTTTCACATGTAGGAATCATCCATTTCCTTGTTTTCTGTGAATGAAAGTCAAACATAGAATAAGAACAGCAACACATACCATCTAGTAGATGATTATGAAACCCTGGTTGTTCTACACAGTAAATATTGTACATATACAGTATACAGTACAGTATATGAGTAGAGATGCATTAAGATATGAAGGGAACTTGTTACAGGTCTTTGGTTAATGAGGTGTATTTCTGTACACATGACCCAGTTTAGTCACATGTCAATACAATTCCTAATTAGAGTTTAGTTCAATTCTGTCTAGGAATATAGCAGTATAAATGACAACTAGAATACAGTACCTAATCCTTTTTAAGAAGCTTCAGGAAAGCATGCACATAGTTAAACAATCTTGTGTTAATATAAACAAGTAAAAGTTTCAGGTACTTGTCCTGCTTCTTCCTTTTCTCTCTGTTCATTCTGTTGGTAGATAGCCATGAGTAAGGCTGGGTAAGATTTGTCTCTGCCTATAACTGTCACTGTAACTGGTGCCTGCAGTTAAAGTGGTCATGAATTTATCTGACTGTTCATGAGCCCTTCCCAGGCTCATAGTAACTTATCATGGATCATGAATAATACATCATTTTGTACAGCTAGAGAAAACCAAAGGTTTAAAGGTTTTTAGTTATGTAAAATTACATTCCCAAGTGTATGATTGTTGAGGAGCATTTAGGGCTTAGAGGAGATATGGATTGTATGGGCCAAATGTTTGAGTACAAATGCTCAGAGATATGTGATGACTTGCATACACTAGTTCTATATGTGCATAAAAAGTAAGGCCAACAGAGATAGCATACATTACCCTAATTGTGCTATTGAACAGGAAACCCCCATACTTGTCGTGTCATTTCAGTGTTTATACCCATTTTTATTTTATGAACTGATGGAGGGTCCCATAGTAAATCCTCATCCATAATTTGAAGAATGTAATTAAAAAAAAAATGCAAATTATTTATTCAAGGTCACCTTTTTTAAGGTACCCCAAGGGGTCTTCACTGTTAATTCTTATAGCAAATTTTGATTTTTAACATGCAAAAAAAAAAAAAAAAATTGGAGATCCATTTAATTTTTGTTGTAGTTTTTTGTATTTAACATTACTTTCTGGAAAAACAAGATATCTTGGTGAAAACTGTCATTGACTCTTTTGATGTGCCATTTATCAAGGAATCGAATACATTAGGTCCTATACTTTTACAGTGCTTTCCTCCAGTTACCACAAATAATGGGGTGATATTAATCTTGGCTGAGATATGCTAATTACATTGTAGGCAGTGGTGGGGAAACACAGACAGGGTTATTTAAATACTGTACCTATACCTGTACCTTGCAAACCTCTGTAGGAGTGAGGTAAAAATTGTGGCATCAGAAAAGTTTTGTCATACCAGGTACTGTACATTTCTAAGTAGTTTTGCCTGGCCATCCTGGGGTACCTTGCACTCAATCATGTTTAATCAGAAATGAGTTGAAGATATGCATATTATATAATAATATTCTAAGCTAGAGGCACAGGCAATTGTTCTCCATATATAAAATAATTAAATTACACAGAAATACATTGGTTACCACAGTCCCATACTTAGTTTTATGTGTGTTGTATCAATTTACATAAATACATATGAAAACTGCACATTCAAAAAAGGAGTAAATAATGCTCTAAGTAAAGCAAGTGACCTGTGAAGATGTGAGTGTAATAACTGGGGCAGACTGTTGCTTTGAGACTCCACACCACCCTCCTATTTAAATTGGTGTGCTGTGGCCCACAATTGGAGTAATGCAAATTCCCTATGAAGTTACCACATGTATATTACTGTATCTTGTGTAATTACTGTATGATTCTTGACCATCTTAAGTGTCTTTATATTTTAATTTCTCATCGTCAGGTTCTGTGATTTTCTTCCATACCCGGTATGTTTCAGCCAAATTGTGATCTTGTATGGATAGCGTCTAATTTAAGATTTTTTGTAACAGTCTTCTTCATAAATCTGTAGTGTAGTTCTTTTTTATATTACAGTACAGTATTACCAGTATGTGTCAATATTATGTTGGTATTGAGTAAAGAGAGGTGGAGTAGTGTGATAAGATGAGGGTGTTGGGGTGTAAGAGTCTGTCAACTGCCATCTGTTCCTAGGCCAACCAGGACAATATAACTTTTACCCCTCATTTAACTTTCCTTTCCACTCCTGTAAAATTGGAGTTTATGAGTCCTATGATATTCATAATACAATTTTTTTTTTTAAATTAACGAAATATGGCAAATTAATGCCTGTAAATCCATGTACAAATGTTTACAGATTTTGTTTTGTGCCTTAATTATCCTTAGTGCAGACTGCTGTAAGACTGTTAACAGTGGCCACACATTTGCCATCACACATTATATGTTTAACATGTTAAATATATTTTTAAATTGATGGACTGACTACTGCACTTGTGTACTTTTTCTCATATAATCATTATAAGGTAGAGATATATTTTATCAAAACAGTATACTTTATAAAAAATCAGTATTTTAAACACTGTATATATCAGTAGAAGTAGAACAATTTGTGGCAATCTTTTCTCATATATATATATATATATATATATATATTATATATATATATATATATATATATATATATATATATATATATATATATATATATATATATATATATATATATATATATATATATATATTACTGTAGTTAGTCAGATTTGGTACACATTTTAGCAGAGGGGTTGCACTGACAAATAAAGGCGTGTGCAGTACTTTAATTCTACATTTTTCTTGTGGCTATATTTAATACAGTACTCATGTTCTTGAGATAATACTGTACAGTACTGTACAGCACACGTCTTTTTTTCACAGATTCAACTGTGTGATAGGTAGAATGCTGTTACTTTGGTGAGATAAAATCTTAGTTTTAAGGAAAGCACTAGTGTAGTTTTATTTCTCAAGAGAAAACATTACTAGCACTCAAAATGAATGTTAAACAGTTAATTAAAAAATCACAGTCCCTAAACCCTGCAATTTTCATTTACTACCATCACCATGATCATATGCTCTTGGAAAAAGAAAAACCTTTTTACTGTAATTGCTTTTTTCAAGTCTCCAGCAAGTCCTGCTGCTTCAGGGAGATAGCTAACTACAGTGTTGTGGTGCATCATAAAAGTGGAATTTGACTGTTACTCACGTTATACTGTCGGGATAACTTCGGCTCTGCTGACCCTTGTGTGTGGATAAAAGTGCACTCTTGCAAGGAACCTGGATGCCAACAATGTGGTGAGTTCAGTTACAGTATTTATTTAATTTTTTTGTATTATCACATACTACTTTGTTTTATATTACAGTGGGACATGGTGTAAATTATTAGTATGATTTATTTTTTAAATCGGTGGCAGCTACAATTGATCATGAATTGACTTCAGAATAGCTTCATGCAATATAATAGATTTCTACAAGATATTATGCTCAAAACAAAAATCTGTACAGTATAAACATTTCTACTGTCTGCATGTAACTAATCCAATATTTTTTTTATTTTTATTTTTTTAAGAAATTAATGTGCATAACTATTTTAGTGTTGTATTAAAAAAATCAGCAACACAATGAAACTAAACATGAGAGAATAGTGCATTAGATTTAGGTGACCAGAGTTGGCCAGACAAATGCTGTATTTTCCGCCTTATAAGACGCACTTTTTCCCTACAAATATTTTTCCAAAACTCACCCTGCATCTTACATTCCAAAGGTTATCCCTCGGGAGATCAGGATACCGACCCAAACCAACAAGTTGATGTTATAATATTATTACTGTGTTTTACGAGACCATCAAAAGTTTGTAATTATGATAAAACTCTGTATAATGGGTCAAGTTATTTCAAAGGTCATTAATTTCACTCATTTATTCACATTATAAAATTGTTAAATCAGATCCTTAATGGTGTATGTTGAAAAGCACCTACAGTATAGTGAATTTTTCAACATAATCCCATAACATTAGAATTATTAGATGTTCACTGGAAAATAAAGATCATAATTTTTACCTCACTATCTCTTCTCTACTAATCTTGTCCAAAAGTACACTTGCCCATCTGACCACACCATGCCATCAGGTAATTACAGCTAACCCACGCAGCAAACGTGGAAAATGGCCGTAAAAAATATTGCTCAAATTGGGGGTTTTCTGTATACAGTACTTATATCTTGTAATAATTAAGATTACTAGCATTGTGTAGGTATTATGCTTCAATACTAAAGCATGAATCCCAGGCTTTTGCATTACACATTTTCAATATGGCTTTCAGTGATTTACCTGGTCCACATTCATATGTTTTAGGGAAACCTATACCATGACTTCTTTCATATAGTATATGCATTGTCTGCTCCCATTTGACAGGTGAGTAAATTTGCTTGGGCAGTTGTTTGTAGATCTGTCCTGTATTCTTGTAGTACTTCCCATCAATATTTGAGTGAACTGGAATGAGAGGCTCTTCAATTTTAATTTTCTTCAGCATCTGGAATATCAATACACCAAAAATTAATTAATTCAGTTTTATTTTTTGGTGTGTGTGTGTGTGTTTATGTATGTATGTGTGTAAGCACGTGACACATTCAACATGAGTGTGATGGTCGAGTGAATGGAGTGTTCACCTTCTGTTCCATGGGTCGGTGGTTCAATCCCCGGGGACTTCCAGTTCACCTAAGTGTACCGTAGGCTTAGTATAGTGTGCTGTATCCACAATGCCAATTGCCACCTTCACTTTTTTCACAATCAACATCTTTCCCTAACACTAAGTTACTGCATAGTACTTACCAATACAAACTCAGTATGTAAATATGCTGCCAGATGTGTTTAAACACTTAAGTTATCCTAAATATTGGAAAATTCTGAGTTAAATCTCACCAGTCAGCAAAGTAAACTGCCACTGCCACATTCACTCTGATCTTTCCATTACAAGTACAGTACAGTATTTCCACTAGTCAATGTCTAATACTGTACACCTAATGATAAACAACTCACTTCCTTAACAGTTGCAGCTGCTGGACTCATAAGGTCAGTGTGGAAGGCTCCTGACACAGGCAGTCTTTTCAAACGTCTCAACTTGAAATCTGATTTGTTGAGGTCAATGAACGCCAAAGCCTGAAAAAGTGTTAAACCGTTAATTATTTCTTTGTGTGTTGTAGTTAAGCAGAATAGAAGGGACTTTCATAACTTTACAGGGACTAATTATTTGATCACATACATGAATCCCAAAAAGAAGCCATTATGTATAATTTGGAAACATATTGATGATAGTAATGGTGGTACTGATGGTAATTTTGACTTAGGGTGAGGTAGTAACGGTGGTGCTACTAGAGCGCACAAGGAATTACAGTAACACTTACAGGTATTTTTGAGGCGTAACTAAAATATGTATCTGATAGAAAGCCACACCCCCACTTTTGGCAATTTTTTCAAGGAAAAAGGTGCGACAATTATTTGTCAAAATACATTACAGTATATGTATAAATATGGATATGCCTAAAAATATGTTTTCTTATGGGAATAAAGAGAAAGTCAACAAATATTTTTTTCGGTCATATGCCGAGTCAACTATGACAAGTGATGTGATGCTTAATATGGGTTGGTTCCTGAGTGTGTGGACTGAACAAATGCTGATAAGCAGTTCTTACCTCATCATTGCCTGCAATAACTTTGCAATGAGGATACAGGTAGCTTGCAATGCGGCAGTCAACTTCTTGTAGTTCTTTTCGTTGACAAAATTCTTTTGCTACAGAACATGCAAAACCTAAACGAGAATCTGGCCCATACATGACAGTCATCATCCCACTTGGTGTGATTTCTGAAGCAAGTTGCATGGCTTCAGCTCGCACCTTTACCAATCTAATTGCTGTAAGAGATAGAGATTCAAGACACTCCTCCAAGTATTAAGAAATGCTCATTATACATATAATAAATGTCAACAAAATTAAGTGATGTACTGTAACTTGCAGTGAGACGGGAAGTTATGAATGTAAGTCTGAACGGAGATATTTACATGTTTTAGGTGTTGGGAGTCGATATGCCAGCATATGAAACAGTGGAAGAGGAAACTAATCAAAGTGTAAATGATTGAAAGAAAGTCATAAGTTTATTAAGAAACAATATAAGAGGAGGTAAAGATGGTGATAAGTAGAGCAACACTTGAGCCACAGTATAGGGTGAGTATGATACAAAGAACTGGTTATGCAGAAATGAAAGTAGCATCAAAGGGTAGTTTTTTATATGAGCTCATTCATGGGAACACCATACTTAATTTGTTCCCCAAATTCCTATTTTCTAACCCAACACAAGCCTTACACACTTTAACCATTTTTCTAGTACCTGTATCACAAGTATAGTAATTCAAAGTAGAGAAGGGAAAATAAAGTACAGGTTTGTGTTTTAACTAAGCTAAAGCAAGACCAGTCCTTATATGCCGAGAATCTGGAGATCAGCACTTGTCCCGTTGTCCTACATCAAAGAAGTGACTTGTATTAATGAGATACAAAAAAAAGACCTTTTACAGTAAATATTAAGAGATGACTTATGATAGGTAGCTGTATCAAGTTCAACTGTAAAATCCTGTGCATAGGTCATACTGGCAATTGCATAATTAGCTGTGAAAATGATTCCCATAGGCAAAGCTGCCCAATGTCCATTAGGGACAATGTGGATACAGCACCCTAAACTAAGCCTTTGGTACACAAGAAGGCAGCATGGCCAGCATTGCATTCGACTGCCTTCACTATCTCCAACCCCAAGATTGAATTAGCAACCCTCAGAACAGCAAGCACTAAATCCACTTGGCCAATGCAATCCTATGATTAGTTACAAAGCAAAAAAAAAGTGCGAAGATAGGTTCCCGGTTATCAAAGCATATTTCATGACAATAAAAAAAGGTTAACTTACCATCCTCAAATGACAGAGCACCAGCAAAAGTTAGAGCAGTAATTTCTCCCACACTGAATCCTGCTACTCCTACACAGGATTCTAGTGCACTAGGTCGTTCATCTCTTAATCTGAATTAAAAAGAAAATTACCAATAACTTTTGGAAAATGTCAAGATTAAATTTTTTTGTGTGATAGATTAGGTGAAATGAAGTATACAAATTGAATGATGTGGCCTCTGAATCATGATATAAATAACAAGGGATTCCAAAGAGACCACAGACGACCTTCCTATCACGGTCACCACTAGTTGTTGGCTGTTAGGTAAATGAAAAAAAATAAAAAAAATCTTGTTAAAATGTGATATAGATAAGCAATTGCTAATGCAGATTCAAGCATGAGCATTGTACTGTACATCAGTAATCTGCAAAATACTGTACTCACTTTTCAATTGCAGCTAACGAAGACACAACAATAGCAGGCTGTTGGTGTATGGTTTTATTCAGCTTCTGTGAAGGGCCTTGCAAACAAACTCCTAAGAGATCATAGCCAAGAATTTGAGATGCACACTCATACATTTCTTGAACATTAGGAAATTTTAACAATTCTTTTCCCATTCCTGCAATAGATCAATCCTTACATGAATATTTGAGCATCTTTGCAATTCATTCTTCATACCTGCAATGGACCAAATTATTATAAATATGCAACCAAGTATCTCGTGTCTGTTTATCCAGGTCTAACTTACTGTTCCCAGAGATTTGACCCATTGTACTGACACTGATCTTGGTATGTTAAACCTTCACTTGTTGAATACAGTATGCAAAAGTCACCCACACTCCATACCCAACGTGTAAATTATAAAAGGGGAGTATCATAAAAATTATACTTATTCATGCATATCCCAACAATGAGTCAGCATTTAGATGCAAAACAATTAAAAGTTCTTATAAGCTTAACATATCTTACCTACATACTGTGCACCTTGTCCTGGAAATAATACTATGGACGTTTCTCTTGGGTCAACTTTGGGTCGTTTGGAATTTTTAGCTTGACTCTGTCTGTCATGAAGATGGGAATAAAGAAGAAATGAAATATGGCACTTTGCTTACAAACATTTTATTACTTATTAAAACTAGAAAAATTAAATAATGCTTTTCCCTTACAAGCATTTCATTAACTATATGGTACAGAAAGTTAGTCATTCAGTAAAAAATACAACAAGGTTTTTGTTTTGAGTTAGAGTTGTGTTAATCAAATAACTACCAGGTATCTAGGATTTTCATAAAGAATCTAAAAATGTGAAATTTGCCAGATGTAGATTCAAGTATATTTGTTTTACGCTCATGACTCATCCCCAGCCAAGTAACTAAGATGACAACCCTATCAACTGCGCTGTTGCTACTTGCAGTTAGAGCTTGAGAAGGCTCTTACAGTCACCATAAATTTCTGAAGAATTTGTTTAATACTCCTTGACAAGTCTCTGAGGCCTCCCAAGATATACAGTATCTCAGACTTGGTGGCACCAGGTTAAAGAGTTTTAGGCCTCTGATACTGGTTATTATGTTCTCTGATTACGTTTACTGCTATGTATCACATATACTGTACACAGATTATATTGTTTTGTTTTGCTTTACAGTTCATCTTAAATTCATAAGTACTGCATATAAAAACCATGAGGGTATACTCAATACCTTCAATGTAAATGCAATAATGTTACTTACTTATAATTGCTGTGGTGGGGATAAGGACCTTGTGTCCATACATCATCTGGACTAAGTGGTGAGTCTTCATAACTTGCAGCATTTTCTAATAATTGCTTAGGAGATTCTTTACTAAATATCTCTTCTACTGACTCACTGTTTAAGGTTCCTGGACTGTCTGTTTTATCTGAAAAACAATAACCTGTATCAACAGAAGATGTAATCAGTACTACTCAGTAATATTAATTAATTCATGTAAATATAGGAGAAAACTGCACTTAGTGGTATATGAGATTTTTTTTAGATATCTGAAAAGAGGCACAAAATTAGATTTTCCTAACCTCAATATATCTAATTTTTAAATATATTCAACATTTAGATCCCAATCACACAAGTTTAAACTCCGGGAACTGGGAATTCAACCCCCTAGATATGCTGGATATACGGAGTTGGTTGATCGCTATATTTGGTTACAAAATATACCCATACCTGTCTTATCATCATCTGATGATATCGTTCTGGAACTTCTTTTTAAACACGAGCTTGAGGTAGATAATCTTTGATGGATGAATGTTTGTATGCATCCCTGCCAGGACACTAGGAGAGGCTTTCTGGTGTACTGAGCCCATTGGAGCAACATTATGCTGAACAATGTGCTTCAGTGACTGTAAAGGACAGATCATAAATTTTCAAGAAATGAAGACTGGTAGATTTCCTCTTCTTTTTAAATACAGTACATTTACAGTTTACATTACATAGCTTCTCTGAAAGCTTCAAGTCTTAAACTGGACCACAGAATGAGATAAAAGGGCACCTTTATGAATACAGTGTATAATAAATCAATGAGTGTTAGTAATTAAGACGAACACATATTTAAAGTACAATAGTGAATTTGAGAGAAAATACAAATTAAGTGTTAATTGCTAGCAAATTAAATAGTCCAACACTCAAATGAAAACTGAGAGCATGAATATCATGAATTCCCTACAGTAAACAGATATTATAAACAACTAAAGGAGCTTTGCAATCTTGAAATTAAATTCATGACAAAAACATTGGGGCACTAAGGCAGACAACCAACTAAGGTTTCAGACTTTCTCCATAATAAGAAACACATTCTCTTATGTTCTGCCAAGATCTCTCACCACTAATTGTTAAATTCAAGCTACCCGGTACATCTTGTGTATGCACACTGTGTATCAGAACTACAACTAATGCACCATAACATTTGAAGTAGCACAAGAAAAATAGCATAATGCAACTCAAGAAATTAACATCTATACAAATCAAATAACTTAATATGACATTAAAAACACATTACTGTATTGTACAATATGCAGTAAGTTTCTTTGTTTAATTATACCGCAGGACCCGAAAATGGCATCACAAAAAAAAAAAAAAAAACTACTGTACAGGCTTCACTATGAAAAATGTTTGTAGAGAGATCCTTATTTTTTAACAATGTAGTACTTACGCTCTCTTGCACCGTCTTACCAAATAGGTACAGTACTGTATATTTTCATATTTTTGTTTATCCACTTTTTTTTCACTATAAATAATGAACATATGTCCACCAAATCTGCCAGCCACCATTTCTTTTTACATACTGTACCTGTACAAACATTTACCAGCAACCAAACACTTCCTGCAAACTTTCCATATGAATGCTTCCTGCAACTTCTACATTACTGTATTTAATTTATATGGCATAATAGAGCAAATCTAACCTTAACTAATGTTAATTCAATACTGTATACTGTGTCGTGTAAATCACACACTGTACCGTATTGTAGTACAGTATTTTCGGAAAGCATTTGTGGGAAAGAAAGTTACTAGATGCCTTAGTATATAAAGATGCAAAATGGCAATGGAAGGATGATGGGGGTATACTGTACAGTATATAGATTAGAGTTCAGGATGAAAAATGCTGGGAAAATAATTCAGTAATGTAATATGGTAATTGCACTAACCTGTAATTTATTTCCAGTGTTCTCAACTTAAGGGAGAAGTTTTTAATACCGTGCTAGATAAAAAAAAAAGGTGGTTTATTAGTAAAGATTAATTAAAACATCCCTAGACATTCCATCTAGTATATACAATACAGTACATCATAATAACTTACGACAACAGAAAATACTAAACTTCATTATTTGTTGTTTTTCTTTATCTGACTTAAACCTTCCAAAAACACCTGATTAACCTGTAATGTGTACCAATTCCAGACATACCGTATAATCTTTAAAGTGATCATACACAGTACATGCAAAAGGAAACCAGGATAAATATATGGTAATACTCTGTCACAGTATCACACATTAATCAGGGACTTTGTAATTTTTTTTGTACTGTAAATATAGAAGATTAATGATTTCTTAATTTTTTTTTGTCTATTGATACACTACGAGCCACTTTCTCTGTTTACATGCAGATTGTTTCCTTTCATTATACTGTATCATTTATCAGATATAACATGAACTTACCTAAGCAACCAGTACCAATTTTCTCAAGAAAGCCTTCATCTTCCATTGAGAAATTTCCTCATGCTAGCATGAAGTATGCACCATAGTTGTCAGGTATTACTAAATAATTGCACAGATATAACTTACATTATGAATACCGCAAATCCACGTCATTTTAAGTGGTTTTCATGAGGTACAAAATTCTCTATTAGAATTCCCTAACTTTCAGGTCAACGTGTAATCCTATCTTCAATTATTGCCCATAATATTACCGTATAAAATAAACCCTTATGTCCCAGTGCTTTCAGGTACATTGTGTTTGAAGCTAATAATAACACTATTCTTACAGAAGAGCCTGAGCTAACATCTCTTCATGAGGTACACGGCCGGTAGTTGGTGCTGGGGCTCTACCATCACAACACTCACGCTGACTTGTTTACGTCGCTTATATCCCGAAACTATTAACATTAACATGTCTAACACAGATATATAATATATGACTCGATTAAATATATTTTATATTAATAAAAGTAAATTTTAATAATATGAAAGCCATTAACTCAGTTTATTACCATTAACAAGTCCACTGTGCATTGTCGATCAGTAGCGAGGTGGATAGACCTTATGTCAGACCCAAACAAACTCACTTGGCATAGAAGCTCACCATAATATTCTGGACAAATATCACCTTATTAGTGATTGGAAAATAGGTGATACAGGTATGTATGTTTATTATAATACCAGTAACTCATTTTATACAGTTTCATAAAGCAGTGAGTTCTTTTATGGGTATTAGCCCAGATCAGGATGCTGGTCATGATTATTTTTCATTTGTTTTCTAGAAATAAACGAATACATAGTGCTATAAATGTATGCTGTGATGTTGACTGTAGGAAACTATTAATGTAGAGCTTCTAATGTGTCATGTACTGTCAGTTTGTGTTAAGAGATTTTGAAGATAATACTAGACACGGTACAGCAGCTGCCCGAGTCCACTAACTGGTAATTACTCGGAAGTGACTATGCAAGAAACTATATTGATTTGTATAAAGGCAGTTGTTAGATTTCGTTCATAAGTGGGGAATATGAATGTAACATCAGTCAAGGTCCAATTATTAGCCAATATTTAAAGAGGTGACAACTATCTATTTTAATTATATATTTTTTGGGGGGTAAATGTGTAGGCAATGGCTACCACCAGAAGGAGTTGGTTGATTTTCTTTATTTTTGCTGTGCTCATCGTTTTGATGATTTTAAGAATTCTAAAAGAAACGACAACTTCTATTATAATTTTAGGTATTTCTTAAAAACGAATTATTTTACTCTATCCTACGATCATAAATTCCTTGTTAGTAGGCAGGCCATAATGGCGAGTTGTGATTTTTCATATCGTGATTTATTAAACCTAGTTATTGATGGATCTCGTTTGATATCTTTCATTTGTGACCTTGGGTTAATTAAGAACACTTGCAAATGTTCGAAATGCGGAAGACTTACTTTTTACGAGAAACAACTTTCAATGTAATACGCGATCTTACGATTATGTCCACAGATGCCGTACAATTAATCGTTGTCGTTTCAAATATTAAGGTAAGTTGTTTAAGATTTCCATTTCTGTGTTTAATATCATGTTATTAGCATTATATGAAAAAAATGCATTTAAAATTTTTGCATAGATCCTAATACTGTAGAACCTCACGCAACAAACCCTGGGTTCTATGGGATATGTTAGGTCAGGTTCTATTAGGTTCTATGCATTGTCATTTCCATTTTTGTATTTAATATTAGTGTGTATTCTGTTTAATAATGCATAGAACCTAACCAAACATACCCAATCTATGGCTATGTTAGGTCAGGTTCTATGGATTGTCGTTTCCATTTTTATGTTTAATATCATATTAGTGTAGAAAAAATTTCAACCAATTCAACAAACTCCTGGTGGTAGCCATTGTCTACACCTTTACCTTTTTTTTTTAATTTAGTTTTTCTCTACGACCACAAATTACACTTTCCATGTACCGAGTAGCTTTGCCTTGTTTTCATGACTAACTTTTTAAGAACCCCCAGTAATCTAACTTTTGAATTTATAAATATAACAAATTCAATTTAAAGATGTCATTTATCTATACCTAGTCTGTCTGTCTGGCCACGAGCCATTCAAGGGATCACTCACTTTTCTTCGGATTTTCATTGTCAGTAGGTACAGTGCCATGTATATAAAGGGTCTGGAATTTACCTGGAAGAGAACCAATCCAAATGTTGTGGAACACTGTACAGTACTGTACATGTTCCCTGCTGCTGTCAGAGAATTTAACACCAACAAGTTGGATCCCCAAGTCTTGACACTTCACTCCTTAGACTTGACTGGTTCTGTATGAGAACCCTGATAATTATGCTCAGAAAACGAAATTTCAGAAGCATTTCTCCAATTAAATCAAGAAAAGGCAAGTTGCCTTCAGCAAGATTGGGTAGGGTGCATAAAGGGCTACTGTACTTCCCTTAGTCCTTATATCTAAGGGTTGGCGACCACAGTCCTGTACTCTAATGCTTTCAGGTTGTTTTTACCAATTCTCCAAGGTCCTGCACCTCTCTGGTGACCTGTTTTTAATATCATTCATCCATCCCGGTCTCTGGTATTCCCTGGTCCTAGTAGGAACCATGTAACCCATCAACTCATTGGGGTCAATGGGTCATACCCACATTTTGCTTTTCCACCACCCACAAGATTTCTGTAGAAATAAAAGATATGGTACAGCCTGTAAAACTGATCTCGAATCACAAATGTTGCACATTGAGTATGGTAACACTCATGTGGTGCACAACTCAACAAAAAGACATAACTGTAATAATTTCCTTCTCTGGTGATAAACTATGTAATGTAGAATCATTATTATTATTATTATAGGTTTGGTCAGTCCTTATAGTGTTTGATAAAAATTTATTTGATGGCGAGAAGGTTAAAAAGATATAGTAAAACCAAAGTTTATTACAGTACAAGCTATGGAGCTGATTTGATACATGTGGTATAAATAGGATGATCGATGAACAGCTGTGACAAGCTTTCAGTTTACTACAGTATGATAAGTAGTACAGTATATATCGTATAGGTAAATCAAATCTACAAGTACAGTAATATTGGTTGGTATCACTGTAGGCATGTCAGTGTTAAATATCATAATAATGGTTTGCTTTAACATAAATTGAATATTGATAATTTACAGGGCAGTATGTACAGTATTTTTCTTGATACTGTACTCTTAACAGTAATTTAAACAGTACAGTAATTATAAAAAAAATAATGTAATGATAAATTCGTGTTCCTAAAGCCTTCTGGTATATATCGATATATGTATGCAGGAATACTTTTCAATAGTTTATCTTGCTTTTTGCTTTGTTAGTAATATTCAACATTAGGTGTAAGAATATTTATAAATTACCGGTATTTCAGAGAATCTTTGAGGAAAAAAACTTGGTGTGAAACTTGCTACAACTGTTCATAGTCAAATAGTTCATGTGCAGATAACACCTTGCAACAGTACACTAATGATAATGTGGCAGCTTAAGTGGAACCCTCATCTTTCTATTCTTACCCATCACAGAGCTGGCGTACAAGTTTTATAGTAAGATCACTCTGGTACCATAAGACACTAGCACTTAATATACAGTAAAAAAGAATCTCTCCTGGGTAAAACTAGATGTTAATCTTATGAAACACGGTGGACTGCCAATGACTTCCAGCCTTACCATTGATAAAAGATTTCATCATGATAAAAAATGATTTGAACTACATTTTGTTTAATATATCCAATTATTTTATGCTAATGCCTACTTGAATAACACAGAAAAAAAGCTTTGTTGAATAAAGTACATAAAAACTTTAGTAAATGAGTTCAAACCACTTGTTTTAAGACAGTTTCCATGTTGATGTATGTATCTCACCCTCATAAAAGAGGCTGTTAGACGTATCATATTAAGTTCTGCACTACAAAATGGACTGACTGGCAATAGATCATGTTGGAAGCACTAAATTACTCTTCATCACAGGATAAAATATTGACAGTGGTGTAGGATTATGGGCGGCAGCAGCGGAGGACGGATGGTGACAGTAGCTTGGTCAGAGAGTGCCCTATAGTTTTATGTTGATATTATATCTTATTTATTTTATATACCAGATAAAAAATAATTTTGTTTCTCTGAAATGTTGACCACTGACATAATAAGTTAGTCTTATAAGAAGAGCTTGATTAAGTAAATACTATTATACTCACATAATACATACCTGAATGGAATTCAATCAAATACAGTAGAGCATTTTACATTTGCAATTTGAGAAAATATATACAGTACTGTACTGTACAGTACTGGGAATTTGACTGATTATATAAATGTAAAATATTTTTAATGACATGAAGATATGAGGGAAACATGTGCAGAGAGTACCAGGTGAGACTGTTTTGTCTTGTTTGGAAGAATAGAGTTTGGCATTGCTGAATGAAGTACAATATACTGTAAAGAGCAAAAAATTTGGTTAAAACAAATTCTGTCTACATGAGGAGAGGTACTGTACAGTATAAACAAAGTGCATGATGAATTGTACAGTACAGGTACAGGTATTTTGAAATCATACACTGAACTGTAGCATCAATTTCATTTTAGACTTGCTGGCTGTATGTTTTTACTGTACTGTGCTAAAATTATACAGTACTTTATTGTGATACAGGTAGTGCAGTAATTTTATTAATATATTATTAAAACTTTATACCTGTATATACATACAGTATTGTATATACTGTACAGGGATACTTTAATTTGTCTGATGAAAATTCTTATCTACAAGTTTTCAAAATATCTTTTCCTAAATAATTTAACCTTTATTTCTATTTATACTGTACACAGTTTTTTTTTCATTTTTATGGTACAATATTTTTTAAACTATATAATTTTATTTTTGGGTGAAAAACATGTAATTACCTGTTACAGTAAATTTAAAGGAAATGAACATTATGTAATTACAGTATGATCATAGCAGTTTGGCTAAGTTACAGCATATTGGAATGACTTAATCACAAGCCAACATCATCTTTTGAACCCAACTCCTCATTTAAAACTTTCAACAGAACTTTACAGCAATTTCTTGCATTTCTCAATGGATTTTAGGATAGCTACTAGCAAGTGAAATGTGCAGCAGCAATACCCAATGGTAAGAGACCTTGCAAAGCCATCACTCTAGCTGTTACTGGTAAGTTTGGGTGATAAGGTGCAGTGAGGCTGGCAAAAAGGCAATGGCCATCAGTAAGTTTTATGACTAGTATCTTAGTCAACTATGACAACAATTAAACAATAGTAGGGGTAAATCAAGAAAAGTAAGAAGTAAAGTACAGTTTTGTTTTTCATTAAATTGTTACTTATGTACCATATACAACATTTTAAATTTTAATGCATGCAAATAGTTGTGATATGTACCGTAGTGTCATTGTATTACGAGTTGGAGAGTTTTTTCTTTCCAAGAAATGTATCTCCGAATTCATAATTGTAATCAACGGCTATATGATTCAATTTACAATTATTGAATTTATGATAGGGTTTTCAGAACACAGCCTCTCATAAATCAAGACATACTGTACTGTACATATATAAATTTATACTTCATCATTTCTGAACCCATGAATACCTTACTTCCCCTAATGCTGTGAATGAGTCCTGCTCTAATGAATATTTTACAATTTTCATTGTCCTCTGTTGTTCCTTCCTCATTGCTCTTGTTCTGGTTCCTCTTCATAATTATCATCACTATCAGCAGTTGCTTCTTGGTATTGTTGGTACTCTGACACTAAATCGTTCATGTTGGCCTCAGCCTCTGTGAACTCCATTTCATCCATTCCCTCCCCAGTGTACCTAATGAGGTGGGAGAGATGAGCAAGAATAAATTAATAATCTGGTCCCAGGAGAAGGACCTTAGAACAGATCATCCTTTAAATATACTGTACTGTACTGTACTGCACTTGATATTAACTGGGTGAACTGTGTGTAGTGTCTCTTGACTTTTTTCCAATTCAGTTCTCCCTTGATGGAATATAGTGATAACATAAGAAAGGCATGAACCATTTTTTTTATAGAACGAGGTAATAGAAGGCTTGACTGAAAATAGGTAATATAATTCAGTAATGTACTGTATACCGTACTGTAATTAGATAATGCAGGAGACATCATGTAAGTGACTTCATCTCGATTACAATATTTTTTGTTTTCTCTTTACTTAACCCTGTGAAATATTAATATAAATTATAGCCATTAAAGCAAGGTAAAGATGTGTCAATATTCCTCACTGAATAGTAGTAATACGAGCAGCTGGTATCAATGAATCATTGTGGTTTTGTATGAAATCCTTCAACTCACCAGTGTAGGAAAGCTCTCCTGTGGAACATGGCTGAGAACTGGTCACCTATTCGAACAAACAGCTCCTGGATGGCTGTTGTATTACCTATGAACGTCCCCGACATCTTGAAGCCTGCCATAAGCAAAATTTATGTTGTATACAAATATACTATACTGACCCCCTAATATAATCATCTATATTAGAAAGACAACTGTCTTAAGTAACTAACGGAACATGCAAAAAATCTTGTATTTTATCAAGCAATGGCAGTAATCGTATCCCTGATGTGAAAGTGAGTCCCATAGCTCCTGACGGCTGACACCCTATTAGGAGCAACACAGTGGAAACTACAGTATTCAGCTTAAGTATATAATCATACAGCATGACCATCACTGCCCTCTACTGCTTTTCATTTCCCCAGCTGTGAGATTACCGTGCACAGATGTTCATTCTACAGATGGGGTAACTCGGTGGTCAGCCTCAGCTTAAGCTGATGACTGTTGGCTCTAGAGAGGAATGGCATATCCACTCAGCTGGTTTCTTATTCTTTATGGACGTTGTAATTTGTAATAGAATTCGAAATACTATAAAGGATTGTTATTCTGCTTCTCAAAGGATCCGTAACGTCAGTGTCGATTGTTAAATTCGTTTTTTATCACTTTATTTTATAAATGTTATTACCTTAATATTAGTGTATCAGTATGACATAAAGCGACTAGGATACGTATATTGAAGAATAACCTAAGACTGGAATATTTACGATTAAGCTACACATTTAAAAGATTAAGTAGGATATATTTTACAAGATTTGCATATTGAGCCACGCTACACAAGCGTAAAAAAATGGCAGTAAAGTGAAGACTATTTTTGGGGGTATAAGTTGACTAGAAGTAGTGGTTATACTTTATTCTTCTGAACTATTTGAAATGATTTTCTCAGTCCTGACAATTGTCATCAAGCGTTATTTATATAATTGTGAAGCTTTAGTTTCAGGAATAAAATAACAAGGCGAAAAATTGGCGCTACCAACTTACCACCATCTGTTGTTTATTTAAAAAGAAGATACGATGCTCCAATCTCTATGTCACCGCTAATATAATAGCGCCGCCGTAGTTTGCTTAAAAATGTACTGTATACTGTAATAAAATGCTTTGAAAATAATGGTTAACGTTACTCTGTAGTCCGTCCACGTTTTCGGCAACAACACATCATTATTCCGCCATCATCTCTGCTTCTATTGGGTAAATACTTTCTTCGGAGTTAGGACACGAATGTTGTAGCACGGAAATGCGAGTCGGACAACCCCATGGTTCGTTGTAGAGTAAAGTTTATCTTCTTTGGTAACGAAACAAAACTTTGAAAACTTTACCTAACCATTCCTAACTTGTAAAAATGTTAAGAATCATTTTTTAAATTATGGATCCCTCCTCATCTGAACACCGAAAACAACACCATCACATACTAAAATCCGAAAACAAAATCACAACCTACCAAACTCCGACAACACGTATAAGGTAAGCTTTTTATAGTTTTAGGATGTTTAAAGGGTTGGTAAGGTTTTCTAAAGGTTGTTTTGTGTTTTTTTTAATATTCTACCTCACCTTTTCCCTCTAGTTCAAACGCTGTCCACTTTGAACAAGTAATATTGTTGGTAATTTTAACCGTTAAACCGTTAAAGTTATTCGAAAATTTAAATTTGTTGTCAGTCAGTCATCAGCTGGTCATGGGAGGGGGGTGGGAGGCAGGGCGTGGGTGGTCTGACTCGCATTACCATGCTATATAATACAAGTTCTAACTGAAAAAAAAAGCATTTCTCCAATAGAAGATAATATCTAAGGGTAATAGAAGCAAAAATTATGGCGGAATATTGGTGCTGTTGCCGAAAACGTGGACGAACTAAAGATTCCCAAGTGTGTGAATGGTCGTTGAGAACTGTGGCTCGCCTACAGCTGGCCTCGAGTTGCTGAGTTTCTCGAGTGTTTTCAGTTTATAGGATTATCACGGAACAGAGTGATCCTCAACCTAGTACAAACAGACAACATGCAGAAACAACAGTCGATTAACAGTGTAACAGGTAATATGAAACAACCATTGTGAACGGAGGAGCCGGGAGACACTGCCAGATGTACGACGAGCTTCACGGCAAACTTCACGCCATCTTACGGCCAAATCGGCAGAAATTCGGCCAAAACTTTTTGGATGGGAAGCACAAGGCTATTTTTGCAATCCACACAAAATAAAAGTATCCCCTACAATATCCACTTAAAATATCGTAATAAAACCAAATTTTCACTTACAATTGAGAGCCCAATAATTACATAAACATAATATCTATAATCTACAGTGAAGATTTACCTTAATCTGAAATGGTGGTGGAGCATGATAACACTAGTTGGCGTCAGCAGAAACGTCTAGTTCGTCATCGTCCCCTGGTTTGTTATATTTTCTACCACTGTCCTAGGACCTTTCCATTTACTAGTGGACATTTTGAAAACTAGCACTCGGAATTTCAGAAAGTAACTCAGATGGCTTTGTAAGCTCTGAAGCTTAACCCATATGCTGGACACGTTCAGCCTGAACAACTCAAATATGAGAACTAACAACCAAGGTAGTAACTAGAAAGATCAGTCAGCTCAGTAGGTCACGTAAACATGTGAAGAGGTGAGGTCACTGAGCCAGCATTTTCATTGTGAAATTTGAAAATCTGCTAGACTTTTCTTCAAAATCCACTACATGAGGAATTAATGCGTGTTTTACAAAATACGGCCAAATAGTTTGGCCGTGACCATCCAATTTTTCACGGCCAGTCGAAGTTTTTTTTTTACGGCCTAATTAGAGAAATTTGGCCGTGGAAACGGCCATCTGGCAATCCTGGACACCACTACGGCCACGCATCAGTGAGTACCCATTTAAGTGTTATCTGATTATCATGTATTTTATTATGACTTTTTTCCTAGTTCCAAATTTTTAATGTCAACAGAACATCACTTGTTGAGGTGTGGGGATGATGGGGTGGAGGAGGTTGATACATGAAGCTCGTGTACTGTAGGAACTTTCTGGACATGACATCACTATCCGTCAACCTGGATGTCCCCACAAGCGTGAGGATATTGCTAAAGAGGTGTTCGCTCTGATGCCCACTCATGCTATAACCGCCTGTCTCCCTGGTTTCACACGCCTACTGTTGGTGCAGTGCTTAACTAACGAGTGCAGGATTTTCTTGACTAGATAGATTAATTGACGAGGAATCTTTTTCGCGTGGAGTTTTTAGTATGTAAGTAACCAAAATGTCCCCCCCATCACTATTCTCGTACTAACGCTTTTGGACCGAATTTTTGGCCATCCTTACATTACAGTATATTTACACATACACACTGTAGTTTCGCATATAAACCCTGAATATTCTGTTTATTGTTGAGCGACAGGTTTTTTTGTGATAATCTCTTCCCTCTTGATCCGTAATTCCTGGGTTGACTAATTGTTTGACTAAGTGTGGCGAAGGGAATGATCCACGGGGTGTGGTACTCACCTCCGCGAGGAACGACTCACTCGTCCTTTGCAGGAATAACTCACCCCTAGGAGGAATGTCACACACGGCCGTCTTCACGTTGTTGGGAATCCACTCCACGAAGTAGGAACTGTTCTTGTTCTGTACGTTGAGCATCTGTTCGTCTACTTCCCTCATGGACATACGGCCCCGGAACACCACCGCCACCGTCAGATACCTGCAGTATTTGTTACCGGTAAGGGGAATATCAAGACATTAAAACTTTACTAAAGGATCTGAACAAAATCTGCTAATTTTTTTTTTACTTTTTTAAATGAGTAACCAGCCGCCACAAGACGGGGGATTAGGTAATTGGGAATGAATAAAATTCGTCCGTGCGTGTCTGAAAAGTTGTACACACAAGCACTAACGAGTAGCAGTGGATTTTTGTTAACCATACTTGGTGTTGATAAATTATAACACAATGACATCTTAAACTAAATTGATAACCAGTAGTATATCCTGTTATTCTTGCCCAGAGTTATGACACCTTGGATTTTAGAGTGGCGCGGTTCGAGCTTCGGCCAAATCTTCAGGACAATGAGACATTAATGTACTAAGTTGGCTTCTGGAACTTGTACCTGACAAAGTTCTGTATTTAATGACAGCTCTCATAAAGTTATACGAATAGACAACTGGATTTTACGGATTTTTTAATAAACTCTTCTGCTTCACAACCGTCTTCAAAAGCTCTCAAATTTTCAGAAAAGAAGGTAATAGGCCTACATATCCACAATACTCCAGAAAGAATTAATTATACATTTTGACCGACAAGAAAATTTGCAGGAGAGAGACAGTTAGTGGCACTGGCTTGAGGTACCTGCCGTTACGCGGGTCACATGCGCACATCATGTTCTTGGCATCAAACATCTGTTGTGTGAGGTCGGGCACGGACGCAGCACGGAAGGTCTGGCTGCCACGGGCGGTGAGTGGCGCGAATCCGGGCATGAAAAAGTGTAGTCGAGGGAAGGGCACCATATTGACAGCAAGTTTCCTCAGATCGGCGTTCAGTTGGCCGGGGAACCTGTACCAAGTTTATCACGTATTTATGATCACGAAATTATGTAAACCACGAGGACACCTTAACTGGTTTCAACATATGGATGAAAGAGAATAAAAGCAGCTCATGAGTACTGTTTATGTTGTCACCTGACTTGCCGCTCAAATTAACTTGCATCTATTTTTTTCATTATGTCTGGGAATTTACGTTATTACAAGTAGTTAGTGCAGGTGTGAGGAGGACGGGTGTTAGGAGAATGACAGGTGTGAGGAGGATAACAGGTGTTGTGAGGATGTAGGTAGCATATACTATATACCTGAGACACGTTGTGACGCCCGACATGGTAAGGGAAACAAGATGATTGAGGTCGCCGTAGGTTGGGGTGGACAACTTGAGGGTGCGGAAGCAGATGTCGTAGAGAGCCTCGTTGTCAATGCAGTGAGTCTCATCAGTGTTCTCGACCAGCTGGTGTATGGAAAGTGTCGCATTGTAGGGCTCCACCACCGTGTCTGATACCTGTTTTAACATCACACACATCATTAACCTCTATTATAACTACTATGCTAGTGATCGTGCTAATAGGATAGGAGAACATTACGAATTTACATATGTTGTGGTACAGTGTTGGGCGCTGTAGTCAGATTCTGCGATTTGCTGAAGCGAGTTGTATTCTGTGATTAGCTGTAGTTGAGTCACCTGTTGTGATAAGCTGTAACGACTACTCATGCAATGTGATTAGTTGGAAAAAATAAGTAATTGTAATTGGGTGGACAGCGAGTCATATAATAGATGCATTTTCCTTCCTACTTTAGTTTAAGTTAGATTAGTGGGGTTAGATTAGATTAAGTGAGGCTCGTAGGGTCAAGTTGGCTTAGGCTCGTCGGGTCAAGTTGGCTTAGGCTCGTAGAGTTAGAAGTTAGTGTGGTAAGATTAGGAAACTTAACTAAGACACATAAAGGTAGGAGACTCACCTTAGGGCTGGGGACGACGGAGAAGGTGTTCATGATGCGGTCAGGAAATTCTTCACGGATCTTGGAGACCAGAAGGGTGCCCATCCCGGATCCCGTGCCTCCCCCCAGCGAATGTGCCAGCTGGAATCCCTGTAACACGCCTATTATTAACACGACACACCTGTCATTTAACACCACATACCTGCCCTTACCACCACATACCTGTCCTTACCACCACATACCTGTCCTTAACCACCATATGCCTGTCTTTAGCATTACACACACCTTTCATTACCACCACATACCCGACAGTGTGTGGTAATGACTATGTCTACCGTGTCAGTAGTTGGCGCCAGCATGACTATCAGGTACTGAGTGGATAGTGTAAGCGGGGAGAGGCACTTGTGTTGGCTGACTGCGTATGTCGTCTCGTGTTTGGGAGCACTTGTGTCTAAGGAACCACCTGTTAACTTTCAACATGACGGCTCTCTCTTGGGAAGATTATTCTGGTTGATCTAGTTCGTTGACCTTCTGAGAACGTCAATTAATATGTCATGACTAGCATCTAGTTTTGTGTTAGGGACCTAATTGGATTTGGCCATGCTGGTAGCTCAGGTTCTCGACCCCAGGACAAGGTGATTATTGAGTAAAATGCTTGTGGTGTGAAGCAGTGGTCTGACACTAACCCCTCTGAGTACCATGTCATTATAGCTGCACGACACTCCTCCCGAGTTTTACTACGCGCTGCAGGGCATCTAATACAGTAACTGTCTGGCGCACGGCAGCACTGCACCACCTCACTCACACTCCCAGCACAAAAACACCAACACAGTACTCTACCTGAACCTGCTTTCCAATATATATTTTTATTATAGTTATAGTGTGAATGTTGGAACGTACTATTACTAAGTTTATGAGGTGATTGATTGATACTTGTTCTTCATGCATCACACTTAAATTTTACACGTATTTGGGAGAGTTTAAATTTTGATGAACAGAGAAAAGTGGACACTTCAACAATACTACACACACACGTATATATATATTTCACGTAGATCCACAATGAAAACGTGGATAAGATAAATCTTGATAAAATCACACGGGAAAGGGGAAACAACGGAGCACCTTTTCCCGTGTGATTATATCAAATTTACTCAGAAAAAATAGCAGTTTACGTTACTTTTCATATATATATACACATAGGCATGTAACAAGATACGCACAATCAAATACAGAGGGTAACGAGCGTCACACACACACACACACACACACACACACACACACTTACCTGAAGACAGTCGCAGTTCTCGCATTCTTTCCTGATGCTGTCCAGCGCCGAGTCGACCAACTCAGCGCCCTCCGTGTAGTGACCCTTGGCCCAGTTGTTGCCCGCCCCGCTCTGACCTGTCACCAACATACATCACGTTATATATTCATCACCTCACCACTCATCAGTTTTAGAGCCCTTTGGACGGTTGATCTATGCTTTGTTGCTTTCATAATACTTTCCCTTACCTACAAATCCCTGAAAAGGATAGTCAGGTTTGCCGTGTCGAGGGAATTTTATCCGTAACTGTATATTGTGAAAACCTTGATGCCTCCCTGTAAACTCCTTGAGATCCGTAATGATGATGTGTCTGTCCTCAAAAATTGACTCATTGTGTACATATGTATTTTTAACATGAGTCTTGTTGGTGGCTTCAAGACTATTGTTTGTTGATGGTAATGGCGGAGTCCACGTCTTGAATATGAATCTTTTATCTGTTTTATTTATAAGGTGAATATTAAGAGCAACAAGGAAGGATAGTTGACGTGTGTCCTCTGATTTCAATTAACAATTTTTCAGAATCATTTATCTTTTGCTAATTTAGTCATCATCTGTCCTTTATCAAACAAAGACCGTGATGTTATTCTGCCAAACGTTCTCGCACAGACTCGACACCCTGCATATAGCCACTCAAAAAACTATCTATACAAAATTGTGTTGAAAAAATATAACACAAGGGACGAAGGATTTTGACAACCCTACCGAGACAACACGAGTCACGGTGTTCATTCTGAAATTCATCGATCACCCCAAGTACAGAGAGTTTTTTGAATGACTACAATAAAGTATGTCTGCCTAAAACCGAACACATGATAATTTCCCGAATGTCTTCAATACACTGGTCAAAATAAAGGGTTCGTGTCTTATCAATCTTATCCGAGTTCTTTAGGGACCAGTATCTCTTCCAAGTCTTAATGAGAAAGTCAATTTACCAAGCGTTGACTGACAGAGCGGCTCGTGCACGATTCTATAATTTCTCTCAATCTTGTTTTGTCGAATATAATTAGAAGGGGTTGGATGGGGCGGGGACCGAGGGCTGTAAATGTCAAAGCTGGAGTGCGTATGTCAGTCCTGAGTCAGTGAATATTGACATTATTTTGATTTTGGATATGTTTAGGGTGAGGAATATTTTGTAAGGTGATGGATAGTATTTCTCCTAGCTCTGGTCAGTGACACCTGGCGTTCAAGATGCGTGACTATTCAAGTATACTGTCAGGGTATTTGATCACTTTATCTGTGTCACTTCAAAGAGTCAGTAATGAGAGATAATTCTGACCGTTGGTGTCGTATGATATGTTAGTGTGGTGTAAGACAAATGTTCACTTTATTAACGTGTTCACCACTCCCGGACACACTAACGCAGGTACAGGAGCAACAGATTATTAGTTTATTAGAAAAAAATACGAATTTCCTGTAATAGTTATAATATATTTCTTGTTATGTATTTAAATCAACTGAGAACAAACAATACGAATACCAGCCATTAAATGCGACCATTAAATTGTCAGTAGCAACCTGTACTCTTAAGAGACTAGACAAGACCCAGTTAAATTGGGACTATTGACTTTGGCCAAATAAGATCATTCTGGGACATAGTTTTAACTGTGTTTTTAAATATGGGTTTTGACGAGACAGGTGAGTGTCAGAAGACCTTCAAGATAATGACTGTAATATTTATTATTACTCACCAAAGACAAAGTTGTCAGGCTTGAATAGCGACCCGTAGGGGGAGGTCCTGACGGCGTCCATCGTGCCAGGCTCCAGGTCCACCAGCACCGACCTGGGCACGTAGCGTCCACCTGTCGGCGCAGTATACGTGTTACCTGTTGAGCTGTGCCCCTCGCTCTACACCTAACCTAAGCTTATCTCAATATATACTTCATGACCGAGTGGGAACTGAGTGTGTTAAGTACTGCACCACAAGGACTCTAACCTAACCTAGACCTTGTTATAGAAAGTCTGCTCTGTGACCTGAGTTGTGAACCAGACTGACCTATGACCTCGTTGTAGTGAACCAGACTGATCTATGACCTCGTTGCAGTGAACCAGACTGATTTATGACCTCGTTGCAGTGAACCAGACTGACCTGTGACCTCGTTGTAGTAGACATTGATCCTCTCCAGCTGGATGTCATGAGTACCATTATAGAGGCCTGAAGGTGCTATCCCGTGTTCGTCGCTGATCACCTCCCAGAACTGTTGGGTAGAGAACAGTGTTAACTCTGGCTGTGATGCGCGGTACACACACACACGAGTACTCTCACAACCAAAGTCACTGTAGAGATTCACCACCATGACCACAACAGTGACCATAACTTAAAACAACAACATACACATCCATCAGTGTTAAAATAGAAATGTTAATGACTCATAACCTGCAATAACAAGCGTGGCAGCGAAAATCTTCATTGTTTGATAAGGTGTTTTGTAGAGGGAGTGATAATTCGGGTTTGTAGTGGAGTGGTGTTGGGTTCACTGACAAGGGATCGATGGATGTAAATAATAAACTATCATGGCAACGTCTGTATTAATCGGAGTGGAGTGTGTATTAGTGATGCGCGCGTGTGTGTCTGTGTGCGCGTGTGTGTGTGTGTGAGAGTGAGTCATGTAGGAGGGTGGGAGTTGTAGAATGTAGCCGCTTGTCTTGATGCTGTAGTATCTCGTGCCTATCCCCCCCATGTAGTCAACAGTAGGTGGGTTGGACGGGGGTGTCAGCCTAGGTGTGGGTTGGGTGGGGGGTGTCAGCCTAGGTGTGGGTTGGACAGGGGTGTCAGCCTAGGTGTGGGTAGGGTGGGGGTGTCAGCCTAGGTGTGGGTAGGGGGAGGGGGTCAGCCTACAGTCGTGATACTATTGATCTTTGGGGAGGATGGGGAGTCTAGTATCCCCTCTGAACATTTGCAGTCATTAGTTATTGCTCACTCACTCATGCACTCCCTCCTTCCTGGTATTAAGTGCTCCCTGAGGGCCTCACTGCCTGTTTCTATAATAATAACACACGTGACTTCGTTTTTAAAGTCTCTGGTTTTATAACTCTACCAGGTATATAAGCTTTTGTCCTGTAATGTTGTTGATATATAATCCTCGTATGTTCGTCTGTTATATGTGGGTGATAAAAAAAAGCATAACGTGATTTTTTTAAGTATTTTTTTTTATTTCTTTCATCAACTTTTGTTAGGTAGTCGGTATTCTTTTATTAATATTTTTTTTTATTAGATCAGCATCGTTTACTGTGGATAAGGAACATACCCCAATTCACTTGTGTTTATATACTGTGTGGAGCACCATAGTGGAGCACCATGTTGGAACACCTTGTAGGAGCACCATAATGGAAGACAATAATGGTAGGGCCGTATAGTTGGAAAGGTCACACGCTTCCTTGAGAGTCGTTACTGTCTTGTCCACTAATAGTGAGTAAATTATGTAAAGACTGCCCCTCCCTACCTATTGTCCACTACAACCACACCTGTCATCCACCACAGCCACACCTGTCGTCTACTACAACCACACCTATCGTCTACTACAACCACACCTGTCATCAATGCATATAACTGAACTATTAACAGCCACAGGTGATGCAACAACCAGCTGATGATCTGTTGATGTCTGTTTGTGTTTATATGCTTGTCTGTATCTCTCTTGTTTGTTTACATGATGCCACCTTGCACAACTGTAGCTTATAACGATGGGAAATGCTAATCACTTTACCTGGATCTTCACCTGTACTTGTTGTGCTATTTATATGTGATTTTGTTTAGTTTAAGTAAATCGTTTACATGTTAGAGTGACTGAAAGGCTAAGTTATTTTAAGAAGTACAGAAGATTTATTTTATAGATTCCTTAACTATATAAATTACTTTTGTATGTAGGATTATAGTTTTTTAATAGCAATTCTGACTTTAGTTACAAGAGTCCATCTCCTTTAGCACTTGTTTAATCCATAACTTGCCTATAATCTATTCAATATCTGTAATCTATAAGTTCTATAACCTATCTGATGCGGCAAGGCCTTGGGATGCCATGTAACCACGAACACCCCCCCCCCCTCCTCCGGCTTTCTTCACCCCCTCACCTGGCAAAATATAATTTGTATCGACCTCAGGTTAATTGTTGTCCTTAGAGGTTAAGATCATCAACTTTTAACGAGTTAATTGTCTCTGATGATGGTGGTGGTCATGGGTCCGCCTCTCTGCTACACAACATTGCTGTTACGAATGACCACACGAGTAAGCATATGAGAGAGAGACTGACTTCAATACAAAATACGTCACCTAATCATTTACAATACATCAGGTAGGTAGTGTATGCGGGTGAGGTATTGAGGACACTGCATGCTCTCGATACATGATATATTATTCACCAGTATTCAGATCTATGTCACTCGATAACGAAGAATCTGACCTTTACATTTTTCTGGCATAACACACTCGTATATGACAACACCATTTCTTTTCTTTGCTAATGTTATATTTACTTTTAAACAATGCAGGCAAGAGTTTGTGAAGTTATAATAATGTTCGTCTTTATGAAGAAATATTATATTATACCAATAACTGTGGTTAATTTAAGATTGATATTTTTAAGGATATCAAATATATATCGTGTGTGTGTGTGTGTGTCGGAGGCAGGCGGCAGAGAACTCTGACTCGCGGGCGTTCATCGTCTATTTACGCTCTGGAGTGTTGTGAAGGAGGAAGTGAAAACAAAAGTGAGAAATGAGGTTAATCTTAAACATGACGCCAGACGCCTTTTTGTTATTTACGTTTAATACTGTCATCCAACGACTGTACTCTTCCGGGTCATGTGAGTGTTTGTCTTTCTCAAACAAACATTTCAACCTGTCAAGAATATTGTGAGGGAGAAACCTGCAGGTAAAGCACTCCTACAGGTAACTGAGGGGCCGTCGACCTCGTCAGACGGTGAATGATGGCAAATGGAGGGCGACCTACTTAGGTTCGGTAAATCCACCTGCGTCTGTATGGTACATACCAGGACACCTGAAGGGGGGGAGGGGGGTCTTGGTAATAATGCTGGTATACAATGTGTGTGTTCGTTATTCAAAAGCACGATGTAAATATCAAGGTAATAAGCTGGGTGTGGAAAGGTCTCCGTCCTACCTGGAAAGTGGTGACGATATCGCCGCTTGCCGAGGATCATCTACTGTAATAATAATGTAGTTGAAAGGAGCCGTGTGGAGGGATCTTAACAGGGGAGGAGGCGGTGACCTTTAAGGTAGGGAGTGACTGTGTATCTTGTGACCTTAAAGTTTCCTTAATGTTTTATTTTACCGTTTTCTTATTTTTTACGTCAAGAAAAGGAAGTTTTTTATTTGTTTATTTGTTTATTTTTGTTTCGATCCCTCCTTCTCCTGGGCAATGTTCCGATGTGTAATTCCTCAAGCAACTCAAACTGTGTTAAGTCAAGTGATAGTTAAGATTGACGAGGAATGAACTACAACACACACACACACACACACACACACACACACACACATACACACATACTTTTAACATGAGAAATTCGGGCTATGTACCGTGTGACCTTGTATTTTGTTTATTAATTCAGAACTACAACCATTGTGTGTGTGTGTGTGTGTGTGTGTGTGTGTGTGTGTACGTACCATTCAACCTGGAGTACTACACAAGAATTAACCTTAAAAAAAAATATATAGTAATTTTTCTTTAAATCATCAAAATGTCCTCGGTAGGATCTTGCTAGTAGTTCATATTAGTTGCTAGTATGTCCTAATTCATCGTGTCGGGGTAGGTACTTAGGTCATAAACTGGGTTCTGGTAATAGTGGACCTTGTTATTTACGAGGAGCGAGAGGAAGTCAATACCATGACGTAAGTGGGTTAGGCACACACGTCACCGCCATCAATAACAACACACCAGCCAGCCACCACGTGTGTTTGAAGCGACAGGGAGGAAGGAAGAACTTTGATGTTATAGAGGAAATGTAAGTCTTAAGTTTAATGATTGAGCATGAAAGTCTATTAGGCAGAATATTTGATCACATGTCAAGGGATGATGGATGGTAAATACTTCCTGTGAGTTCTTATACATAACAGCTGTTGTATACTACGTGTATATGTGATGTATAGCAGTTGTGTCTCATTTTGTTTGATTTAATACTAATATTTTATACATAAGTACAGTATAGCATAATGTTACACGCTTATATATGATTTGCAGTGAATGCTTTCAGTCTGTTAGGTACGTAGTCATTGTCAAAGGAATTATTTATGTCACCAAACTCGTGTCAGCGCTTAACCTCCTCACGTGTCGAGTCAAATGAGAGTTTAGAATAACCTAGTTTATGTTACAGAAAAGCAAAAGGTGATGTAATAATAGTGGACTGTATTGGTCTGTGTGTGTGTGTGTGTGTGTGTGTGTGTGTGTGTGTGTGTGTGTGTGTGTGTGTGTGTGTGTGTGAGCCCTCGTCGCACCCTTTCACCTTCTGGTCTTGACACTTCGGATATTGAGTTATGAGATAGAGATTAAATTAGTCTCTCGTTCCTCCACCACACACACACACACCACCAGGGGTTGTTGACACTACCGCTAACAATCTCAGTAGCGCGAGCCGTGTCTAATAAACGAGATAATTGTAGGTCACTAAATATCGTGATAGTTATGTACAAGACGCGTTCACGGAGGCCAAGTTGTGACGTCTCATTGTTCATCATGACAGGCAAGTTAAATTCCACAATAAACCTCAATAATTAACGATGGTTTTGAGGCCATGTTGTCAGGTCACCTTTTGCACTGTTATTTCCTAGGCCTGGACGCTGATTAGACGCGATACCCGACTAATGATACGTTCTTCAGCACACAGTTTTAGAATTTAAGGTCACACGGGCAAATCAGCGTTGACGTGACCTGGGGTACGATGCAGTAGTAGTTAGTGAGTGAAATGGGGATACTTGCAAAAACAGGTGTTAACGTGAGAAAATGAACCCATAGTCCTATCGTCCCATCAGGGCATTGAATATTTACCCACGGGACAATGGGACCACTACTTCACTTGACTACATTCAGGTGTTTAACGCCATTCACAGCCAGGTCGGTTAAGCATGAAAAACAAAACGATTCTGGGGATAGCAGGCGAGCGTTTTATCCACTCCGAAGTATCAAATGAATTAATAAACATATTCCTTTTCGTTTTGTTTATGATAAGTTCTTATATAATTAATCTAG